CAATATGGACCCGGACGGAGGCAGGAGGAGCAGGGACTGGAGACTAGGTGTTTGTATTTGAAAGCAGGCTGAAAGCCAACAGAACGCCAGACCGGACAAGTCAAGGTGCCAAGTGGCGGGCCCGCCCATAGGATCCCAAACTGATAAGCACTGTTGGTGCAGATAACAGAGCGTCTAACAACAAAGCCATGGAAATTAAGCCACCAGAGAGGATGTTTCAAGTGTGTGTGTGTGTGTGTATGAAATTGATTGGAAAATGCATTCAAAAAAGTAGCCAATTTAAATGCACTCAATCAGAGTTAATTGAAGAACAAATGTCCTTTCAATATGTGAAATGATAGGCCAATTACAATATACAATAATGTCAGGATAATTTGATTTGACACGATGAATATGAAATGCAGTGACGAAATATTAAAGCGGGAATTTACAAAAGTGCCATAGAAATGAAATCAATTAAAATTGCACCTAAAAGCAGGCTACGAACTAATAGCCATTACAAAAACAAACAATCTTACGCCCTTTAAATTGATTTAAAATTCATAGCGCACTGTTAAGAGCTTTCCCGATAATAAGTAAAAAAAAAAATAAACTGTAAGGATTTACTGTTTAATCCTAGCTTGAGACTCATCCAACTGGCAGATTGATTTTACACTCAACTCAACACTTAACTGCTCAAATTAATTAAATAAATTTTCAGCGACAGGCCAGACAGACAAACTATCTCCTCCTCCTCCTCCTATCTTGCAGCAGGTGGAGGACCTTTAAGAAATAAATTAACCCACCTAAACCGAGAGCGCAGAGGAAGTTGAAGTTGGATTCGAGTTTGAGTTCGAGGCGCTTTGCTGAAAGAAAGTTTAATGAGTGCCATAAAATTTGTTGACTCTGCTTGTACAGACATACGAGAGTACTATGTTCTATGCTATCTGAGGGGTGTGAAGTGGGCTTAGGAATGGGAATGGATGGAGAGGTAAAGCGACTGTGGCTACGGTCGTTAGTCTATGGCGCCCATTTGATAATAAATCCTGGCTAGGACAAACATACACACACAGACACAGGCATACCTCCTCGGAGAGCAGACCTGGCTTTGTTTATGCACTGCCCAACAAAATGGGGATAATTCATCCCCCTCTCTCAACCTCCTAACGGTCGACTGCCCGCCCCCCCTCAGCTATCTGCTTTCTATCCGTTGTGTAATAGTACCCTTCTCAGGGGTATGTTAATTTACTAAAGCAGATGAAAATGTAATAATGAAAAGGTCTTAATTGCAAATTTAAATACACAAATAAAAGGATAGATGGATACAAATGCATTCGCTACACACTTAACTTTTTGAAAATAAACTAAAGCTTAAGTGAATTTAAAGGTTAAAGATAGTAATATATTAAATGCAGCTTTTAAATCCGGATGCTTTTAAACTATAAATTTCAGGGTATTCCAAGCTTCGAGGGTGAATCGGACCTCCTTTATTCTTTTCCTTTTTATGTTTTCACCTCTCCAGTTGGCGGCTTAGTGGTGGCGTCGCTGCCCGTAGATTCCATAGGGGAGTTAAGTAGACTTTTGTGTTATAAATTAGGCGTGCCAATGTGTGCAGTGACTGCCTTTTAGCTTTCCTTGCCGCCAGTCCGTCCTTCCGTCCGTCCACCAGCCCTCCTGTCTCCTGCCGCTCTCTCCTCCACTCTGTCCCAGCGTCATCATCTTACCCTGTATTGCCAGCTCCCTCAGCTGGTAGTTAGTCTAAATATGCATATGAATATGAAATTAGTCGCATGTGTTCGTTCGCCTCCGCCTTGGTCTTCATCCTGCCTCCTATCACCCCTTGGATTGAATTGAATTTTCTATGCCAAGAGCTCGGCTTCGGGTAGGGTCCTGTGCTGTGCTCCTTTGCCTGAGTCGGGGGGCCACTGGGCTGTTAGGTTCTCGGTTAAAAGGAATTCCATGCGTAATTTAATGTTTGTGCATGTTGTTAAATGATTCACGATGAGCTTGGCTGCAGCAGCCATGAATGAAGTGAACCTGATTGGTATTAGGGATCATAAAAACGAGACTCAAACAAGCTAACTTTTGCTTTTCTTGGCCATATTTGTGTGCAACTTATTTTTATTAATTAGTGGAAAATTTATAAAAAAAAAAAACTTGACCTAAAATGTTGTAACTTCTCCAAACACAAATCTTTAAAATATATACACAGACAACACAAAAGCGATTTAAATGTTAATAGAGCACCGAAAAAGTGCAAACAAAACAAATACGAATTTATAACGTCGCGAATTTAGCTAAACTCCTGGAAGAATGGATGGTGGAAGTGCCAATGGGTGGCAGGTGTTGGGGGACCACTCTCCCAAAACGTATTTGCATAAAATTCATAACATATGCCCTGACACAGGCGCCGGAGGTGCCGCCGAGTAGGACCTTGCCTTTGTCAGTATGTGTGTGTAGGTGGGGATGGCACTGTAAAGAATATGCTCTTTTGAGATAAAATGTATAAAAATCAACAAACAAAACTGTGCAGTGATCAATGAAAATGTATTTGTTGCATTTGCATTTTAAATTCATATTTGACAAAGAAAACTCTTGGATACTAAAGATATAGATTGCAAATTTTGTGTGTTTCATGCATAAAATATGTAAAGTTTTAGATACTCTTATTGTTTATAATTTTTAGCTATAGATTGTTGTACTTAAATAATAACTTTTTAACATTTTATTTGGTCACCCACAAAATGTAATAATATAATATAAATAATAATTGAAAAAAATCGATAAATCGATTATAGAATCAATTTTAATTCCATCTCTATTTGTGATGTTCAATTATAATATAATAATATAATGCATATTTGGTGGAAAATTAAATGCCAAAATCTGTTAATATATAAAATTATTTCAAAATTGAATTTTTCGCTTAGTGTGGGAATGGGTTTTGGTTCGGCAGTGGATTTTGAAGTCGTCGCTCCTGATGCTACTTGATGGCATCAGGGTCCTGCTCACGTTTCCACGGAGTACGTCGTCATCATATTTGCTGAAAAAAAGGAGGCAAAGTAAATAAAAAGACATGTGGTGAGGAAAGCCGATGAAACGGGGTGGCTGAGAGCGTGGTTTCCTGCCTTGGCAAAAAATTAAGGAGAAAATTGAAATTGCCGCTGGGTAAAGTCAGCCAAATGTACAAGTTCTTAGCAAGTTTTGTTAATTTTTTTATATTCCATATTTTTTTATCAGAGAATTTATTTTATTTGTAAAGAGAAAGGTATTTTTATATCCTAACATAGTTCATTATTCGATTTCTATAAATTTTTTAAAGATTTTTGAAAGGTATATTTCTTAGAGTTAGATATATCAAATAGCTGTCTTTATCAAACTCTTATTTAACCCTACTGATGTCGTGTAAACCTAAACCTATTAGTTCCCCATGCATAGCACTCGAAAATTCATTGAAAATGATTTATAAATGCCGCCACTGAATATGCAAAATCTCCCCGGCTAAACCAAAAGTCAAAATGCAAATAAACCAAAAGGCCGGCCAATGCGCCCTGAACAAAAGCCCAAACACAGAGAACAGAAAAGACAAATTATTGTAGCTTTAGATTAAATGGACACACATTAAAGCAGGCATAGATTTGAGTTAGCAGTGCCGAGTAGAGTTCAGTGGTTTGCTCCTGGCAATGGCCAGAAAACCAAAGAGGCGGCATCAGAAAGTTTATCAAGCTCTTTCTCCGAACTCTTCTTCCATTTATTTTCGGCGACGTGCATAAACTATTTGCCAGAGAGCCCTGTGACAGAGACAGGGGGAGGGAGGCTGCTGCCAAAATAAAATAATTAAATGTGTGTGTGTGTCCCTATCTCTTGACGCTCCTTCGGTTGAGATGTTAACAAAATTTATAAGACAAATAAATTGTTGCAGCAAAAACAGAAAAGTGAATACCCAAAAGCGAGCAGATTTGTGGCACTACCCCTACTCTAACTGTCTGTCATTTCCCTTTTTTTCCCCCCCACTGACTAAGAGGAAAAAGGGTCAGCTTGGTGCGTCTGTCGTTTGCTGTGGGTCCTGTGACCAGAAAATTAATTTTACTGACACGTTTTCCATTCATATATTTCATACATTTTGTCACGAATAAACTTTGAGCTAGTATGTATGTCAGCGAAAAAAAAAAGTGCACCAAAAAACAAGGTGGCCTCAATTTATTTTATACTTATGATATTAAATCTTTTGAAATTATAAATTAAACCTTGCAAATTTTAGAATATAGAGTGTAAATGGAAATGATGGAATACATATATTTTCTGTATTTCATATAAAAGACTCTTATTATTCTCAAATTCAAACTCATAAAATTCAAGCTTCAGTTGTATCTTTTTGTCTCTCAGTTCTCACTTGAATAAAAATGTATGTTTACCTATTTAATTTCGAGAAGCAGCGACTCGTAAGCCCGACTTGTGGCTTGCGTGGCCGCTCAAGTTGCAAATTTTCCATAAGAATACGCCCAAAAGGACATCGTTGTCCTCCGCCAGTCTCGGGTTAAGTGAATCTAAGCGCTGCACTCCAAGCCAAGCCAAGCGGATGCGTCAGTTTCTCGGCTCTCGGCTTCCAGTTCTTGCGGCGAGTTGTTCAAAGGACAAGGAGGACATACGGGACATGGACACGGTATATATGCGTCTGTGTGTGGTGTCGCCCGTAATCCTTGCATTCGTAGTATCTGTGGGCGGCATGTGTAGCTGGGTCTGGGTTTCCGTTTGCATAATAAGAAGGCGAAGATTTACCTTACCATTTTCCAGAAGCCTCGTAAATGAGTGCACTTTGGATGTGTGAGGTGGACCTAGGTATAGTATGTTTTGCGAACTACTAAACTGATCATTTAATCTTGAAAATTCAGTTTTCTTTAAATAAGCATTAGGAATATATACATTAAAGCTGACATGTTGTTCAAATTAGTAGTAGTACCAACCTTGCGCTAAGAAGTAGGCAACTAACTAATTCATTGTGTTTTTCTCTCTCTTTACAGGTACTACAACTTTATTTTTTACACTCAAATAAACAAACCCAACACTCTCACACAACTCTACAGCGCAGAAAACACAAAACACTCTTCTAGAGACATACTCAAGCAATAAAAGACTCTAAACAGGCGTAAAAGTACATATTAATACTAAACATAGCAACCCGAAGCAAACAAACAAATCAAATTTAAAGCATTTACGAGATAAGTCTGCAAAAAGAAAGCGGAAGTAAAACCAATTAGAAGAGGAAACACGGATGAGAGGCGCAACAACGATATACAGTAATCTAGTGCTTGTCAAACTGCAGAGCCTTATTAAAACTAACTCCAACATCAAAATGTTGCAAATGCCAAAACAAAAACAAACTAGGAGAGGCAACAGCAACAAAAACAACAGCAGCATCAACAACAGCAATAACAACAACAACAACAGCAACAATAAAGCGCCGTTTCAACGTCGCAAAATTACAACGATAACATAAGCAATCCGAGCGAGATAGAGTTTAGAGAGCGAGCGAAAAGTGTGGAGAAGAGAAGAAAGTTCAGTTGAAAAACCAAAACGTTCTCTCCTTTCCCCCTACTCCACCCCTCCGCCTTATCCTCCTCCCACTCTTCCCTCTCCACCACTTCCACCTTGTTTCGTTTTTTGTAACTGTGTGCGTGCGTGTTTGTCTGCCTGCCTGCCTCTGTCTGTGTGCCCTCTCAACTGAGGATAATTGAATTATTTTATTTGTACTAAGCGCGCGTTATGGCACAGCAGCAGCAGCAGCAGCTACACCACAGCAGCAGCGGCGACAACAACAACAGCATTCTCCTCCTTCAGCAGCCGCAACATCACCAACAACAACAACAGCAGCAACAACAACAAGACCAACTGCAGCAGTACAATAACAATTTGTACAGTCAAAATTATAAGTAAGTTTTAGAGCCACTGACGACGCTGCACCCACGCTCGCTGTCTCCGTCTGTCTGTCGCTGTCTTGTATGTGTATGCCTGTCTGTCTCTGTCTCATTCCCCTTTGCTGATTACCGCCATTCTTATTTCCGTTTTCAATCGGAAATAGATTTAACCAAATGTTTCAGTTTCCGAAAGCGATCTTGAATTAAAGCATGATATCTAGACTTGGTATATGTATATATTTTAAAAGGTTCTATAAATCATAATAAGTCAATTTGAAAGTGCTTAAAAGTATGATAAAAAATATTTTTATATTAAACTTTTGCACAAACAAATTTTTGTGTGCACTGCTTGCTACTGGAAATAAAAACAAGACAAAATCAAATGCAAATATTTGCACTATTCAAACGCCCCCCGGAATGACGCTTCTTATGCGGACAGCACTTTGTTGGCCTACACACACTACTCTACACTACACTACACACCCATTACTAACCGTGATTGCGTGTTGCATGACACACATCGAGGGCTTGTCGAATTCTTGGCACCTAACAACAGCCATGTCCACAATGGAAGCTTAAATATTAGCAGACTCCCAAAAGTTACAGTTTATCAAATATGGCTCTCACTTGGACAAACATAGCATGAGATGTGGGTTGTTTATTTAAGAGCCTCTTCATAATGTACTTTTTTTGTCCTTTGACAAATCAGGGTGTTTGTATCATAATGCAAATACATATTTCAATAGCTGCATATACAAGTTTTTCTCTAATAAATTTCCTTGGGATATTACTATTACTAATTACAATAAGGATCATTGATTCGTGAGAAATAAAGCTAACTTCATGGATGTTTTCCACCTCTAGTCATAACACTACTAGGATATCATTAATAAGTATCGTTTTTTTCGGTATTTCCAATAATCTTTTGATACTTAGTGCAATAACTATTTAAACTATTGACAAATAAATATAATGTAATACTTTAACTTGTATGTTTGTTAACTCCATTTAAACTAGAGGGAAATTATTAAATCTAACACCAACTAATATTCCTTTTCTATATTATAAAAAGTAGAATAAAATGAATAGTGCCATTAAGACTGAGTCCTTGAGTCCTCGTCCTAGCCCTCAAGCACGCAATGCATGTGAAATGGTTTGTCCTGGAGGAAAAGCTTCGCCAAGCGGCGGAGATGTTTGTTCGCTCCATGTTTGTTGATGTTGTTGTTGTGTTGTCTTACCTGTGATGTTCTCTGTTTGCTGTTCTAATTGTTGTTGTTACTGCACCCCAATGCGAAGGCTTTTAAAATAGTGTGTAAAAAGGAAGGCCGCGAAAAGAGGCATTATGTGGGTGAAGTGAAACGAATCTAATATCTGGTCCCTTCCGCTTTTCCTTTGCAGCATGGAGGAGTACGAGCGTCGGAGAAGACGGGAGCGGGAGAAGATCGAGCGTCAGCAGGGCATCCAAATCGATGATCGGGAGGTTAGTCTCTTCGGTGAGCCGCGCCGGCTGACGGAGGGCGATGCGGAGATCACCGCCGCGCTGGGCGAGTTCGGTGACGCTCGGGTGTATATTAACCAGTCGACGGTGGGTATCAGTCGGCATCCGCCTGGCGCCGGCAATCCGCGCCTGCAGGCGCCGCTGTCGATGCCGCAAGCCAAGTCCCTGGGCCACTCTCCCTCCTCCGCCGCCGCCCTTGGGTCCGCAGCTCCTCTTGGTTCCGCATCCGCCTCTGCCTCAGCGTCCGCGAACTCCTCGTTGCACGGCCAGCAGCAGCAGCAGCAGCCACACTACCAGCAACAGCAGCGACCGCCAACGTATCTGAAGCAGGCGGACAACAAGCCGCCGTACAATGGACGCGGCGGCTATCCTGGCCAGCCCATGAAAAACGACATTCCGTCGAGTAGTGGCATGGCCCCGCCCCGCGGTCCGCCGAGATCTAGTTCCGGTACCAGCAACAGCAACTCGTCCAGCGCCACAAACAACGCCAGCAGCGGCGGAGCCACGGGCAGCACGCCCGCGACCCTGGGACCGCCGCTTTCCACCCAAATGCCTAACGGCCGGGAGAAGTCCTTTCTTGGCCCACCGGCTCCGGCGCTGCTTAACGGCACTAGCGGTCGGTTTGTGCCGCCGGCGGCCAGCAAGCGGCCTAGCAGCGGAGCCGGACTGCAGCAGTTGCCGCCGCCGCAGGAAAAGGACATTAGTAAAATGATAAGCGAGATGACCAACAACTTCCGGGTGACGACGCCGCTGACCTCGATTGCGGCCACGCCGCACGCGCCCACGCGCGAGAACTACAACCTGAAGGGGCCCAACAAGAACAAGTATGCCATCGATATGATCGGCTCCCCGCCATCCGCCCAGCCCTCGTCGTTGATGACGCCACTCTTCCCGCCAATTGCACCCATTGCCTCGCCCATTGCCCCGCTGCTGACGACACCGCCACAGGCCAGCCAGTTGCCCCTGGACATTATGGCCACCTCCGCTGGGACGATGGCGGGGGTAATGCCCCTCATGCAACTGCCACCCACTCCGCCCAAGGCCGCGTCCGTTGACAATTCTCCGCCAGCGGCCAAGCCGCTCAAATCGGAGAAAAATCATTCGCTGGAGAAGCAAGACTCTTGGTAAGTGTGAAGGGAAATGTTCATCAATTCCAGTACATCCTAACACTCTTGTTTCCGTTTTTTCAGCCTTGAAAACGATCTTGAGCTTTCCGAGTCTGATGATGACCGCAAAAAGGAGAGGTAAGTCTGATCTGCAGTGCCTTATCTATCAGTGCTGGAAAACTAAAGAAATCTTTTAATCTCTTACAGCCGATCGGCGGGCAACAGCAGCAATAGCTCCGAGTCGGACTCCAGCGAGTCGGGCAGTGAGTCGAGCATCAAGAACGAAGTGCACCACCATCCCAACCATCACCAGCAACAGCATCCGCAGCCAACCCTCCAGCAGCAGCAGCAGCAGCAACAGCTCCTCCATCGTGCACAGCAGCCACTGACGACGTCTAATGGAAGCCAGAACAAGAACAAGTACAGGCATGAGATCATAGCCAGGGGCAGCAACACAATCAGCGGGTTGCTCAATTCCAGCGGATTCGGGAGTGCCGGCACTGGGGGCTCTGGTGTAAACTCCACAGGCGGAGCTGGGGGAGGCGGCGGAGGCGGTGGTGGCGGCAGCGGCAACGCATCGGCTGCCGGCACCCTGAGTAGCAGCGGTGGCAGCTCCTCGAACAAGACGCCCTCGCCAACGGAGAGCAACAAGTGGACGCTGAGCCGATTCTTCCACAAGCCCGCCAACCAAACGAACTCATCGGAGAACGTTTCGCCTGGCAATGTGAGCATGAAGGTGCCGGGCATTCTGCCTGGCGGCGCCCAGATCATACCCGAATCCATTGAGGTGACCACGGCGATTGTGAAGAACGAAAAGATGCTGGTGGACGACCCCATGAACATGGAGGAGGGCGAGGAGGAGGACGACGACGACGAGGAGCAGCAGCAGCAGCAGCTGCGCTATGGAGCTGGTCTCAGTGTCACTCCAGTGGCGCTGAAGGTGAAGAAGGAGGCAATCGACGGGATGGCAATGGACGCAGAGCTTGCCCTGGGGGCGGCGATACCAAAAAACCAAATCAAGCGTGAGTCCGCGGAGTCCGCTTTAATCAATCCCCGGCTATCGGATTCCGGAACCAGTGGCAGCGGAAGCGGCTCCTCGAGCAGCAGCAGCAGCAGCTCGGACAGTGCGCCCGGCGGCTCTGAGGTGGTGCCTATGCCGGGTCCCGGCGAAACGCTTCAGTTGCCCGGAGTACCGGCCGCCATCACAACGGTGATGCGAGTGCCGCCGCCGACGCAGAAGGTTCCGCCCAGCAGCAACAACAGTGTCACTCTGACGCCCATTCTGCCGCTGCCAACATCACCCAAGCAGCGCCTGAAGAAACCGCGACGGAAGAAGCCGGCGACGAGTGCTGCCTCCATCCTGGAATCCAGCGACGACGACGAGCCGACAGCCAAGCATCCCAGCATCCTGGAAAACTCATCGCAATCGCAGGCCATGGCGGCTGGGCCAGTGAAGAAGGGTCGTGGCCGACCACGAAAGCAGCAGCAGCAGCAGAGCGGAGGTAGCGGCAATCTAAGTAGCGCTTCGGCTGGCAGTAGCTCCCAGACCAAAGGACCAACGCTGACTGCCGCCAAGAAGCCGCTGGCCAAGGGCGGTCCCCTGGCCATTGGCGGTGTGCAGCGAAAACGCGACCATTCCAGCCAGAGCAGCTCCAATGGCAACACGCCCACCAAAAGGCTGGCCACGCCGCACCTGGTGGCATCCACCGCCTCCCTGCCACAACCCGGAGCTGACGGCAGCACCAGCAGCTCCGACGAAGACAGCTCATCGAGTGCAGGCACCAGTTCCAAGTCGAGCAGCTCCTCGAGCAGCAGCGACGACACAGAGACGCAGAACACCAACTGTCGAATCGTCAAACTGAACAAGACGAGCGCCGGTGTGGCGCCCAAGGCGCTGCTGGGCGGCAGTGGAAGTAGTTCGCCGAGCAGTAGCGGCAGCGAGGTGGAGGATCATGCCAGGATCAGACAGCAGGCCCCGGGAAATGGGCCGGCGTTAGGACAACAGCAGCCACTGCCGTTGTACAAGCCTCAGGTGATGATGAGTCAGCACAGCCAGCAGCTGAGCAGCTCCGAGTGTTCCTCCTCCAGTGGCGGAGGCGGCGGCGGTGGCGCCAGTAGCAGCAGCAGTGGTGAGGAGGACGAAGCGCGCCGGGAGAAGGAGCGCGAGCGGAAGCCCAAGAGTGACAAAAACAAGATCAACACGCTGACAAGGATATTCAATCCGAAGGAGGGCGGCGCCAAGAAGCAGGGCCAAGTGGTGATCGTGGACCTGCAGGAGGAGCAGCAGCAGGGTAAGCTTGATCCGCTGGCTCCGCCTGCCGGCACAGTGCCACTGGCCAAGCTCCGCATGACGCCCACCCAGCAGCAGCTGGGAGCGGCTCTGGCCTCGCCAGCGAGGACAACGACTCCACACCTCACATCACTGATCTGCAAGATCGATCTGAGCAAGCTGTCACGGGAGCGCGTCATGCGGCTCAAGAAGCTAACGCCTGCCCAGCAAAACGGCCACCTTACGCCAAAGGATCAGGCCCAAGTGATGGCAGGACAGGTACCCAACGGCTATGCCGGCGATTCGACGCATCCGAATTCCACGCCCAAGGTCAAGCACGAGCATCCGGTGAAGCCGGATCCTGACCTTGACTCCGGATACGAGCCAAAGTTTAAGCCCAGTAGCGTCAAGCAGGAGTTCCAGTTGAAGCAGGAGCGCGACCGCGACAGGGAGCGCGAAAGGGAACGTGAACGAGAACGCGAACGGGAGCGGGAACGTGAACGGGAGCAACCTCCAGGGAGACGGCGCAAGCGCAGCTCCAGTTCCAGCTCCAGTCCATACAAGGAGAAGAAGCGGAAAAAGGAGAAGGGAGCCGATCAGCTGCAGATCGGCAAGGAGCTGCTGCCTGTGCCCGTGCTCCTGCCCTCCAACAATCACGAGCGAATGCTGCCCAACCACGATCGCCTCTCCTACGACAAGCTACAGCTCCTTCACGAGGACGCTGCGGCGGCCGCTGCTGCAGCCGCTGTTACAGCTGGTGTTGTGTCCGCCACCGCCAATGGCAGTCCCAGTAAGAAGCTGCTGGCCATGTCTCCGCTACCGCCCCCGCCAACTACAGCCACCGTTGCCTCTACGGCGATGCCCACCACATGCAACGAGGCCGTACAGACGACTCCGTCGTTGGCAACGTCCACAGCGACAACGGCCTCCACAATGACAATTGCAGCACCAATGGCAGCCGTTGCTCCAACGCCCGTCACGACGAGGCTGATCTATCGTTCATACTTTGATCGCGAGGAGGAGCATCCCAGTGATGACCTCAGGTAGGAATTACCTCTTGGAGTTTTTGTTTTTGTGTTCCTATACTTACCCTTCCCCCTGTTTACTTCCGATCGCTTTAGAAAAAACAATCAGTTCCTGCAGGAGGCCATCAGTCGGAAACATGCCGCCGACACGGAGCGCGATTCCTTCAACCAGGTAACCCTATATCTGGAGGCCGTTGTGTACTTCCTGCTAACTGCCGACGCCATGGAGCGCTGCAGCTCCGAGGCGGCCACCTACACCATGTACAAGGATACGCTGTCGCTAATCAAGTGAGTATAATACCGGCTCGCTGGAGTATCCTTAACTACATTACCCTAATTTACCGAAATCTTTCAGATTTATCTCCTCCAAGTTTCGTCCGTATCAACAGTCAACGAACGGTCAGCACGAAACGCACAACAAAGTGGCCATACTCAGGTGAGGTGTTCGATTATGAGTTCATAAAATTCAATTATTTAATTATAAATTGTATTTTTCTTTAAACGAAACAGCTTGCGTTGCCAATCGCTGATATCCCTGAAACTGTACAAGCTGCGGCGGGCGAATTGCCGTCTGGTCATTGCCAGACTCACGGATTTCTTTCGCACTGGCCCGGGTGACATTGTCAACGGCAATACGCCGTCCTCCATATCACCATCGAACTCGGTGGGCTCACAGGTGAGCAGCATAATAGGCCTGCAACTTTTGTTGTGTTACAAGAACAATTTTTGTAACTTAATCATGCAGCCCTGTGTAAATCTAAAATTCGATTTTATTACAATGTCTATTTTTTGTTGTTTCCAACAGGGCTCCGGTTCGAATACGCCGCCAGGCAGGATAGTGCCTCAGGATATACACACGCAGCTGTGCAAGCAAAACGAGTATCTCTGTTATGTCAACAGTGCTCACGAGTTGTGGGATCAAGCCGATCGATTGGTGCGCACAGGCAGTCATATAGGTAAGTTAAGCAGAAACTCTTATAGAATGAAATATCCCTTTATGATATATAGACGAAAATAGTGAGCTTATAGTAGAGATGGAAATAAAACAATTTTTTTTTCTAAAAAATTTCGACAAGTAAATCGATTATAATCTTTTAAAACCCTATAATCACTTGCAGATTTTTTCCGCGAATTGGATCACGAGAATGGCCCGCTAACGCTGCATAGCACCATGCATGAGGTGTTCCGGTATGTCCAAGCGGGCCTTAAGACGCTCAGGGATGCCGTGTCGCATCCGACGCACCAGTAGCGACAGCGGAATCGAAGACGGAGGCGACGGAAACACCACCAAACGTGTCTAAACAACAGTCAGGCCAAATTAGCAACTATTATTATATACTACAAGATACTAATTTAGTTAGTCAACAAACGAAACAAAGCAAATCGAAACCAACAAGCAACCTTCCAACAAAAAGAAAAGAGAAGAGAAAGGGAACCCTACATCAGCATGCAGAAGCAGAAACACAACAAGAAATGATTTTGTTACTAATTTATATTTCGTATATGTAATTTGTATTTTTGAATAATGCACACCAATTACTTATTACTTATTTTCCTTATGCTCAATTTTCAATTGTTTTTAAAGAATGGTAAGCTTTATATTTATGCCTAGTTTTAATTGATATTACCTACAAATACACGCGGAAAACACACACATTACAAGTTATATTAGCTGTATGTCCTAGACTGTAAGCCAAAAAAAGGAAAGTCCAGCCGTCAAGTAGCCCCCTTTACTTGTCTCTTCACATTTTTAGTTGAATTTTGTTTTTGTATGCGTGACAAGTACTGCACAGGAGATGGATGGATGGCTCTTTAAATTGTTTAAGTTTTAGTTAATTTTCGCTCTTCAGCCTTGTTAGCAAATATATATACATATATATTAACGCGTATGTATAAAGAAAAAGTTATAGTTGTAAATTCTTTGTAATTATTTCATTACGAAACATTTTTATTATTTTTAAATTAGTTTTTATTAAAAAGCAATCACACACAACACACGTTTTTAGAACAAAATACACATGAATGAAACACACACGATATGCATATATTAATATATATTTCAAATATATACACGTATATGGAAATTTGAACATTGTTTTTGTTTTATTTCGTTTCTTACACCGAAAGCATCTACCCTTCCCACATATGAACATACGCATATTCGATCTATTATTATTAATGGGTGCCTCAAGAACTCACACAGACGCAACAAGTAATAGTGCATTAGTAGAATTAAACGAGTTAAAAATCAATCGAAATAGACTTGCCCTTGAAATCGATATAGTACTTAAACATATACATTACATATAAACTGTACATATAGCCGCCGATATATACACATAACATATATATTTTTAATATGCCAAAGCAAAAGCGAAATGCATTAAACTAAAGCATACTTTAAGTCCTATTTCAATCAGCCAGAGGAAGCGGCGGACCCAGCAAAGTCCGGGTTCGGAGTGGATATAATGTGGATGAAGTGGAGTGATCAATCGGAGGGTTCGCCGAGTTGGCAGCATTTGGTTGACTCTTTTATTTGGCATAGAGTCAAAACTAACACCACGAAAATCAAAGTGAAAATGTAACGAAAAACCAAAAGGGAAAGCAAAAAAAAAAACACAATTAAAACTCTTTATTAAGTAATAAAATGGTTCTGGGGAAACAACAAACAAAGCATTCGCATTCAACAAAATGAAAAAAAATACTACGTTATAGGAAAATTTTAAGTTATACTCCTAGGATACGAGACGAATCGCAATTTTAATTGTGTAAACGGAACTAAGTGTAATTATTATAAATTAAATCACAAACAGAGGCAAGGCTGCCACAGAAATCTTTCCGGATTGGAAATATTTCTAAATGGTATTAAAACACGAAAGAAAGCTAACTTTGGCCAGGCAAAGTTTGTATACCCTTGCAGGAAACAATTAAAATATATCATAACTAAGCCAAAAATGCATTAATTTTGATTCGGAAAGCAGTTTTGTGTTAGTTTTTATTAATTTAAAAAAACTGCATACCAAATTTAAAATTTTTAGAAATCAAAATTTTTGGCCTTTTTTGCTAATTTTAATGATGTAACCCCTTATCAAATTTTGCAAAAATGGCCTAAAAATCGATTTCTTCCGGACATGTCTAGAAAGATTCGCATGTTAATGCTGATCAAGAATATATATGGTTTATGGGGTCGGAAATGATTCCTTGACTTAGAAAAATATTATTTTGTATTATAAAATCGGATTTTTTATCTTAAAAAACTTATTGATTTTTTTAAAATTAATAATATCATAACTCGGCCAAAAGAGCATTAATTTTAAATCGGAAAACTGTTCTGTGCAAGATTTTCTACAGTTAATAAATCTGCAAACTTTATTTAAAAATTTTGAAAATTCAACTTTTTATCAAAATCAAAAATTTTAATGATGTAACCCCTTATAAAATTTTTCAAAAATGGCAAAAAAATCGATTTCTTCCGGACATGTCTAGAAAGATTCCCCTGTTGATGCTGATCAAGAATATATATACTTTATAGGGTCGGAAACGTCTCCTTCACTGTGTTGCAAACTTCTGACTGAAATTATAATGCCCTGCAAGGGTATAAAAATACGTTCAGAATGTTACACTGTACAAAAAGAGCCCAACCTACAATGAATTTGTGACCTAAATTATTTCCGTGCTTATTTATTAACATCCCTTACATTAATTATTAATCCATAGCGATTTCTGTGGCTCCCCCAGATGTATTGTTAATATTTAAAACTCTGTAAATAATACAAAACACGTAGAAACAGGAGACACGGACATGCTATAAGGACATACGTACATACATATACATAAATACTTGCATACATATACACCACTTATATATTGGTATATATGAAGATAAACATATATATATATTTTTATATATATACACGATGAAATACAGCTAAATAACGGTAGAAGTCATAGTTAAATTTTTTCAAAACGACAAGATCAACAACTTGCAGCAATAAGCAACAGAAAACAACAACAGTAACAACAAATAACAAACGAAACGCGCCTAGAAATACATAGTTAATAATTATATTTTGTTAAGCGTTATTATAGAAAAGAAAAAAAATTAAATAAAGCAAACCGAAGACAGAACGAACTGCAAGAAAACCAAAAGAATTACGTTTTAAGCTGGGCATTAGAATGACAACACGAATGGTTCATTAACAAAACTAAAGTAAATATATATATATATATTTTGTACAAATATAATTCAAATCAGCCGCAGCTAAAACCAAGTACACTTATTAAAGTTTAAGCAACAACAACAACAAACCGAAACAACCAATTTAATATGCAATTACCGTAAAGTAGTTGATAAATCAAACGAATAAAACATCAAAAAATTGTAACATTTAAAAATTTGTGGTTTTATTAAAACAAACATCTTATTTAAAAGTTTGAAATGAAATAAAAAAACCCAAATGGAGGGATCCAAAATGTAATACGCATTATTTGACCAAAGTGAAAACTTTAGTGCGGTTCCAAAGCTTTATAAAAAAACGGGGGTCATACAAAAAATTAGCTAAACATTTATCATTCCCCAGTTATTTTATTTTTTAACAGAACTAAAATATCAAAACTAATCGAATATGTAAGATATTTCTCAAGTTTCTTTTTAACCCTTTTCTAATTTCTCATAGCTTTAGGCCTTAGAATTGATTTTGTTTAAAGATGATCAAGTTAAAACGCAGCATTGTAAGGTCAACCAACTTTTTTTTTATGAAAAAAATACTTAAATTACCAATTTCGATCTAATATATGTTTCGATTAAAGCTCTGAATTGCATCCCTGGTTTTATAAAGAGTCCTGCACTGTTCACCTTCGATAGATCAGTGTTGGTCAACAGCGTCATCGCAGATCGTGCGCTGCGTTGCCATACAGTTTAATGATCCTCTGTTTGCAACGTTTTCTAACACCACAGAAAGTTTTAAGGTGTTGTGATGATCGTATTGAATATTATTAACTCCCGGTATCAGCTGTTGATAAACCGTAAGTTGCAAACAATTATGTCAGCTGTATATTGCTTAAGCGTGATCAGAATTGAGAGTTGTGTTATTAGCTGTGACCACGTGTCCGAAATGTCCCAGACGGGGACGCACCTTGTCGAAGAGCACGTGGAAGCGCCCAATGCATTATTCTAAGGAAGAAGCGCCGACATTCAAAAAAGTACAGGGCAGGCCCCAAGGATCTCAGACGTCCCATGTAGCAGCTGGTATAATCCTAAGAAATCGCCTTAAAACAGCCAGGTTTGGAATCATCCGTTTTCCGAAAACATTAAACCAAATTCAAGGAAATTCATTTCTGTTTCACATCGGCATCGTGCGATACCGGATCCTTGCCATGGGCTAAGATATGGAAGCTCTGCCTTTCATTGACACCGAATTATAACTCAAGTAATACTCAAAATGTTATGCACTCTAAAAGATACTTAAAACCCCAAAACTTTGGGATGCATCAGGAGCCCATATGTACGTATCAACATTTTATACATATGAGCCTAAATTGTAATATCATCTAGAATACGTTAATACTTTTCTTTTTATTCATCGCCTAAGCATAAGTTAATTCGTGTGTACTTGCTGTTGGTGCAAAACGGCATCAAAACAATCCACGAGCTGAAGAGCGAGGGGTCTGTTGCATACTTGTGGGCGGCGAGGATGTGGCAGGATGGAGAGATGGGCCATTCCGCTGGCAGAGTTCAATGGTCTTTTGAAAAATGATGTCAAGTTGAGCTCGCCGAGCTGCTGGCTTTGCTTCCCTCCGTGCTCGCTCTCTATTTTCGCTCTCAGAGTCTCCATCGCTCTCCGCTCGCCGTCTCCACGGAGCTCCAATCAGCTGCCTGGCCCTCTTCGCCCCCTGGTTGTTGTTGTTTAACTGTTTGTTTGGGTGCCTTTCTCGGCTCTCTTTGCGGCCGGCTTGCGATGGTCGGGTCTCTCGCTCACACTTGCCGCCACCTCAATGGAGAAAGAAGAACCTACCGCAATTCGTTTTGTGTTCATGGCTGCATTTCCTTGTTTATGTTTTGCGAGCGAATGTAGGGTACTCATGGCCGAGAGAGCCGCGGAGAGTGTTGCGTCGGACACCGTTATGTTGCCGAAGCTGTTGCAGCCTGCGCAACTTTCGACTGCAGCTTTTTGTGAATTGTTGGAGCTTGTCGTTGTTTGCAGTCCCTTTGACATCTTCTTCTTCCCTACCACCCTGCTTTTTCTCCACCTCTTCCATTCACTTGTGTGGAACACAATGTCACAATACCAACTTATACTGGCCAAAACTGGGAAATTCAAATAATTGTTTCCGGTTATGTCGAAAGTAGTTTAATTGCGATGATAAATCAAAATAGTATCTCTATTTGAATATTATCCTCTTCTTTTTTTTCTCGGGGCGATGTTTTTAACTTTATTAAAACTAACCAACCGATTAAATATTTGTAGATACTCACGGGGTCATTGGAATTAAGCTTCTTATTTGCGTGTAACCAAAGCTTGCATTGACCCCACTGTGCATGCCAGTGCAAAACTACGCAGTTATGCTATGCATTCGTCTTCCGTCAACAATCCCCCCGTCCACCCAGTGCCTCCACTCCCTGCTGCCCCTTCTCCGACCCACTCCCACTCTCACGGAGCGTGCTCAACTGTACATCGATGGGAGGAGGAGAAGGAGCCGCTGCCGCCGCTGACTGCGACGCAGCAGAGCTGGCGCGGGTCCTGGCTGCAGTTGTCCTGGCGGCAATCGAACACTTTAATCATTTAGTTCTTGCACTCTCCGGCAGCAAGTTGTGTTTTTTGATTCTCGTCGTATTGTCGTCGTTCCTGAATTGTTGTATATCGGTATCAAAGTACACACATCTTGCATATTCAAACCACTGCGCCCACACATGTACGTCCGTGTGCCCATTTGCACACAGTGCTAAGTTAAACATCTAAGAATCAGTTCGAAAACCCCAAGTGTCCGTGTGCGTGCTCAACTAAGTTCTAAAACTAATTTGCATCGAACGAATTTCGAAGCAGCGCCACTAAATCGAAAGCTGTGCGAATTGGCATAGGATATTTTGCGGCGCTGTCGAATAAAAGTAAGCTAACAGAAATAGTTACGGCATTTTATTTTGCATGCAAGCAAAGTGCCCACACCCAAAGTCGATTTTTCGCTTTGCATGCATACATGCACACGAACCAGTGCCTGTGTGCGGAGGAGAATCGAATAGTAAAACGGGGCTCAATGGGGCGGCTGGCTGTCGGCAGAATCGCAATTTCTCTACACTCTGGTATATATATTTGCCGCCTACACTCACACTGACGCTTAAACTCTCCCTCACACTCGCAAGCTCCTGCAGCTGCAGCGCCGGCATCGCAGTTTTCAATTCGCTGCCTGCAGCCGCAGCTTAACCCAAAAAACGAGGCAACCCAGGAGCGTGCCACCCAAGGGGGTCACCATTTCGAATAAAACTCCTTCCAACCCATCCTGTTATTTTTTACGGCTGAACTTGGATAATATTTAATTAAAAATTGCTTCTTAGATAAAAATATAAAAAAGATATATTATTATTTTGATCCAGAATAACGTTATAGTTTATTTTCTTTCTTGAGCTACTAGTCTAGGCGATCCCTTTTCTCCGCCTCTGAGTTGGCAGCGCAACCAACTGCAGCTTTCGGGTAAGCTCGCTCTCTGAGCTCGGCTAACTCTCACACTTTCGCGCTCTGACCATTGCATATCTTGTGGCGCGCTTCCGCTGCAGGTTGCGCTCTCTTGAGCTTGGAGCTCTCTCGCTCTCTCTGCTGTTTATTTTTGCCGCACCCAAATGCAAGCGGCCTCCATCCTACAGCCTTAGACTTTCTTGCCCATTTCTTTTCTGGGCACTTTCTCGTGCTCTTTCTCTCTCCTCTTACCCTTTGCCAAGGTGTGTCACTTTTTTGTTTTGTTCCTGCTCTTTGAGTACGTCTTCGGCTCCGGCATGCAAACACACGGAGAGACTCCCCTTCGTGTGGCAGTGTGTGTGGTCCTGCAAAGGTATTGTGTCGGTGCAATCGGTGCATCCATCAATTAGCAGGAAGCGATTTTAAACAATTTATGAATGAAAATTAATGGTTTGCACCCCACTATTTGTGGGCGTTCATTGTGGGAGAGTTCCTGAAGGTGTGCTAAACTATCGGACTATCCCACTCAAATTTTTTAATTGGCTAAGTGAGTTCTAGAATTCTAATCAAAATTAGTAGGAAAGGTAGTGAAGACTTAGTTTACTATAATATCAGTGCAAATTATGAGGAATATTGGCTTTTTTAAATTTCGAATGTTTTATTATGTTTGATATCGGTAGCCTAAAAGATCAAGGATCTTATAAAAACGTAAACATCTCCTGGTGATGGTGATTAAGATAATACTTAAATATAGGTTAGCCGGAAAGAAATGTATTTATTTATTTATTTATTATTAAAAACATACCTAAACCAAAGAACAATTCATTTCATTTAAATGTTGTTTGTGTTAGTTTTTATTACATTACTCCCAAAACTCCCAAATTTATGATTAGATTTCCGATTTCACAGTACCTCCTTCTGCTTGTTTCACAAATTCTAGGTTGGCACTAAGTTGAACCATGTGGGAACCGATTATAAACATGTACTTCTCCCATTTTGTGGATCACACCGAAGAACTAGACCCCAAAGCATTTTTGACTTTAAGTATCTGAAAAGTAACCTGGTAGTACTTTTTTATGATAACGAAGAATAAGTAACAGCTTTCGTTATTTATCCAATAATTCTTTAATTGTGGATACCAGGTTCTGGTCACAGCTGTTTCTGTCAGCCAGCAACTCCAGTCTTTGGAAGTGGCACAGAAACACTTGCATTTTTACCTGTGAATCCTGTATTTGATAATATGTACCCGTAATACACAGTGTGCAAATTCTGTACGCTTTTGCAAAATCCAATTATAAAATACCTCCGTCCATCTCGTGCCTCCATCTAGCGAATATATACATAGTACCAGGCACAATTACTGGTATAGTTGGCGACCAAATAATTGGATCCATTCTCTCTTGCCTCGCGCGCGCGAAGAGCAAGAGCAAGGGCCGCGTTCTGGCCAAGAAGCCGCCACTCTCTCAATGTTCCGCTCGCTACTCTCCGCGTATTGGACACATTAGTAGTCGCCTTCGCCGAGGGGCATAAAAATAATTTCCACGCCGCTCGCCAATTCAGTTTATTTCTGTTCTGTTGAGTTGCAGGAACACGTTCTTTTCTACTTTCCGTTCGGTTTTATTTCCTTATTATTATTATTACGAATTAGTTTCACACTCTTCGGTTTGGCTTGGTTTATTATTATTATCATTACCATTCGATAAATAATATTCCAAAATTATTTGTTCGGTTTCGGTTATATTTGTATGAGTACGATTTTCCGTTTGTCGTTTTGTTTTTCGGGAGCGCTTTTCTTCCGTTTGGTTTCGGTTCGTTCGGTTATTATTAAAAATAAATAAAGCAAATACACATCCCCTGAAAATTGTTTCGTAATCGCGTTGAAATCTAGAAACAACCCAAACAACAAGTTATATTCGATGTACTCATGATTTAGAGACTAAAGGTAACCAGAGGTCTTTAACACGGCTATCCGGGGGGCTTATGTAATTTGATGAAGAGTTCAATATTTGGAGATCCCACCCTAAAAGCTACTTAACCTCAAACACGCGCCAATAAGCGGCAGCATCTACATACATACGTCAGCTGCGATGTGTTTTTTGTTTTAAAAATATTTTCGAAAATATAATCTTGCCGGCTCCGCAGCGGTGCGATTCTTCTCGCACTCATCATACGCCCATTTGTTTGTTTATTTTTAAAATATAAGTTTTTCGCACGATTTGCTGTGTTGAATGCAACAAACTGCCTTCGGACTGGCAATGCGAATTGAACACACATTTTTGACCAAAAGGTGCAAAATTCTGTTCTTGATCTCTCTCGCCAGCCATTGACATTGAGTTAGATATATGTTAAAATATTTGTATCGCAAAAAAGTTATTGATTAAATAAGAAAAGAAAAACTTGATTTTTTTTTATAACTTTATGTCTTTTTAAAAAGTAAGAACAATAAACTTAAATTGAAATTGAGCCAAAGCCTATATAAGTTTTTTTCAATCCGTCTGCAAAAATATTTACAAACATTATAGTTTGATTATTCAAGGGTTTCGAATAACTTTACACACTTTACAAACACTAAGTGAGTGTTAAATACAGGATAAATGTACATACATTCTTACTAATTGCTTTCCGAAATCAAAAAGTCCAATTTGAGTCTGGGCTAAAAATACATTTCTGTTTTTGGACAAATTTCTGTTTCCATAACAAGCAGCAGATATAAGTGCGGCGGCAAAGAGAAAGAAATTCATGAAATAATTTATACATACATACATCACAAGGTAATTTGCAGATACGTCAGAGAAACAGAGTATATTTTGTCTGTAAACAAAGTATTGCATTGCACAACCCCAAGTTTTTTTTTAAGACTGAAAACTTTAATAGAAACAGAAATGTGAGTTGGCTCTTTGTTAAACTAGAAACCTATGCATACAGAGACCACTTGCTTTATAAATAATAGTATGCCTTTCAAAAATTATAATTGAATAAATAAACCAAGAAAATACATAAATATAATTGCCATAAAGACATGTTTTGAATCATCTTCAATTGTCTTACCTATTGATATATAAATTTTGCCATTTATTGCGTTTAAATTGTATCGATTTTCAGTCACTTTTTGCCCTATCTTATCCACATTCATTCAGTATTTCAGTTTGGCAGCCAACCAGCAATTTTGCAGAAACCGCAGAAACAAAGAGCCTCGGATATTTGTGTGGCTTCATTAAAAAGTTTACTTTTGTTATTTCCGCTGTTTCCACGGAAAACGTTGCTGGGGCAAGGCGGAAGATAGCCCGTATTTCATTTAAATTTAATTAAAATAATTGATTTTTATAGGAATTTTGTTGTTTGCTCTTTCAGCTACAACTTTCGGACCCACACATATAACGTACTCAAACGTGGCGAAGCGCTTTTAACTAGGCTATAGTAAAGGCTAAATTCATCCACTGCGGTTTCTTGGCGTGTGCATCTCTGAATAGGGTAAGCCCAAAGTCAGGAGCAGAGCTCAAAATATTACTAATCCAATTTATTCACTTGCAGACTTCACAGCAGCAGTATTATATTTACAGCGACATACACAACTAACTATCTACCCCCTTCTATATCTGTTACTCGCTCGAACAAATTTCCGAAGTAGAAGAAAGCCGTAAGTATGTATTTGCGGTCATAGTTAACGCTCTAAGTTTACATAAAGTATAGTTAAATTACATATATAAATTAATTACCAACTTTAAAGCTTAGTTTCTACTTTCTCCTGCAGCAGCAACCTCCTTACAATGGTCGAGGGTCAAACAGCCGTGCAGCAGCAACAGCAGCCAAGCGGAGCTGGCAGCAGCACCACTGGATCTGGCGGCGGATCGGCGGCTGTGACCGCTAACGTAACCAACAGCCAGGCTCAGACGAATGGAGGCACCACCACTTCAGCCCCATCTGCGTCGACAGGAGCAGGAGCGGGAGCTGGGGCCACAGCAAACTCGGCAACTGCTGCTAGCCAGGCTACAGCAAACAATGCGACCGCTAGCAACAATAACAACAACAATAATAATAATAACAACAACTCAACGGCGAATAATAATAATAATAATAACAATAATAACAATAATAACAATGAACCAGATCCCAAAACCAATTTAATTGTGAACTATTTGCCGCAAACAATGTCACAGGACGAGATTCGCTCGCTGTTCGTTAGCTTCGGCGAGGTGGAGAGCTGCAAGTTAATCCGTGACAAGGTGACAGGTGAGCGCATAAGTCAAGGAACTCGGAATATATAAGCACAAGTGTAGAGCTCTAATTTAATCTAGAAAACATACATATGTATAGGTATTCTAAGGAATGTCACAGAATATATGAATATGAATTTGTAATTAATATGAAATGTATTTCTCAGCTCTGTAATTAGAGACAGGAATCTTAATTCTCTTTCTATTTTTTTCAGGCCAGAGCCTGGGCTATGGATTCGTAAACTATGTCAAACAGGAGGATGCGGAAAAGGCCATCAATGCATTGAACGGCTTGCGGCTGCAAAACAAAACCATTAAGGTCTCCATTGCCCGGCCCAGTTCCGAGAGCATTAAAGGTGCCAATCTCTATGTATCTGGTCTTCCAAAGAATATGACACAATCCGATTTGGAATCATTGTTCAGTCCATACGGCAAGATCATAACTTCGCGCATTCTTTGTGATAATATCACTGGTGAGTGTTTCAAGCATTGGTCCAAAATGGGAGAATATATATGGTAGTTATCTTAATACTTAAAGACCTAATATGGACAGTCGGAAAAGATCAGTTTGTTATTTGACTTTCCTACAGTTTTGTATTTTTTTAAGCATGTCCCAAAAGGAAATATTTCTGAATAGTCTGCATAATTTTATTTCGGAATTTTGCTGGCGCTCCACAATATATTCTTCTACGTTTTCAAATTAGTGCATTTATAATTAATCCAACATTTTATTTTCAACTTTATTTATTACATGTAATACCAAAAATAAGATGAACATGCACCGGGTATGTTTTCTATTATCATTTTCTTATGTTTAACTATTTTCTTATGCTTTTCATCGACATGATTGCATTATAACTCGCTCGCAAAATAGCTTGAATAAAAAGAAGCCATTCATTAAACACAATCATCTGCAATGCATGGCAGCAGCTAGCTAACTTTTTGCTTTTCTTCATATAAAATAAAAGCACTTTTTGCTGATCTATTACCGCCCGACTTTCAGGTCTCTCCAAGGGCGTTGGCTTTATACGCTTTGATCAGCGATTTGAGGCCGATCGGGCCATCAAGGAACTGAACGGCACCACACCGAAGAATTCCACCGAGCCGATAACCGTCAAGTTTGCGAATAATCCCAGCAGCAACAAGAACAGCATGCAGCCTTTGGCCGCCTATATAGCACCCCAAAATACGCGAGGCGGCAGAGCGTTTCCCGCTAATGCTGCAGCCGGAGCAGCAGCCGCCGCTGCGGCAGCCGCCATTCATCCAAATGCAGGGCGTTATAGGTGAGAACGAAGCCACAAAATCTATATAACTTTTAGATTGTTTACTAAATTGCCTTTATACTTGTTATATCGCCCAACCTATATACAGCTCTGTGATCTCCCGCTACTCCCCTCTGACCAGCGACCTAATCACAAATGGCATGATCCAAGGCAACACTATTGCCAGCTCTGGCTGGTGCATTTTTGTCTACAATCTGGCGCCCGAGACCGAGGAGAATGTGCTGTGGCAGCTATTTGGACCATTTGGTGCCGTGCAGTCAGTGAAGGTGAAGAAAGAAAGAAGGAAAAAGGGTTAATTATAGTAAACAGTGCGAAAAAGTATACAATATATTGATGAAGATACAAATATATTAAATACTTTTCCGACAAAGCCGACAGTTAAATGGAATAAATTAAAATATATTTTAAAATTTGATTATCATCAAAGATTTTTAGTATTCGTACTACTTAAAAACATTTACTTATAACTAATTTCTTATTATTTTTGGTTCCATCTCAGGTGATTCGGGACCTGCAAAGCAACAAATGCAAGGGCTTCGGCTTTGTTACAATGACAAACTACGAGGAGGCTGTGCTGGCCATACAATCGCTAAACGGCTACACTCTGGGCAACCGGGTGCTTCAGGTCAGCTTCAAGACCAACAAGAACAAGCAAACGTAATTATTAACCAAGTTGGCTGCTGTTGTCAATGCCAATGCAGCGGCGGCGGCGTTGGCGGCCAATGGTTTGGTCCTACACAATCATCATCACCATCACCACAACCAAGGCAGCATCGCTAGCAACATAAACATCAACAACAACAACAACAATAGCTATCAATTTGGCAAATACCACAACAGACAGCACAACACCAGCAGCAATAGCAACAATAGCAATTTGAGCAAGCAGCTAAGCAAGCCAGCGACCTCGACCAGCAACAAGCAACAATCAATAATGCCGCCACCTAAGAGATTAGCCAGCAATACTGCAACAACGGCCACATCAGCAGCAGCAACAGGAGATATGGCCATTGCAACACCTCCCAACAACAACAGCAGCAGCAGCAGTCACACGCTGTCCAACGGAGATGCCGCTTCCTCCTCGTCGTCGAGCAACATCTTGAAGACATCCACAAAGTTCATTTACAACAAGCCGCAGAATCACTACGAGCTGCTGCAGCAGCAGCTGCAGTTGCAGCAGGAGTTCGCACAATTCCTGACCAATGTGGCCAACAGCGCTGCCGCAGGCACAGGCACGCCCGGTAACAGCAGCTCCGCTAACAGCTCGGTGAACCAGCGCAACGGAGGACTCGGAATGAACGCCAATACGCCAGCTGGTGGTGTTCCTGGCAACAAAAACAGTAGCAACAGCAACGGTTATATGCCCTCCTGGTCTAATTATTTCTTTTAAAGGCTTAGCTTTTGTTTTTCAGCAGCCCCCATGCCCATGAGTCATAAATACTTGGTAAATTTGGATCCAATTTGTTAAGCAATCTGCTAACCCTTTCAGTTAATTTCAATTATGTAGCTTTTAATTTTGTTATATTTGTCAGTTGAATACAAACTACAGAAGAAGCGCCTTCACTTTCGTTAATTCATCATCAAAATCTTGAATTTTTTCCAATGTTTACTCCTAAGTTATACGGCCATGTTTAAATATTTAGATTCTAATTCTTTATCTTTATATGACTTTTAAAACACGTCTAGTCGCCTCTCGCAAAGAGAATAGCTTCCAGAAAGAAAGATAATAGGAAACAGAAACGGTAAACAGCTGTAGTTAAGTTTTTGTTTGATGTAGAAGAAAAAGAACGTACACACTCGACGGTTATTTTTAAACAGAGAAACAGAGAATAAAATACAAACAATTTGAAGGCATTTGAAGAGCCAAGAATCCACCAAAGAAATGAAAACAAACATGACAAATATTTAAGCTATAAATAAAGATGTATAAAAATGAGAAGCGAAACAGAACTGAATGATGCGTAAATTTTGCAAATAGACATTGCAGAATAGAAAGAGAAATCATACACAAAGCAAAAACAAAAAAAACCAACAAGACATGCATAATATATATGTTTATGTTTTCTATATATTTAATGTAAAACTTTTGCTAAAAATAAATGATGTATGCATATAAAATATTATAATCGAAACTTTTTATTCTTATCCTAGACATTTGTTAAACATTGTTCCCCGTAAACCTTACACCTAGTCTTCAGTATGTATGTTACACATTCAGGAGTGTCACAGAACTCGCTGTGGATTTACAATTTCAATTCCCACGAGGCTCAAAAGTGTGCTCTAAAAAAGATCATAGTTTTCAAATCTCCAGCTATTTCTGTGGCACCTGTTCCTTCTTCGTCCTTTAGTAAAACAAAAACAAAATATAAATAATTGACTCTAAATCTTGGTGAAGTGCCAGAGAAGCGCGAAATTATTGAGTGAGCAAGAAATGAAGGGCAACAAGCAGAGCTGAGAGAGAATTTTTCAAATACAACGAATAAATGTTTAAGAAAAATTGAATGAGAAATTGAGAGATTAATTAAAAAGAGATGTATCAACGATTGTGTAAGGCTTAACCAAAATCCAGCTAAGATATCTAAGCACGCCACCACTCAAATCGAAGTTAATGACGAACTGAAGACCAGAAGAAGATCAGAACAAGTCCCTCCCTTAGAAAAATTATGAAATCAAAGCGAGATGTACGTAACATAGATCAAAAAACGCGCGTTTCAGCCTAACGAATTTGTTTAAGCCCAAACTCACAGCAATAACTTCAACTAAAGAAGAGATCAAGTTAAACAAATTGCCAAACTAAATATAATACAAGTTTTAAAATAAATCAATTGACAGTTATGAATTTCAAATGAAAGAATTGAGTTGATGGAAAAAAGCGGAGACATAAGATAAGATATGATTGGTGCTTCACAGATTTCCTCCTAAAAAAGAGGGAATTACTGCAACAGAATCCTTAAAAAAATACAAAAATCTTCAAACAATCTCTAATTTGAATAATTGAATTATTAATATTTTAATACGTTTAATAGCAGATTTGTAATTTCAGTTCTATTTCAACACACCCCCAATTGAGATAAGAAACTATCGCAGTGTTACACACGAGATGAACTATGCTATATCTTTCTATATATAAAATCTATAACTATTTATATTAAACAAAAAAACTATTACATATGATTAACAATATATTGATGTTGTGTATTGCAAATTTTAAATGTTTATACATACCAACCAAGAAAATTATGATGGAAACTTAACTTATTCACGGCAAGCATTAACATAAAAGGAGAATCCATTTTCATGTATACGTCAAGTAAATTTATTGCATAAACTATTTAAAGCTAATTACCAAGAGCAAATTATATATACATACGAGCATAAAGCGTTACGATTATTAGGTATGTATGTGTGTAGTGCGGCTTAATCTTCCCAACTCTCTCTCCTACCAAGGACTCCGAGACAGAATCCTTGCTCCCAACTCACACTTTGTAGTGTGCGCAAAAGCTTGACTGAACAATTACATAGAAATTCTGGCTTTTAAGCGATATATTAGGAATAATAATACCTTCCAGTAAATCTCAACAAAGCAAGTTCAACAAAATTAAAGGGAAATTAATATTCTGTAAAGAGAACAAACACCAAGATGAAAACGTTTTTTATACAACAATGTAGGAGGAGTTGAGGCACAGTTTTTTGTGCATATTTGTGCGGCACAGAGGAATATGTTTAGCTAAAATATAGATTCCAGGCGATTGAGAGTAACAGTGAATGATAAGCATGAACAACAACCCAAAAGCAATCGATTATATACATTTTTTAAGAAGGAAATGTTTTATAAATGATAAATATAAAGAAAAACAAGAAACAAAAAACAAAAAAAACGCAAGAAAACCAAGAAAGTATTTTAAAAATTTAAATATATACATGAACACTATATATACAATATATTATATATACATATTATAAAAACTTAATGGGTATGGTAACGAACAAAAACACCGCACAATAATATACAAAACGAAAATGAAACCGAAACCGAAACTGAGAAATGAAGAGACGACGGGACATACGTAAGAATTCAAATTCCCAGAGAGTAAAACTAAACGTGCAGAAAAGACTAATGAATCGAGGAAACTAAAGAAACAAACGAAAGGACGAGGCAAATTTATAATTTTTACATGGTAAACGCAATAAATGTTAACATTTAACGATATTGACAAGGACAGTATATAGAAAACAAAGCGCATATCTTGAAAACAAAGGATGATACCAGTGTATTTGAGACATCAGGATCTCAAGGAAGCAAGTGGAAAACCAAAACTAACCAAATAAAAAAAAAACAAGAACGAGAAGTTACCACAAATTTTAAACTAAACAAGTGAAAGGCCTAATTAACGCTACACTTTTATACTTTTACACCAAAACAAACGAACAAGGCAAAGGCGATGATAATGTTCGTTGTTTTTCTGAAAGCACCTTCGCGTTTTGAAGCCAATAAGGTTGTGCAAATGCCTGCAGATCTGGGAGAAGCCGGCACCGGAACCGGAAGTCTGCAGTGCGCCCTCTTTAAATGTCTGTTTCTCTCACACACAGATACACCCCCACACAGCAACACCCCCTCTACCCCTGCAAATGAATGTTGAATAGCAAACAGGTTCGTTGTGCAAAGTCGAAAGGATGCTGCGAGTTGATGATTATTAGCTAACAATGGCGTTTAGGTGTAGCTTTATACAACATCTGGTACCGGATACAGTTTTGAAAAGAGAAAGAGCAAAAGCAATACAGATCTTGTAGCGTGAATCGCATCCTTAATCCCTAATTTACATCCGAGAGACTTGTAGAAAGCTGACGTGTGTTGACTCCTTTCCTTGTTTCAGCTACAGTAACATCCTCCTTCACAAGATCCAGATATCGAGCACAAAAAAAACAAGGAAACGAATACGAATACCATTTTGTAATGCGAGTCATCATCCAGTAAGACGCTCTCTCTATATATGTTTAAAGCTGTTCAAGTAAGAAAAGAGGAAACACTCAAGATATATATTATAAATTAATTAAAACCAAATCTTAGTCGAAAAGAAACTTAGTCAAAGGTACTAATTTTAAGCACTATTGTTAAACGCAACTCAACGGCATTAAAAATGGAAATGGAATCACTCTTTAGCCAAAAAACTGAAAAGATATATGGAAATGGAATCTTAACTCAACTCAGAACTCTAGTGGCATTCGCTCTTTCAAGCTCAAAAACATAAGTTAACGGACATGTATTTAATTCCACATAACAGATTACAATTAATAAATTCAAACTCATTTATATTTGTCTATTGGGTTAGCCTTGCCATAAGGCATTAAGCCACATATTAAGTATATATGGAAACTATATGCATATGGAGGGTTTTTTTCTCGTCGTTATATATACATAGTCGAAAAATATTGGTGGACAGTATCGCGTATTGTAGTAGCAAATATGTATTTATCTTTAATCATCACAGGATGGATAACAAGTTATTCCAATTTAAATTAAAGTGCATAAATTATATATTGAATTACTTACTGTCGAGTTCTATCTCTCTCTCTCATATGGACACAAAACCTTAACGATTTCCTTCGAATTTTCATTCAATTAACTTAAAAAGCAAGCAGCAAACACACACAAGAAACCGAAACGAACTCACAATATTAAGTGCGGAAAATGTCAAGCAAATTTATATAGCATATTTACGGTATTTACTCTGTGCAAGATTTATTAAGAATCAATTATACTTCATTATGAATTAATCTGAGAATTTACAAACAACAAACAAACACACACTACACACAAGACGAACGATGAATGAAAGCAACAATTTATTCAAAATAAAGCTATGAAATGATGTGTTTAAATAATGTTTTTTTCTCTAAAAGCATTCGATTTATTATTTATGGGTTTATCTTTTATGTTTATTGTTGGAATTGAAATATTTAGAAAGCCTGTAGATGGGTAAAGCCGGAAATGGGCTCAAAAATGTGGATAATCCTTTATTTGTAGTGTAGTATAAAGCTGTCTTAATGGGGTCTTCTCATACAAAACCCGTTTTTTGGACCCTTTTTAAAAAAAATTCTTATTTGAAAACGCAAAGAATAATTGAAAACTTTTTAACGTTTTAAATTAAAAAAAAACAAGAAAGAAAGCTAACTTCGGCACGCCGAAGTTTGTATACCCTTGCAGATTGGTTTCGATGTTTAGATTATAGATTTAAATGCTGAAAACACTATACATTTACCGATCGCTTCTATGGCAGCTATATGGTATAGTTGTCCGATTTTTATAAAATTTATACCAAAATTCTAGAATAATAAAAAAAGCTTATATCTGAGAGTAGATAAACATACGTTGAAAAACACCGAAGCTATAATTTTTATACCCTTGCAGGGTATTTTATTTCCAGTCCGAAGCTCATTACGCATTGAAGGAGTCATTTCCGACCCCATAAACCATATATATTCTTGATCAGCATTAACAGGCGCATCTTTCTGGCCAAGTCCGGAAGAAAACAATTTTTGATCAATTTTTTCAAAATTTTATAAGGGGTTACATCATTAAAATTCTCCAAATTTGATAAAATTTTCAATTTCTAACTAAGTATGCAGATTTGTTAACCTTATAAAAACTAACATAACACCGCTTTCCGAATGCAAATTACGGCATTTTTGACAGAGTTATGCCTTTTTTAGTTTTTAATTTTCTGTTTTTCTCATTTCTAATGTAATTAACATCATTTTCTGAATTTTTAAATTTTTTTCTAAATTTTTAAAAATTTTCCTGAATTTTTAAAATTTTTTCTAATATTTTAACTTTTTCTTTAGATTTTTAAAATTTTTTTAGAATTTAAAAATTTTTTTTTAATATTTTAACTGCCAAATTTGAATTTGAATTTAACTGCCAAATTTGAATTTGAATTTAACTGCCAGATTTAAATTTGAATTTAACGACGATCAGTTTCAGTGTGACCAGGTGCAGTTGTAAAATAACACCTAAATTTGGATTCAAAGGGTTTGAGTCTCCGCTTACTTGCGCCGGCTCCTAAATGGTTCGAAACTTGGACTTTTTATAACAGTTTATACCAGTTTTCAGTTGCTTGCTGCTGATTTCTGTTCGCCTGTTACCCCAGTTTGGGCAACGGCCAAATTGGATGGAAATTTTTGCTCACTTGCATGAGTGATGCTCATCTGCATCAGTGATGCTCATCTGGCTATATTTCAATATTGGAGGGCAATAAAATCGGGCTTAATGGCAGTGATGCGCATGTGCATCAGTGATGCTCATCTAGCTATTGTTTTGCATTATTGGTAGAAAATTGCATCTCACTAGCTGCCAGTGATGAGCATCACTGATGGAAGTGAGCATCACTGATGGAAGTGAGCATCACCGATGGAAGTGAGCATCACTGATGGAAGTGAGCATCACTGATGGAAGTGAGCATCACTGCTGGAAGTGAGCATCACTGATGGAAGTGAGCATCACTGCTGGAAGTGAGCATCACTGATGGAAGTGAGCATCACTGATGGAAGTGAGCATCACTGCTGGAAGTGAGCATCACTGATGGAAGTGAGCATCACTGATGCAAGTGAGCATCACTGATGGAAGTGAGCATCACTGATGGAAGTGAGCATCACTGATGGAAGTGAGCATAACTGATGGAAGTGAGCATCACTGATGGAAGTGAGCATCACTGATGGAAGTGAGCATCACTGATGGAAGTGAGCATCACTGATGGAAGTGAGCATCACTGATGCAAGTAGCAAAATTTTTCATTCAAATTGGCCGCTTTCCAAACTGGGGTAACAGGCGAACAGAAACCAGCAGCAAGCAACTGAAAACTGGTATAAACTGTTATAAAAACATTTGGGCAAAAATAATAATTGGTATAAACTGTTATATTTCATTTTATGCATTTATACCTATTTGTTGACGACAACAACAGCTTGATGGCAACAACAACCTTTTTACAACAACATCCCTACAGCAGCCAATCCAAATTTCCGAACATTTCCATGCAAATTGCCCGTTTCCCAAATTGGGGTAACAGGCGAACAGAAATCAGCAGCAAGCAACTGAAAACTGGTATAAACTGTTATAAAACGTCCAAGTTTCGAACCATTTAACAGTCGGCGCAAGTAAGCGGAGACTCAAACCTTTTGAATCCAAATTTAGGTGTTATTTTACAACTGCAAATTCAAATTTGGCAGTTTAATTCAAATTCAAATTTGGCAGTTAAAATATTAAAAAAAAATTTTTTAATTCTAAAAAAATTTTAAAAATCTAAAAAAAAGTTAAAATATTAGAAAAAATTTTAAAAATACAGGAAAATTTTTAAAAATTTAGAAAAAAATTTAAAAATTCAGAAAATGATGTTAATTACATTAGAAATGAGAAAAACAGAAAATTAAAAACTAAAAAAGGCATAACTCTGTCAAAAATGCCGTAATTTGCATTCGGAAAGCGGTGTTATGTTAGTTTTTATAAGGTTAACAAATCTGCATCAAATTTGGAGAATTTTAATGATGTAACCCCTTATAAAATTTTGAAAAAATTGATCAAAAATTGTTTTCTTCCGGACTTGGCCAGAAAGATGCGCCTGTTAATGCTGATCAAGAATATATATGGTTTATGGGGTCGGAAATGATTCCTTGACTTAGAAAAATATTATTTTTTATTATAAAATCTGAGTTTTTATATTAAAAAACTTTTTGATTTTTTTTAAATTAAAAATATCATAACTCGGCCAAAAGAGCATTAATTTTAAATCGGAAAACTGATCTGTGCAATATTTTCTACAGTTAATAAATCTGCATACTTCATTTAAAAATTTTGAAAATTCAATTTTTTATCAAAATCAAAAATTTTAATGATGTAACCCCTTATAACATTTTGCAAAAATGCAAAATGCAATTTGCAATTTTAAGTTATTCTTTTATTGTGTATACATTTATTACCAATGGCTGACAAAATCTTAAATTTATGTTTCTTAATATAATACATCTGGAAATCTTCGATTTTATAAATGAAAAACCAAATCAAAATATTCGAATTAAATTAAAATTTGGAATTTAAACATAGGAAAAGCAATTTAAATATTTTTAATAGAATCACTTCCTCCTTGATACTGAAAAAGGACAAGTTCATAATCTAAACGGCCATTTCCATCTGGATTTTTGGGTAGGGATTGTAATCGACTATCTCAAAGTCCTCAAACCGAAAGTCCTCAATGTCCTGCACCTTGCGCTTGATCACCAGCTTGGGAAACGGACGCGGAGTGCGCTGCAGCTGCTCCTTCAGCGGATCCACATGATTTAGGTAGACATGAGCGTCGCCCATGGTATGAACAAAGTCACCAGGCTTCAGACCTGTCACATGGGCTATCATGTGGGTAAGCAGGGCGTAAGAGGCGATGTTGAATGGCACGCCCAGACCCATGTCAGCGCTCCTCTGGTACAGCTGACAGGACAACTCGCCACGGTCCTGGGATACGAAGAACTGCGCCAGGCAGTGACATGGCGGCAGCGCCATCTTTGGTATATCCAGGGGATTCCATGCGGACATGATGATGCGCCTGTCCGACGGATTGTTCTTTATCGTCTCGATCACCTGACGCAGCTGGTCGATGCCCTGGCCGCTGTAGTCGTCGTCGCAGGTGCGATACTCTGCCCCAAAGTGCCGCCACTGGAAGCCGTATACCGGGCCCAAATCTCCGACTGCCCGCTCCGTGTGGCCCAGCTTGTCCAGGTACTCCCTGGTGCTGTTCCCATCCCATATGTGCACGTTTTTGGCTTGGAGAAGCTTGGCGTCCGTCTTACCAGCGACAAACCAAAGTAGCTCCTCGGCCACGGCGCGGAAGAAGACACGCTTGGTGGTCAGCAGGGGAAAGGACTCGCCGCGCATATTGAAGCGCATTTGGGCACCGAACACGGACAGTGTTCCCACCTGTGTACGGTCTATCCTACGTTCTCCGTTCGCTATGATGTGGTCCAGCAGATCCAAATACTGCTGCTCGTCCTTATTGATAGCCGGCGACTGCACCGAGCTCCCATTCTGCTGCTCCATTTGGATCGGCTTCACCTTTTCCGGGGAAGTCAAATGCTTCGTTTCGGTAGACAAATCCATTTTGCAAAATAAACAAACTGCGAATCAGGAGGGAAATATTTAGAAAATGGCGGGAAAAAGTGTGCTCGGAACATATTGGCATAAGTACTTGCAGGCCACACTGGCTTAAGTCAGTCGCGAAATCTGGCAAGGTCGTTTTATAAACGTTTTTTTTAAACTATATTATTTGTACTTAATTTTACGTTTGAAATATTGATATTCTATCTATCGGTTCTATGGTAGCTTTATGGTTTAATAACATACCCCACCCATTAACGCAACTTTTCCCAAACTATGTAGCTGCAAGATGACAAAATTGTGGGATGATGTTTACTTTATTCAAAAATACAAATTTGGATGATCGATCTACAACAAAAGGTATGTATCAAATAAATACAAAGAATACAAACCAAAACGGAAAAACAGTTTGCAATCGAATAAAGTGAAATACAAACAAACAAAGTATATGTATGTACATTCTAAATATTGAAAAATACGGTGATTGGGCAGTGATCGCTTCCCAGCATTTGCTTGCGAATCGTGTGGTCCACTATTTTGGAAAGGAATCGCTCGGAGACAATGCAGTAGTCGAGTCGCCAGCCCACATTGCGGGCCCGCGCATTGGACATGTAGGTCCAGAAGGTATAGGCACCCTTCTGGTCGGGATACAGATGCCTGAAGGTGTCCACAAAACCCAGATCCAACAGCTCCGTCATCTTGTCACGCTCCTCCTTTGTGAAGCCGGCGTTTCTGGTATTCGCCTTCGGGTTCTCCAGATCGATGGGCATATGGGAGACATTCATGTCACCGCAGATGACCACCGGCTTGAGAGCGTCCAGCTTTTGCACATACGCCTGGAAGAGCTTCTCCCAGCGCATACGCGGCTCCAAGTTAACCAGCTTTCTACCTGAATTCGGCACATACACATTGATCAAGTAGAACTTTTCGTACTCGGCCGTTATCATGCGTCCCACGTCGTCGAATTCCTCGTTGCCAATGCCGTACTCCACATGTATGGGCATGATCTTGCTGTAAATGGCAACGCCTGCGTAGCCACCAGGCATGCACAGCCAATATGGGTGGTAGCCCGGCAGGCGGGTCACCTCCTCCGGCAGCTGCTCGTTGGCGCACTTGGTTTCCTGGCATCAACGGGATCTCAATCAGTCTGAATTCGGCAAATTGCTCAAGGGATACACTTACCTGTAGGCAAAATATGTCCGGCTCCTCAAGATCCACCAACTGAAGGCCGTCCTTTTTGAGCCAAGCCCTCAAACCGGCCACATTCCAGCTGGAGATCTTCAAATTGAACTCCTTATCGTCAGCCAGGGCGAAGGCGTCTTTGTCCAAGGTCTCTTTGACACCGCCCTCCGCCACCTTTTTGGGTTTCTTGGCTGCTGGAAAACATAAATTGAGCACGTTTTGCAAGCTTTTCAATACGGCAGCACCACCGCAACCGGCCTGCTCCGCCATACTCATACTTTTCGAGCTTTCCCCTTCTTCCACATCCTCCTCGACACTCTTCGCCTTGGCGGCTTCCCTTTTCCGGCCGCGAACTGTGGGGGAGTAAATAAATGTTGAATGCTGTGGACTTTGGCTTATCATTAGGTAGTTCTCACCTGGTTTGCTCTCAGCAACTTGATCTGTAGCCTCCCCGTTGTTCTCCTTCTTTGGCCCGCGTTTTTTGCTGGGCGCTGCCGGCAGCTCATCATCCTCCTTCTTTTTCTTTGCCCTCTGCTTAGTGGGCTTGCTGGCCTCATCACCGCTATCCCCGTTTTCTTGAGCAGATTCTGCCTGCTTTGTTTTCTTACCCCTTTTGGTGACGGCTGATTTGGGCGGAACTATATCAGAGTCCCCAGCAGGATCGTCTTCGGGTTGTAAAGCCTTCGGCTTCTTGGTTCGCTTACTTGCCGCCTTCTGAGGCTCTGCTTTCGGTTCCTCCTCCTCTTCATCCTCAAGGGCAGCGGTGATCTCCGAGTCAGCCAGCCCCTTGGTTCCGCGTACTCGCTTGGCAGCTGCTGGCTCAGCTTTCTTTACCTTCTTCTTGGGGGCTGGCACTGGCTCCTGTTCTGACTCCTCTTCGATTGGCGGTTGGGGTGGTTCTTTCTTGGCCCGCCGCTTTGGTGGCTCAGCTGTCTGTTCCTCCGACTCGACGCCATTAGCTGCTGCAGGAGACTCCTTTCGCTTGCGTCCCCTTGCCTTTGGTTCCGGCGCTGCCACTTCCTCTGGAGCGGAAGTAGGCTCTTTTTTGGCTCGCGATTTGGACGCCTTGGCGGCTGGGGGATCAATCTTTTCTTCCTTTTTAGCACTCGCCTTTTTGCCGCGTCCCTTTGGCTTGGCGTCAGCGATTTCTGCGTCTGTATCCTTTGGCTGCTTCTTCTTGCCGCGTGCAGCTGCCGGCAGCGGCTCCTCTGCTCCTACTTCCAGTGCATTTTCCGCAACTTCCACAGCTGCCGTGGCCTTTGTCGTGGCTTTCCTTGAGCGTGGCTTTCCCTTAGCCGGAGGTATGGCCTCGACTGCCGCCGAGTCGGCTGATGGGTTTTCGTGGGAGTTCCCATTTGGAGTGGGGTCAGCCGTCTCCGCTTGTTTCTTTACCGTCTTGGCGCGGGGCATTTTGCAATGATGTGGAACGCGTTGAATGCTCTCTACAGACGCGATAGCATTTACTTTCAGAGTTGCCCTTCTTTCCAGAGGCTTGTCTGCGCCCTTCTGCAGACCGAAAACAACAAAAAAAGAATCTGCGCGGTAACGCGCGGCGAGACTTAAAGAAGCCGGTTGCAGTGCTGCGAAAGGACCGCAGGCGAACGTGTTCGTCCCTGTTTCTGGTCCATCTCTAGAAAAGAGTTGAGAGAGACGAGAATCTTTGTAATATTTTCTTATTTTTTGTATTAATTTGCAAGACGCATAAGTTGAGGTAAGTTCTTGGTTGGAAACAGAGTCTTTGAAATTATTTTCCAGTGCATCCATATTTTAATTGGCACTCATTGAGATTGCGCCACCTTCTTGTGCTCATCCATGAATGACGACTATGGTCGCGCTTACCAACACTGGTTCAAATAATTTGCAATACATCCCCGCTGCGGCAATTTTTTAAATATTTGGCACAATCTGTTTATTTATTTGTTCGCTTCGTAGTAAATTTTAAGAACTAACCGCTGAAAGATTCCACAAGTGCAGGAAAGGCTGAGTTTCGGGCAAAACTGACGAGGCAACAAAGTGATATTCGCCTGACCCATTCAAAGCGGCTGAAAGATGCCAAGCGAAATAATTACTCTGCAGCTGGGACAATGCGGCAATCAAAGTAAGTTTATATGTCGGAAGAAGGCTTCCTGTTTATGCTAATCCCTTGGCAGTTGGATTTGAGTTTTGGAAAAGGCTGTGCCTGGAGCATGGCATTTCTCCCAGCGGCGTGCTGGAGGACTTTGCAACAGAGGGCCTGGACCGCAAGGATGTGTTTTTCTACCAAGCAGACGACGACCACTACATACCGAGAGCCGTGCTGCTGGATCTGGAGCCGAGGGTGATCAACACTATAATGGGCTCTGCATATTCGAAAGTAAGTACAACAGGGAAAACCCTTGATCAGTGAATTGAAGGAATTGTTATTTTTTCAAGCTCTACAATGCGGAGAATGTATACCTATCGAAGCACGGTGGTGGAGCCGGCAACAACTGGGCATCTGGCTACAGTCAGGGCGATAAACTGCAGGAGGAGGTATTCGACATCATAGATCGCGAGGCCGATGGCAGCGACTCGCTCGAGGGCTTCATACTTTGCCACTCCATTGCAGGCGGCACGGGCTCTGGAATGGGCTCGTTTATCATGGAGCGCCTGGCGGATCGCTTTCCGAAGAAGCTCATCCAGACGTTCAGTGTTTTCCCCAACCAGGACGAGATCAGTGACGTTGTGGTGCAGCCGTACAACTCCCTGCTGACCCTGCGCCGCCTGACCAGTGCTGCAGACAGTGTCGTCGTCCTGGACAACACGGCTCTCAACCGGATTGCCTGCGACCGCTTGCACATCCAGAATCCCAGCTTCTCGCAAATCAACAATCTGGTCTCCACCATCATGAGCGTGAGCACAACCACACTGCGCTACCCCTCGTACATGAACAACAATCTCATTGGGCTGATGGCTCCGCTGATACCGACGCCCCAGCTGCACTTTCTCATGACTGGCTACACGCCACTGACCAGCGATTCGGATGTGAACAGCCTGCAGACAGTGAATGTGCGCAAGACCACCGTGCTGGACGTGATGCGGCGCTTGCTGCAGCCCAAGAACATGATGGTGTCGACGGGACCCGACAAGACGAACCACCACTGCTACATCTCCATTCTGAACATCATTCAGGGCGAGGTGGATCCCACACAAGTGCACAAGTCGCTGCAGCGCATACGCGACCGGAAGATGGCGCAGTTCATCCCGTGGGGCCCCACCTCCATCCAGGTGGCCCTCTCCCGCTCCTCGCCCTACGTGCAGAGCAACCACCGCGTGTCCGGTTTGATGCTGGCCAACCACACCAGCATCTGCTCGCTCTTCGAGCGGGCACTCAACCAGTACGACAAGCTGCGCAAGCGTGGCGCCTTTCTCGACCAATTCAAGCGCGAGGACATATTCAAGGATGACCTCAATGAACTGGATGAATCGCGTGAGACGGTGGACTGCCTAGTGCAGGAGTATGAGGCTGCCACACGCGCCAATTATTTGGAGTTTTCTGTTAAGCGAGCATCTGAACAAGAAGACCCCAGGACTCCTGATGATGCCAAGTCGGTGGCCGGCGGTAGCGGCTAGCTCTCGGTGCTTCCCTTCTCCAATTGCGTGCCATGGAATTCCTTGAACCACGTCTTTGATTCATGTTCCCAGAATAAGTATTGAAAAGCTTGCAGTTTGTGAAGACGAATTTGTGTTAATTGCTTTGTATTCAAATACAATAAACTCGAAATTACATATTATTTTTGGTACATTTGTGTATCCTAAGTCTTTGAATTTCTTGGAAGTGTTTAGGAAGGATTAGGTATCTCTGATACCGCTGGAAGGAGTGGTACAAGGTAAGTGTTTTAATTTCAATCACAAATCAAATGGCCAATACTAAATTTCAAATCCCGAGTATTGGCCATTTCCCAGGGTATTTGCATTGTTAATACTTCATTTGTAAAAGGTTTTTTTGGTGGATTTCGATGAGATTGCTTGTGTTTCCTTGTTTGTATATCGTTGTTCTCTCCTTTAGATGTCTCTAGCCTTTAGTTTTTAGTCACTAAGGCACTTCTTACTGCTCATCCTCCTCGTACTGCTGCCCGTACTCTTCATTACCATTGCCATGCTCTTCATCAGCTATCTCGACACTCTCGTTCTCGTCATCGTCGTCGCATTGAACCTCGTCCAAGACAGTCATCCCAGAAAGCTCTATATCTTCATCCTCTTCGGTAAGGTCAATCTCAGGCAGATCGGCAGTTACCTCCTCAGTTACCTTCTTCTTGGATGATTCGGATACCGGCTCTCGGGCAATGTGACAGGTGAGCTGATCGAAGTGGTAGCTAATAGTCATGCCTCGCTTGCTTATCAGCTCCAGCGACTTGTCGCCAATTGTAAGGGTCATTACCTTTCCTTTCTTTGACTTTGACGGGAAGCTGCGCAAGATGGACCAGTTTCCAGACTTAAGATCAGTATTCTGCCCCTTCAAGGATCTCAAAATGACGTCGTTCGGCTCATCAATTGCGCGCGGCACATAGAAAGTAATAGCCTTGGTGTTGGGGATTTCGTCTTCCTTATAGATCCGCAGGTGTGTCCCCTTCACGGCGGTGATCTTTGGCACCACCTGCTCTAGCCATTCCTTGGAGGCCTCGTCTAAGCAGGTAACTACAATCATACCCTGGCGATATTTAATACCTACAAAGTTCAGACTGTGCTTCCAGCCTTTCTTCATTTCCTCCAGCAAGGCGTTTTCGATCTTGGTGAGTTCGAAGTTCTTCAAGCATAACTTGGGATAGTCCATGGCCACCACGGCCACAGCCAAATGATCCTTTCCAGAGGTCACCTTGGCGCCCTGGGGCAATTGCTTTTCATTGCTTTTCCTTGGCTTCTTTGAACCATCTCTGGCGTTGCTGTCAACAGGGCGCTTTCGGTCGCCTGGAGCTATTGAAGATTGCACCGGTCGGCTGCCGGAAGAAGTCCTTCTGTACTCCAGTATCTTGGCTACGGCCTCCTCCGGAGTAAACCCATTTTCCAGATGCTTTTGGTACCATTTGCGACAGGCTCCATTAAAGCTTTTGAGAACATTACCCAAGGTGTCTGAATCAGACTCCAGTGGACGCCTGCGCTCTTCGCCAGGATTTCTACGCTCCACCTGCGCCTTGGGGTCTGGGTAACGTACCCCATGCGGAGCTGTGTCCAGTGACTCTGGATGGCTCCGATGGCGTTCTAGAACCCTCTCACGAGCCTCATCCGGACTGCATCCCATATTCATGTAGCGATAGAACCAGTCGCGTGCAGCACTGTTGAAGCCTCTAAGAAAGCCCTCAGCCTGTCCCTTCGACGGTTCCTGGGCATTGCTCTGCATCTGCACATGCTGTTGCTGTTGTGGCTGATTTTGTATCACCCTTGGGTTCCCATTGGAAGGCCCTGACCACGAATTCAATCCCGCCTGTGAGGCACCAACCCGGGTCTCGTTCCACTCAGACTGGACGCGGCTCCAACGAGAGTCGCCGGAACGCTGCGGAGCTAGCGACATGTCACTGGATGCTAGGAGACGACGAGAGCTGTTGTCATACGGGGACCAGCCCGCCATTGACAGTGAAGACCTCTCGGTCCCGGTATCCCGTCCCGACAAAAAGCCGGCCCAGCTGGCGTTGTTGGTCCCGCGGGAGTTCATCCAGGCCCTTTGCTTGTAGCTGGAGTCCATTTCGAAATTACCTCTACCAAATTGAAAATCAGAATAAAATATTTCAGCAGCAAGCACTCACCGAAAATTAATAAACCGGCAATGGTGACTTCCAACTAGAGACTGTCAACGAATGATTCGTTACGAATCCTTACTGTTCGTGACACGGCGTGCAAAGTGTCAAATCGAAGATTAGTGTTCAGAGATGCTGTCCCGATTCTGTCCCTGTTCGTGATACCTATCGATAACCTGTCACGATTCTGTCACTGTTCCATCTCTTTTCGTGATACGCATCGCTTCCAGTGTTGGAAAAGCTACCTAAGTTCAACACAATAATGCACTTAAAATTCAATGTAAATATATACACAGCGTAAGAATGGCTCTTGGCACAGATAATGTGGCTAAGAATTTGGGAGATCAGCCAAAGATTTCCACATTTGCCGTGCTGGATCTGGAAACGACAAACTTGCCTGCTTTCAGCAATAATCGCGTTAGCATAACGGAGCTGTGCATTTACGCCTTTGAAGCCGCCCTTCTGAAGCAGGATAATGCTAGCAAAGGAGTCAAGGGTGAGGACCAAGAGATGCTGCCGACGCCACCGCGTGTTCTTCACAAGCTGAATCTGCTATTCCAGCCTTCTATGAGGGTGCATCCAGAGGCAGAGCAACACACAGGTTCGTGGGTCGCAGACAATAGAATGTTACAATTTCACCACATACATATGCATCTACCAGGTCTGAGCAACTATCTGCTTGAGCGGGAATCCAAACTTGACCGGGAATCCGCACAACTCATCATCAGCTTCATAAAGCATTTGCCAGCTCCGGTTTGCCTGGTGGCACACAATGGCTGGGGCTTTGATTTTCCCATCGTGAGGCAGGCCCTTGAAAAGCTGAACCTGGAGTTCCCCCCCTCCGTGACATGTGTTGACTCACTCCGTGCCTTTTTGGAGATTGACGATAAGCGGCTTAGAGAAGAAAGTATCATAATAGAGCCTGTGGAAGCAGAGCACAAGGATCAAAGAGAGGAACCTGACCCCGAACCTTGCAAACTTGATAACGAAATCATTCCGCACGTAGAGACTGAGACCGTCAAGGAAATCGACTGGAAAATTAGGAATGAAACCACGCCAAAGCGTCCGATTCTAACGCCCTCGCAAGCATCTGCAAAACGAAAGCAACTTTCCGATGAGGACGATGATGACTCACAGACGCCAGCTAAGCGCACAACGCAGGATTTCCGCTCGAGACGCCAATTGTTTAGTGGCCTGAAGTGTGCCGAGACGAAACGCTTTCCGCCACGTCTTAAATACAGATTAGGAAGCCTCTACACTAGTAGATTCAACCGTCCAGCACACAATGCTCACCAGGCGGAGGCCGATGTGGCCATGCTTACCAAGCTCATACAGCATTATGGCATTGATTTCCTGGCCTTTGCCGAGGAACAGGCCATTCCATTCCATCAAGTTAAGCCACTGGGTTCGCCGGCCCAGGCAAAACGATGACCACACTGGGGGCCAATAATGTTCCACCTGGCCACTATATATATTCTTGTCTTGAACGAACAGTGTTTTTATTGTGTCACAAATAAATGCATGATTTTAATATTTTTTATACACTTGATACTGTGAACATTTTATCAGGTCAAAAAAAGGGGTCCTTAAGGGTCTTTTCTGGTTAGGTTTTTGCATTTTTCGATAGCTCCTGCTGTTTTCAGAACCATTTACCACAAAAAAAAGTATACAATTCCACTCATGTTTTAAATTTTTCAATTAAATTTAATATATATTTTATAATTATTGATATACATCATATATTTATTTGTTTTCAGACACTACAACATATTATATTATATCGTAATTAATAGAACCTTTTAATTTAACTAAATTACACTTCTCTGAATCATTCGCTGTTTCTCTTTATTTCTATATTATGGTAAATATAAAAGAATGCATTTGGACAAAAACAAATTCTTAGCTGTTTCCATCTCTCATCATCCTCATCTCATTGCTTTGTGTTTTTTACAATCGTATAAGTTAATGCATAAATATAATAGTGAGAATTTGTAGTTGGTTTAAAAGCTTTTCAAACGACTCTGTTAACTGCACACTTCCATAACCTGCTGCTGTACAATTTAATAGTAGAAAAATATTGATTTATACACAAAAAGATCGTCTAATATTAGGGTTTGAGGCTGCCGCTCGATTCATGATGATGATGATGCAGTGCTTGCCCTGTGCGAATGGGTGTGACAATACGTGGTCTATGTATAGTCTATATAGCCGCTAGGTTTACTTGTACATGATGTTTATGATGAGGCTACGCTAAACGTATATTGTATGCAGGTTCGTTTGCTCGGAGAGGAATTTCCCCTCCCAACTGTGCTTATTTCTAGGTTGTTTTTTATGTACAAAAGACGCTCGCGGGCTTCCTCGGTCCCCATTTTAGGTCTGCGTGCGACGCTCGTAATCGCTGCTGCGTCTGTAGTCGGCAGGATAGTCACGCGGCATCACAGAATAGCCGCGAGGATCGGTGCGATAGACCGATGGTGGCGGTGGTGGCAATCCGGGAACGACTCCATTCGGCATATAGTAGTTGGGCGGTAGGTAATGGTTCGGGTAAGCATGCGGCGGGAGATGCCCTGAGGGAAATCTGAATATGAGAGTTAAATTGATGATTAATCAATTATTTTTCATATAATTATCAAAGAGTATTTACCTGCGTTTATCGGGACGGCGTTCGCGGTCGCGTTCGCGGTGATCGCGATGGTAGCCTCCTCCAGGAGCTCCGCCACTACGCGGATACCCAGCATCGTACCGGTCGCGCTTGTATTCCAGGCTGTATCTGCTTAAAAAATATATATTTTATTAACAAGAAATTAAATAAGCACCAACAATCCAGATAATTACCTCTCGCGGGCATGCCACCGCTCCATCTCCGGCGTATAGCCCGATGGAGCGGGTGTTGGCTCATAGCCACCCCGACCACCACCTCCTCCTCCTCGACTGCTATTCGGCGTTGAGGGCGAGTTGAGACCTTGCCGGCGGCCACCTTCGTAGCCCGCACCACCACCACTACCTGGAGGTGCGCCACTTGCCCCAAAATAGTCGCTGCCGCCACCGCCACGATGGTGCTTCTTTCGATCCTCGTGACGCTCCATGTTCTGTCGCTTAAAGGACGACATGGACTTCAATTGTTCGCTGATGCCGCCAGCCCCGGGAATACCAGAGATACCGCTGCTGGTGTCAGCAGCATCGTTCTCGTCTCTCTTCCGCTTTAGCGGAGATTCATTGTTGAATCGACCGCCCGCGGAGGGAGTTCCCGTTTCAGGATAACGCCCACCACCTGTACGCTCCTTGTCCTTGTCCTTCTTCTTTTTCTTTCCCCCGCTCTTGTCCCGATCCTTGTTTGTTTCCTTCTCAGTCGAGACCCCGTTGCGCTTGGATTTGCTGGGACTACCCGCCGCCGAGTCCCTGCCCTTTCCCTTTCCCTCATCCTTTCCCGCCTGCTGCTTGAGCGCATGCTTATAGATTTTGAAAAGACGCTTTGCGTCCAGCTCTGTGAACTTGGAGACGAAGTACCACAAGTTGCTCCGCCATTCCTTCTTCTCCGGCTCACCGTACGGCTGCAAGCATACGTCAATCTGCCTGCCGATCTGCAGCAGGCAATCCCTGGTGTGCTGCAGCTGGTCCTGGTCGGACAGGCTTAGGTCCGGCTGATCCAGAGCCTTAAGGGCCTTTTTCACTGGCCGCATTTTCTCCTTGCATTCGTTGAATATGCTGGGATCCAGGTCGCCCAGAACTTCCAAGGCGCGCGGCTCATTATTGGCCGTAAAGTGCATCGGCTTGTTGCCGTTGTTGTCCGAGGCGCTCGTCTTTTTCGACCGGGTCTTGGACTTTTTGCTCTTCTTGGCGGTGCCACTGCTGGTCTGGTCGGCGGATGCATTGTTGTTCGGGGAGGAGTTTGAGTGATCCATTTGGCTGGCACCGGCGCCCTCGGAGGCAGGGACCGCCTCGTCGGCATCCTGCGACCTACCGTCGGCATTCGAGGTACTTGCTGCCTGATGGCCGGAGGCAGACTTGGCGTCATTGGTGGTCGCTCGCGATGCTCGGGGTCGACGCTGACGACGCCGCTGGCCACCTTTGGTCAGTTCAACGTTCTTTTTGATTATCTTAAGCAGGTACTCGGCACGGGTCTGCAGCTGCTTGGCCTGCGGCTTGCGGGTGTCATTTAACAGGATCTTGTCCGTGAGCTTAAGCGTGGGGTCCAGCTTCATCTGCTCCCAGGATCCGATTCCATACTGATAGATGCCGCACAGCAGCTTTGTGTCCTCCTCATTGCTCCATTCGACGTCGAAGAGGGGAGCGCGCGTCTTAATGTTGAAACTCCACTGCAGTCGCTCCTCGGCTCCGCTGGGCATGATCTCGTTGAGCGGCTGCAGCTCCTGCTCGCAGGTTAGCAGCTTTTTGGCGTTAAAGGAGACCCCGCCCAGCTTAACCGAAAAGGTGGCGCGGGCGCGTCGCTGCTTCGCACCCGCCGTCTCATCCGTCGCAGTCTTGTTCTCTTCCTCCTTGTGCTCGTCCAAGAACTGAACGCAGCGGTCGTGCAGCATCTCGCCGAGGCGCTTCAACTCGGCCAGTGGCTTTTCCTGCAACTCGGCATCGCATGCGATGGCCTCCATGCGGTGAAGTGGGGCGGGGAACTTTTTGTAGCTGCGGATGAAGCGTCGCAGCTCGGCGTCGGTGAAGCCAATGATTTTTTCCTTCATGGTTGGGCGTCCCCGCTTTCGGGGACGACCATCGTCGCCGCTGCCCTCAGAGCCCAGCTCGTAGTCCGAGTCCGCCGAATCGTCCGCCTGCTGCTGCTTTCCCTTGGCTCCTTTTCCGCCAGCCGCCCGTTTCGCCTCGCTTTGATTGGCAGCAGTTGCAGTCTTCCTCCGTGGCGGCAAGTATAGATCTTCCATTTCCTTGGCGCGCTCCTGATCCTCGATCACCTTTCGGAAGCCCTCAGGGATAATGTCATCCCAGTCTTTGCTGTCGTCCTCCTCGTCGGCGGCATCTTGTTCTGCCTGTCTGTTGGCTGCCGACTCGCTTGGCTCCTCCTCGAAAGCAGCTATGCTGGCCACCTTGAAGGCAGACAACAAGTCATCGCCAGGCATCTCTGGGTCCTCATTGCGGGTCTCGGCCCGGCGCAGGATCTCGTCAATGTCGCAGACCAAATCGTCGTCGTGCTCCTGCTCGTCCTTAAACAGCTCCTCGGCGCCAAACTTTAAGATAGCCGACAGATCGTCCTTGTTGAACGGATTCGAATTTGAAGAGTGGCCGTTGCCGCTCTTGTCGAGAACGGTGCGTCCCGTGGTGTCCATCCGCTGGATGACCAGGTGATCCAGCACCATCTTCTGCTTGGCTCGCTCCACGATCTGCTCCTCCACCGATCGAGCGGTAACCAGACGATAAATGTTCACCTGGTTCTTTTGCCCAATCCGATGGGCTCTCGCCTGGGCCTGCAGATCGTTCTGCGGATTCCAGTCAGAGTCGAAGATAATCACTGTGTCGGCAGTGGCCAGATTAATGCCCAAGCCTCCGGCCCTTGTGGAAAGGAGAAAGCAAAAGTCTTGACTGCCCTCGGCGTTGAAGTGATCCAGAGCCTGGCGCCTCATCTCCCCCTTGATGCTGCCGTCTAATCGCTGGAAGGGAAAGTGACGCTTCTGCAGGTAGTCGGCGAGGACATCCAGCATGCGTACCATCTGTGAGAAGATCAGCACACGGTGGCCCGTCTCCTTAAGACGGCAGAGCAGCTTGTCGAGCAGCACCAACTTCCCGGAGCCCTTTAGCAGCGTTTGCAACGCCTCATCCTGCTGCAGGCCCATCAGTTCGAACTCCGAGGGTCGAATGAGAGCGGCGTGGTTGCAGCACTTCTTCAGCTCGATAACTATGTTCAGAAACGTGGAGGTGCTTCCGCGCTTCCCCTTGCGCAGGGCATCGAAGTTCTTGGTGAGGATCCACTTGTAGTACTGCTTCTGCAGCGAGGTCATCTCGACTCGCAGAATCTGCTCCACCTTCGCTGGCAGGGACTTTTCCACGTCCTTCTTCACTCTGCGGAGGATGTAGGGCTCCAGCTGCTGGTGGAGCCGGGTGTAGCCCTTGTCCTCAGCATTGCCATGCTGCACCTCAAAGTTCTCCCACGTATCGAACTTCTCTGGCATGATGAAGTGCAGCAGGGCCCAGAGCTCCTTGAGTGAATTCTGCAGCGGTGTGCCCGTAATCAGCAACCGATGGTTGGTATCGAACTCCTTGAGCGACTTGTACAGCAAAGAATCGTCGTTTTTGAGCCGATGCGCCTCGTCCACCAGCAGTGCCGCCCACTGCAGCGTGCCCAGGAACTGCTTGTCCTTTAGAACAATCTCGTAGGTTGTCAGGATGCAATTGAATTTGAGCCGCTTGGAGCCCTCGAACTGCCACTCATACTGCTGGATCAGCTCGCGTGACTTGATGTCGCCAAGGTAGGTCACCACATTCATGTCCGGCGCCCACAGATCAAACTCCCGCTGCCAGGCGGTCATTGTGCTAAGCGGCACAACGCACAGGAAGGGCCCGTAGAGATGGTGCAGCTTAAAGAGCGAGTAGAGGAAGCAGATCGTCTGAATGGTCTTGCCGAGGCCCATTTCATCGGCCAGAATCACCGAGTTCTCCTTGCACCACGAGTGGAGCAGCCAATTTAGACCGTCCATCTGGTAATCCCTGAGCACCAGTCCCGGCACCAGAAACTCGGGCTGGTTCTTGATTCGCGAGAACTTTGGCCGATACTTGAGCACGCGACAGTGGCGAGAGGGCGTGCACTTGGAGCACTCCCGTTCGCTGAACTGCTCCGCACAGCGCTGCCACTTGCGCAGAACCAGGGCGGCATCCTCCCACGTGGACTCTGCGTATGGCAGCGACTGCCACTTGCACAGGTACTCCTCGGCCCCGTCGTCCGGCTTGGAGCCCTTGGCAATAATGCGATCCACATTGTTGTATGACTTGAGCAGCTCGTGCTGCAGCTCCAATTGGCACTCGAAGTAGTCAATGTCCTCTGGCCCAGCATAACGGCGCCAATATGCCTGATCCTGCTCCTTTTTGATGAAGTTGTCTAGCTTCTTCATGCCCTTGGCCTTCATATCGCGCAGGGTGGCCTCCGACTCCCAGGTGTTGTGGATGTATGACCAGCCCTTCCACTTGATCAGAAACTGCACCTCTGCCTCCGCCTCCGACGCCTTTTCATCGAATCCCGCATTCGGATCAAAGCCGTTCTCTTCAATGGCATAGATCGTCGTCTGGTTGCCGGTGCATCCCCGCTTACCCAAACGCTGCGCCAGGATGCGCTCGATCGTCTCGCACTTCTCCTCCTCCTCAGCGGCGGCAGCAGATGCGGCTGCCTGACTCTCATCGTACTCGCACTCCAGCAGATCCTCCGAGTCTGTTGCCTCGTCCTCCGAGGCCTCCTTATAGCTAACAGCTGCGGCTGTCCGACGGGTGGCGCAGCTGCTTAAATTAACAAAGGTTGGATTCAGGTCAGGTCAAGAGGAAGGAAAGGGGAATAGCAGCCACATAAGGTGAAGGGAAAGTATTATTACCGCTTGCTGGCATCGTCATCATCGCTGTCCTCGGAGCTAAAGGACTTTACCCGGCGTCTAGAATGCTGCTGCTGCTGTGCCGGTTTGCTCCTGGAGGTAGTTGCCGCTGACTTACGCTTTTGAGCCGCTGCAGACACGTCGTCATCACTGTCCTCGCTTTCATCGCTCTCGTCCGAATCCCAGCTGGCAAATACAAAAAAGTTGGCAATATGGATAGAGAAACCGAAAGCTCACAGCAATCTCACGTTTTCTTTTTCTTCTTTTTGGGAGCTGGAGCTCGCTTAGTTTTGTCCGCAGCGGTTGCCGGTGGCTTGCGCGCCTGGCGCGTGCGCTTGGGTCTGTAGTCTTCCTCCTCCTCCTCCTGTTGAGGAGAATATGTTGGAAATTCTTGGTGCAAACTGCTCCTCAGATGCCTACTTACGCTGCTGCTGCTGGAGGATGTTGGCGAGACGTTGGCCGAACTATCACTGGCAGAACCATCGGCAGAGGCCTCGCTAGCTGGCTGCTGATTGCCAGCCTCAGTCTCATCGTCCTCGTCCTCGTCGTCTTGTTCCGGCTTTGACAAACTGCTGCTGCTGGTGCTTGTGTTTGTCTTGTTGTTGTTGTTGCTCCCCTGATCCATGTGATCGGCTTGGCCGTCGGCATCTGAATCGGAGACACTTCCACTGGACCCAGCACTGGAGCTGTCGTCCTCCTGATCGTCTGTGAATCCATTCGTCTTGCTGTCCGCCTGGGCAGCAGCAGCCGTTGGTGGAAAACCTGGGGCCACAGTCGACGATTTGGTATCCGGCTCCGCGGAACTGCGTCCATCGCTGGAGTTGCCAGAGGAGCTGTCCGAGTCCGAATCGGAGCCTGAGGAGCCGCTGCCGCTGCCACTGCCACTATGGTCATCGGTGCCATTGGCCTCCTCTCGGGTGTCATCTTGTTCGTCTGAGCCAATACTATTCGCCGATTCATTGAGTGCCTGCCAAGAAGAGAAAGAAATCAGTCGACGATGGAGGCATCAAAGAACTACCTTTGTATGGATCACTTAGGAAATGCTCAAGAGATCGCTGGACCTGCTAAAAGCGGTAAAATCTTTAAAATATTTCAGCGCATACTTTGAAAATAGTATCCATAGTTCAACGCTTTCATAAATCTATTGCTTGCTCAGACAGAAGGGCTCAAAGGAAGGCTATGTGGGAAACAAAGGACCAGAATCATATCCATATAGAGAGTTCAACTCTAAAAGGGCCAAATCCCTTACAAATTTATTTCTTTTTCGTTATATATCCTAATAGTTAATTGCTAAAACAGTCTTAAAATGTAAACCGGATGGAAACCCTTTCCAAGAAGTCCCAGCTATTAAATTACCAGGGCTAATCCTCTCCAGAAATTCATTTAAAGACTAGTTTAGTTGAAAGAAGCCACGAAAAGCCAAGAAACACCTATGTTTTTGGGAGGCTTTACGAGGAATCCCCCGAAAACTTGACACAGAATCGCGGTAAACACGAAACACGGGTCCTGGACAGTGGAACAACTAGAGATCCTCAAAACAACCGGGTTTTTGATCTCCTGGGACTATTTTTTCTTCAAAAATTACCAAAAACTGAGAATTTAGGCTTCTTAATCTGGGAAATAATAATTTTAAACGATTCTTCCTGTGAAAAGGAGGTGGAATTTGAGTAAAATGAATGCCGGCTTCCTTTTGGCGGGTTCCAAATCCCAAGGAACTTGGACCAAAATCTTTGAGAGAAAACTTTGCACCTTGCGATTTCTGATTACGTAATCGATGAAAATTTCCAATTTGCTCGGAAAATCATTGAAAACCATGGAGTTTAAAGCGTTTTTATAGCCGTATCCAATAAAAACAAACCGAAAATCTTGATTTTGATCAGAATTTGCGAAAATGGGTACCCAATAAATTTTCATAAAATCCACTCTGGGTGCCACGTAGGAGTCTCGGGAACAGTCTGGAGTCGTCAGAAGGATGCAACACGGTCTAGTTACTGGACAAATCCTTACTTTTACCAAATGCCTCGCTCGCAGCCGCAATATCAGCCAGCCAAGTGCGGGTGTCTCACGGTGAGGAGACTCCTATGGACTCTGGGGCTGAGCGGCCACGCCCACAAAACGGAGCGTGTATTTCATATGTAGCAGTTATTTTCAGTTAATACTCACACGACGACTAGGATGAAACAGATTCAAAGCCTTTCGATTCGAATAATGGAAGAAATTCATCGTTTTTTCAACTTTTTCACACACACCGACGTTCGACATTCACAGCTTTTTCAAGGCCTACTCACCTGGCTCATTATATTGTCGTGGTAGCACCCCCAGTTGCCTTATAGCGCTCATTAAATACAGCAGATACACTTGAACACGGTCACTCTCAAATGTTTATGTTTTTCCCGCAAGCCACTTGTTTTTAAATGCACTTTTTTCAACACAAAAAGATCGCTTTTCACGTTTCATGCGTTTTTTTTTTCATGCGTCGCAGCAGAAATATTGCCACCATTTTGAATTAGTGTGACCATTTCGATAAAACTAGAGGTGGTCGAACAGCGTTTGGGATTCGAACTAATTAATAATTTTACAAATAAAATATTTTGATTATTTATAATTATAATTACTTGGATATGATTGGTTTTGGTTAATTTTCTTGATTTAACATTTTTAAAATCAACTCTTTTGTTTTGGTCAGGACGACTGAATTACTGAAAATATCGCCGATGTATCGCAATAGTTTGCCGATATGTCAGGAGTGTGTATGAGAACAGCTGTTTTCAGTTGAAAATATCGGGTAAATATCGCGATACATACACGATATTTTCAGTAATTCAGTCGTTGACCAGTTAATAATTACTACAACCATAGGCCGTCGGCGCTGGGAAACATATGACTAACATATAAATTTATATGCATTAAATACTTTGAAAATCCAAAGTTTCTACGAGTATAGAAAAATCTGGCTGGAAAATATAATAAAACAGACTTGATGCTGCGTTTTTGAAACTTGCAAAATCTTCTTCGATAATTTATTATATCTTTGATGCACATGGTCACATTGAATGGCAAACATATCGATAACCACTAGCACGGCACAGGTGTTTCCAGTCAGCTGTGGATGTGGACAATTTACAATTTTGTTGTTTTGTGTTGTTCTTGTTCCGGAACTTCAATCTAATTAAATTAGATAATGTAGCGCAGCTGATCAATAATCGGCAAACATGAAAGAAGTGGGCATCGCTCTTCCCAAGTCGCGAGGCGTGGGCGTCGGAGTACTGGCAGCCCTTCTACTGTGCTTCATTTTCTACTACTTCTACGGCGGTTACATGACGTTGGCGCTATTCACTGGAATACTCCTCTGTACGTACATATATATGCTCTATCCGGAGCAGCAACTTGACACCAGAAACTATTCCATTGCAGTGATATTCTACAACGCCCAGGATCTGCTACTTTATCATCCCGACCTGCCCGCTAACTCGCGAATTTACATACCCATTCCGACGATGCACAACCTGCCCCACATCACGGTCAGCATAAAAACGCCCGACGATGTGACGCTGCATGCTTTCTGGATTAGCCAGCCGGAGGAGCGCTGCAAGTCGGTGCCCACGCTGCTCTATTTCCACGGCAACGCTGGCAACATGGGCCATCGAATGCAAAACGTAAGTTGGGTGGCAAACTGGTGTGCTGCCTCGATCTTAACATTCTACAAACCGTTTTTCAGGTCTGGGGCATCTACCATCACTTGCACTGCAACATTCTGTTGGTGGAGTACCGCGGCTATGGCCTGTCCACCGGTGTGCCGACTGAACGGGGACTAGTCACCGACGCCAGAGCTGCCATCGATTACCTGCACACGCGCCACGATCTGGACCACTCGCAGCTGATCCTGTTCGGGCGCTCGCTTGGTGGCGCAGTGGTTGTGGACGTGGCAGCAGACACTGTCTACGGCCAGAAACTGATGTGCGCGATTGTGGAGAACACATTTAGCAGTATACGGGAAATGGCTGTGGAGCTCGTGCATCCCGCTGTAAAATATATACCAAATATATTGTTTAAGAACAAGGTGAGTTTGTGCCGATCGAGAAGAGTGTTGCGTGTATAACGATTTCAATTTCCTGCAGTATCACTCCATAAGCAAGATTGGCTCGTGCTCGGTTCCATTTCTGTTTATATCGGGCCTTGCGGACACCCTGGTGCCACCGCGTATGATGCGTGCCTTGTATACTCAATGCGGTAGCGACTTGAAGCGCCTGCTGGAGTTTCCGGGCGGTTCGCACAACGACACCTGGATAGTAGAAGGGTAATATCCCAAGGAGAGAGTAGCTCTTAATTTGCATTCTAATTTGCGGTTCTATTTAGGTACTACCAGGCTGTGGGCGGCTTTCTGGCCGAGCTGCAGCAGCAGCCAACTCCACTGCAGAAGGCGCCTGAAAAGAGCAATGTGTGGGTGGAGCTGGAGCATAAAATCATTGATGTGTAGCTCCCGAATAGCCCGAATGCATCAAGTGTTCTTCTATCGACTGTGGTTAAATACTTACATATATACAACCAATTAATGACAGGGTTTTAGTCCGGACACACAGCTTATGTCTTGTTGCGGCTTTGTGCAGGGATTAACAACGTGCTAGCGATGCTGGCTGTTCATTTTTAGTAACTACGAATATGTGCTAAAGCAGTTGAACAATTGCAACAGAAACAGTATCCAAACTATCATCTGCGCTGTTTAATTATCTCTAATTTTTAATATGTATAGGTGTTTATACATAATTGACAAATAATCAGTATTTTACAAGGGGAAAAAACACTATTTCTTTGCCGGAAAGTCGGTCCATTAAGGCTTTCATCACTAGCACGTTTACAAAGTTTGTGAGCCGGTTCCATTTTTGAAATGTTACACTATTTAATTGTTAAGGATGTAACGATAACATAAGATTAGGCTAGCAGGCTAAACAAACTGATAAACAATAAAGTTTAAACAATCGCTAGAATCCAATGAAATCCTCATCGGCACTGTCATCACTGAGGGGCGTGGATGGGCGTTTACGGCTGGTTGGCTTCTCCGTTTCCTTTTCCTCGCCCTCCGTTTCGGACGAGGGAATCTCCTGAGCCTGCGATCGATGATGGAAAACGAATGAGACGCATTTGCTGTCCGTCCAGGCCTGGGCAAGAATGCTGTCAGGTAATCCGCGATTGTTGGAGCAATGGTACCATTGGGACAAGTGCGATGTACAGTCGGTGTCATCGGGCGGAGGCTTCATTTGAATGTTTTGCACACAGCGCTTGCACTTGAGCCTTTTAAAAAGTAAGTGAAGGTTTTACAATTAATTTTGTATTGAAAAACTTGTACTTACTTTTCGTGAGTGTCGGAAAGAACCTGTGGATCAAAGCGAAACAAATCCTTAAGATCGTCACGCGTAAAATGCTTCTCCGCTGATTCGTTGTTATCAATGATCGTGCTGGACAGCGATTTCTTGTGGGTCTGTCGCTGCAGGATCTTTTCCTCAATGGAACCGCTCTGAAACAGATATTTCTTTGTTTTCTTTTACGAAAATACCACAGAATACTTACCGCCACAAGGCGATATATGTAACAGGGCTTCTTCTGACCGTCGCGCCACACTCTGGCCATTGCCTGTTCATCGTTGGCGGGATTCCAGTCCGGATCAAACATAAAAAGGCGATTGGCTCCGATTAAATTCAGTCCGCAGCCGCCGGCCTTGCTGCTCAGCATGAATAGGAAACTGTCCGATTCGGGATCATTGAACTTGTCCACAACTTTCGAGCGCTTCTTGATGGACATGGTGCCGTCGAGTCGGACGAAACCATACTTGCGCCTTCGCGCAAGCTGTTCGAACAGGTCGAGGGTCTGTGTGTAATTGGAGATTAAAACGACCTTGTCGTTGCCATCTGCTCTAATAGCAGCCAGCATAAAGTCAAGGAGCATGAACTTTCCGCTCAGCTCCGGGTTGAGATCTCTAAAGCATTGGAATTAAGAGAATCAGATCAAGATATTACATTTATATCAACATACTTTGGCTTGTAGTTGCTCGGCAACACGTCCTGCGAGTTCTCGAAACCTTTCTCCCGTGCCGCGATCTTTTCATATATAAGATCTGGGTGGCTGCATAGTTTTTTGAGCGTTGTGATGTCAGCTAAGGCCGTAAGCGATGCCTTTTCATTGCAGTCTTAAATGAGAAAGGGAATGGAGTTAATACATACAAAAGAAAGTTCAGCATCACCTACCCGCCAGGCTTCGACGCACCTGATCCGATTTCAGGAAATTAGTATAGAGCTCCAGCTGGATTGGGGTTAGCTTGGCGCAGATGACCATCTCGAACTTGACTGGCAGGTACTTGGTAAGAATCTGATTGGTGCGCCGGATGATGCACTGATCGACCAGTCCGATCAGCTCCTGCGTCTTTTCGATCGCCCGCTGCCGCTCCCCGTCCGTGGAATCGGCGTTCTGGCCCCGCAGAATGCTGTTCTCGAAGTTGCGCTTAAAGTCGGCCGCCGTGCCCAGCATCTCGGGATTGACAAAGTTCACCAAACTGAAGTACTCCGTTAGATCGTTCTGTATGGGAGTGCCGGAGAGCAGGACGCGCCGCTTGGTCTTCAGACCCATCAGCGCCTGATATGTAAGGTTATCGCTGTTCTTCAGACGGTGGCCCTCGTCGCATATCACCATGCCCACCTCGTACTTGCAGAGGATATCCGCATAGATGCGGAAGGTCTCGTAGCTTATGAGCAGGACGGGCGTACCCATGCGCGTGGAGGCGTTCATCGAGAACTGCTCGAGGGCGCGAATGGTGTTTTCCTTGGTCCCCCCCTCCATGGCCAGGCATAGAAGTCGGCCGTGCAACCACTTGGTGAACTCTTTTTCCCAGTTCTTTACCAGTGAAGACGGAGACACGATGATGGCCTTGTTAATGGTTGGCTTGCACTCGGCGCTCTGCCGCAACAGCGTCCACACCAGGGTGACGCACTGCAGCGTCTTTCCCAGGCCCATCTCGTCGGCCATGATGCAACCATTGAAGTTTCCACGCCTGCCTTCGACGCACTCGTACATGAACCGTACACCCTCGCGCTGATGCGGACGCAGGATGTTGCTCAGCAGTGGATCCACCACTACGTGCACGAGCACCTTGCTGGGATCCATTGCCATGCGCTCGTGCTCCGTGTAGGCTGGTGGCTGGTAAAGCACCAGAGCGTTGCAGGCCAGTGGATCGTGGAGGGGTCGCCGGACGATGGAGCGGCGTACGCCGAGACAGCGATTGCCCCCGTAATCCGGCACGTAATTGTCGATCGGCACCTTGAACTGGCGGGCCAAGACCTTGGCAATGGCCCGCTCATACTCGCTGTTCGCCGTGAAGCGGATGGGCAGCGGTAAGTCCATCGTATTGCTGGAATCGCGTAGAGCGGTGCTCTGACGCCTCCTGTCCAGCTCCTGCTCCCGCTCCACTTCCTGCTGGCAGGCTCGTTTGTTTTTTTTCAGCAGCGGCGGGGTGAAGGAGTGCCGAGACGCTGGGCTCTGGCCCAACCGTTGGCTGGGCGCCAGGCTGCGTCGCTGCAAAGGGATCGGGGTAGCATGAAATATTACTTTTTAGTTTTATTTACCATTTTATGAATTTCAAGACTATTTAGCGCGAACACTGCTTGTCGGGAACTGCTTGGCGTTCAATAGTCTGGTCACACTCATCGGCGGCAATTTACAATACAATTTACTTGATTAAAAATATTTGATAAAATATGAATAATTAAAAACCACAAAACCTGTTTTTTAATAACTATTTTTAAAAAATGAATATGTTTTTATTTATGTTTTTTTTTGTATATCCAAGTTATCTACCGAAATATGTTGCTCCATTTGTTAGGGTATTTATCCGGGACTTTGGTATATTGTCAGGGTCCAGCCGCAGTCACACTTCCGCGGCAAGTGGTTTTTTTCGTGCTAAAATAAGGGAAACTACAGATTTGATAAGAAACATATTCGATATTTGCCAGCAAAGCAAAGTCCTGGTCTAAGTCCGCCGCACTTAGGGATTGGGATGCTCCCGCGACCGGTTGGCAACGAACAAGAGCAGCATAATCACCGGACACATTGTGCTCCGATTCGGTGCAGTCGTGGTGTTTTGCCATTGGGGCAGAAAAAACAGCAAACGAGATTATAAATAACCACAATGTGTTGTTCTGGGACCCTGGCGGTGCATTGTTGCTGAGGGTGGTGGAGGAGGATGCAAGTGCTGGATCATCATCAGCTCCCGCACATAGCACTGCTTGCTGCGTACTACCGTCAGAATTAATAAATTGGGTCGATCGACGTTTCGGGGACAGCTCTCGCACGAAATTATTTGTTTGAGAGAGCTAATTATGTGCTTGCTGATTCAATTAAGTTGCAGCCGATGATTTAAAAGTTAAATCAAGCGAACCACGGGCCCAAAGCGGAGTCAACAAAAGCGGCAAAGAGGCGGACACAACGCAACGCAACGACAGCCAACGAAATTGTTTCAACAGCACGTTCAAAGTGAAGGTCAACGTCACAACGGAAGGCAACGACATCGCAGCGCCAAGTCTGGCGGCCGAAAACAAAACCGAAACCCAAAGCGAGCCACCGCCATCATTACCATCACCCTCAATCGCAGCAGTCTCCGCTGCCGCTACAAGCTAGCGGATCTTAGCCCGGAGCACCATGACTCGCTCGGCCATGTCCATCGCCCCCGCCCTTGCCCAGGGCCAGCGGCTGCTGCTACTCACCTTTGGGGGTGCGCTATTCATCCTGGTAGCCTGCGTCCTTGGAACTGAGACCTCCATGCCCACGCAGAACATGTCCCACAAAGAGCGGGCGGAACTGAGGTAATTAAGAGAAATCCCACTGCTGGATATGTGCTATTCCCTCAATAATTTTGTTTAGTATTTTCCCCAAGTGAATAATTTAGGCGCAATGTTTTCATTTTATTTTTACTCACACAAATGAAATCCCAACACGCAGAGCACTGCTATTGATTGGGGCTTATCACAATACTTACATATGTACATATGTACATATATAATACTTATCACTACACTACATCGACTTGAATTTTTCGTTTTCGATAAGTACAGCGTTTTATGCTGAATACGATTTTCATAACGATCGTTTATTAATTTTACTCTAAACACCTTCAAATGATTTGATTATCTTAACCACTCTAAAAACTCTAAAAAAATGGCTAAAGTTAGTCACAAATTTACAATTTGGCTGATTTCTGATTCTGATTTGATTTCAGGGAAGAAGCGCGGGACATGTTCTACCACGCATATCATGCCTATATGGAGAACGCTTACCCCGCCGACGAGCTAATGCCACTGTCCTGCAAGGGACGCTATCGCGGAGTGACGCCCTCTCGTGGCGACATGGACGACATCCTTGGAAAGTGAGAAGACAAAATCAAATCCAATCCTGACGCTTTAGTACATGATTTCATCACATTCCCTTAGTTTCTCCATGACCCTGGTTGACACTCTGGACACTCTGGTGCTGCTGGGCGACTTTACGGAGTTCGAGCACGCTGTGAAGCTGGTCATCCGCGATGTTCAGTTCGACAGCGATATAATCGTGTCCGTTTTCGAGACGAACATTCGTATGGTCGGCGGCTTGCTGTCAGCCCACATCCTGGCCGAGTATCTGCAGAAGCATGCGGACGTGATGCACTGGTACAAGGGCGAGTTGCTGGAGATGACCCGCGAGCTGGGATATCGTCTATTACCGGCGTTTAATACGTCCACAGGCATTCCGCACGCCAGGGTTAACCTGCGCCTGGGCATGAAGGATCCGCAGTTGAAGAAGTCACGGGAGACCTGCACTGCGTGTGCGGGTACAATCCTGCTGGAGTTCGCTGCCCTGTCGCGATTGACTGGCGATCCCATTTTCGAGCTAAGGGCTCACGCCGCCATGGATGCACTGTGGAAACTGAGACATCGGGGCTCCGACCTCATGGGAACAGTGCTAAACGTCCACTCTGGGGACTGGGTGCGTCGCGACTCGGGCGTCGGAGCCGGCATCGACAGCTACTACGAGTACCTGTTCAAGTCCTACGTCCTGTTGGGCGACGACAAGTACCTGGCTCGCTTCAACCGCCACTACAACGCAGTGATGAAGTACGTCAGTGAGGGGCCCATGCTGCTGGATGTGCTCATGCACAGGCCGCACGCCAAGTCGAAGAACTTCATGGACTCGTTGTTGGCCTTCTGGCCGGGCCTGCAGGTGCTATCGGGCGACCTCAAACCGGCCGTGCAGACGCACGAGATGCTCTATCAGGTCATGCAAATGCACACCTTTATTCCGGAAGCCTTCACCGTGGACTTTCAAATTCACTGGGGCCAGCATCCCCTGCGACCGGAGTTCATAGAGTCCACGTATTTCCTATACCGTGCCACTGGCGACCACCACTATCTGCAGGTGGGAAAGCGGGCTCTAAAGACGCTCCAGCAGTACGCCAAAGTATCCTGTGGCTATGCAGCCGTCAATGATGTCCGCACCGGCAAGCACGAGGATCGTATGGACTCCTTTGTGCTGTCCGAGACAATCAAGTACCTGTTCCTGCTTTTCTCGGATCCACAGGATCTGATAATTAACGTGGACGAGTTCGTCTTTACCACAGAAGCTCACCTGCTGCCCCTTTCCATTGCCCAACTAGGGAATTCCACGTTTAGTAAGTATATTTTTTAAGGTTTCTTATTTAATATGATTATGATTATGATTAAACCTTTGCCCAGGCTTTCGGCAATCGGACGAGCACAATGTTCTCGACTTCATGCGCACCTGCCCCAGTTCCAATAAGCTTTTTCCTGAGAAAGTACGCAAACCATTGCGCAACTTCATTACGGGCTCGTGCCCGCGCAACAACGGCGGAAAGCGACTCAGTGCCCTGGATTTTCAGGCAAGCAATGCTGATCATCTGCGAGCTGTTTACGACATGGGCATCACCATGGTTTCGGTAGGCGACCGTAGCCAAGGCAAGGTGCGACTGTTTCATAGTTTCTATAATGTAAGTTTTATTTCTATTCTGCTTTTTGGTTTCATTTGCATTGCGTTTCAACAACTAAAACTTAACAATATTGCAACCTTTAATATATCGAAATTTGAATTAAAATTTCCATATTTATCTAAAAAATATTATGGGGTCAGCTCTTAGACACTTTCGCTTAAGGATAAGGGATTAATGTGTAAAGCTACATTTTTCTTCAATTCTTATTTTTATTAAAAAATAGTTTATTATTTATAGAATATACTTGTAAGTTTCATTCTTGAATTTAAACTCTAAGCACCTTAAGTTATACAAGTGTTATGGTGGGTGCATCTAAAACTTCTTAAAACTTTTCGTTTTTCGTTTTTATAACCTTGCTAAGTATTATAATTTTGAGTCAGAAATTTGTTTTACCCCCGATTCCGCTTTAAACTATCTTGAAAGTTTACTAAAAAAATCACGAAAAATGCCAATATTGTAACCGATTACATGTATATTCCTCTTAATCCTATTCATCCACCTCCACCACTCCATTGATTCATCCATCATTTACTCACCCACAAACGCTCAATTTTTCTCCCTGTGCTTATCATTTAGGCCAAGAGCCACGAGGAGGGCGAAATGGGATTGCAGTTTATGCAAGAGATGCTGGAGCTGACCAAGATGCAGAGCATGAATCAGCTGGCGCAACTGCAGGTGCGTGACAACCGTTACATAATTCTAAAAAGATTCCTTTTGTAAATCTTTGATTCTTTTTCATTGAACAGGCGGTGGCCTTCGCTACCGACGAGAAAACGCAGGATTGGACCGCTTTGATGGCCGGACCATCGCATTTTAGCCCAGAGCTAATCGGCGAGCAGTTCGTAGAAGGTGATTTGGTGATGGCCAAGCCGCTCCGGGCCTGCGAGGAGCAGCTTGAGAATGTCGAGGAGGCCAGGGGCAAGGTCCTGGTGGCCGAGCGCGGCGATTGCACTTTCGTGAGCAAGGCGCGCCTGGCCCAAAAGGCGGGTGCCGCTGCGCTAATTGTCTGTGATAATGTGCCGGGTTCTTCCGGCGAGACGCAGCCGATGTTTGCCATGTCCGGCGACGGCAACGACGATGTCCTCATTCCGGTTGTATTCATGTACAGCGTGGAGTTCAACAAGCTGTCAGCCGTGATGCAGCAGCGACGGAAGCAGACGCTGCGCGTGCGTGTGATGCAAATGGTGGAGTTCAAGCGCTGGCAACTGGCCAGGGAGCAGCAACGGAATCAGACTACGACTGCAACAGCGACGGCGGGAACGACTCGGAAGCCAGATAAGGAGTTGTAGTGACCCCCATCCAAGTCATGGCCAAAATAGCTATACATTTTCAGTAGTGTTGATAGTAATTAAACCAATTTTGAAATTCTTGTACTTTACTAGAAACGTAAGCCGCGCCCCGTTGACTCTTCTGTTTAGGGATTCTGCATTTCGTGGTCGTAGTTCTCAGGCTAGCAGACTAGCTTCCTAGTGGCAATCTATTATGTTTAGAGGGCCACACAACCTGATTTTACTTGTTCTTGTAAGTAAGTCTTGTGTACATACAACATCTTATATCTTAGCAAGTAACTAGAAACTAAATAAAGACTAACTGTAAGAATACAACTAGTTGGTAACGTACAGAGTCGGGAGAATAAGCTAAGCCAATTTGTAGTTGAAATTGATTAGATCATACAGACAGAACGAGTATAAAATATATATTAAAAAACCAAATGAAGAAGTCTGTTTTAGGGGGGGGACTATTTTGCGTTGAACCTGGCTCGACTTCTTGCCACACAATTGGGTTGACAATGTCTTCGTAGGAGAAATCCGGCTGACCTGTTGGAAATTTTGTTTTCGGAGGAATCGAAATAAAACACACAGTTTACAATGTAATAGGTTTCCATTTAATGTTATGATTTTGTATTTCCATTTTGGTGTTTCGTTTGCACTCCTCATATGACACATCATCCTCTGCCGCTCTTTGCGAGAGAGCAGTGTAAATCAAAGATATTTGAAATTATGTTAAATTATATGTACATTTACATAGTGTTTTGTTTTTTCTTTCAGAAAAAATAAAGAAACCAATTAAATAAAAAATCTTAATCAATTTTAAAGAATTGGAGCTTAGTTAAGGCTAAACTGGGCTTGACTTAGGCTAGATGACGATGATGATTGGGATTGTGATTGTGATTGGGCGAAAGAAGTAAAGCTTATGATAGTTTTCAATATATTTGAACTACATTTTTTGGGGCTAAAAAACAAAGCGCCAAAACGAACATTGAGTGATCTTACAGTTCACAATTTAAGGCGTCATACGTTTCCTTTTCAAATGGGACATTTTCAGCTAAAATCATTGGGCGGGGTGAGAGAACACAACAAACGAGGGCCACTTGCCACTAAACTGGCACCTGGAACTGGCACTGCTGCTGCTGCTGGACGGCCAGCTTGAGCATGTGATTGGTGATGCTATCTACTGTCAGGGACTGTGGCAACATCTCAATCACCTGGGACTTGTGACGCGAGTAAAAGCGCTGCGCTCCATTGGCCAGCGGCGCCACATAGGTCAGTTGCCGCGGATCAGCGGCGTTTATCCAGACCTCTCCTCCCGCCGAGGACTTAATGATCAGATGATCTCCAGTATTCACCGCCTCGATTGCGTCATCGAATTGCGTCGACGGGAGCCGGTGGATCTGGAGCAGGCGATGCGAGGGCGTGGCATGCGACAGTTCACAGGCGATGACATGCACCTCGGCCGGACTGTCGTCCGGCTCCTTGAGGTACTGAAAGAGTATCAGCATGCTGCTTTGGTCCAGGTCCAGGCTGGGGTAGTGCATGGCAGCCAGACTGCGCCCGAGGGGTCGGCCCAGATCGTAGTTCATTAGTGTGTCGCCGCTGCGATGATCCCACACGGTAACGCGCGTCTGTCCGTAGCCAATCAGACGGTCTTCCGACAGGCACTCGATGTGTCGCAGCTCGTGGCGCAGCTGCTTGAACTCGCGGATGGAGGCCAGCGTGTCCAGCGTGGGCGTCAGCGAGTACTTGCAGATGCCCGAACGCGGTCTGCCCATCACCAGTTCTTGCTGCCAGGCCATCACAAAGTATCGCGACTCGGCGATGCTCGTATAGATCACATGTGACCCTTCGCTGTGGATCGACGATATACATATGATTATACATATTTATCTCTGAATAGCGGGGTCGTGGAGCTTACCAGTTGACCGTGTCCAGGTGGACCGAGTGCATCCGGGGTCGTAGGTCCTCCTCGCAGAAGTAGTAGACATTCACGTGCAGCGACGTTAGCTTCACCTCCCGCTTGTGATGGTCTAAAGCCCGGCTCTGCATTTCCAGGTAAACCGGCGTTGAATTGTGCACGCAGATGCGGCTGCCGTACGGCGCGAAGATCTCGTTGTCTGTGGGTAAATCACAATTGAATTATTTAATGCACTATTTAATTTAGAATTAAGCCTTAATTACCGTTCGTGTTGCGTCGCAGCCTGCCCAGGTACACCCATCGCGGCCTCACATCCAGTTCCTCCTCCTGCTGCTGCTGCGGCGCAGGTGACTTTCTGACCGGCGAGGCGGTTTTCTTCAGCTGATGCAACACGCTCAAGACCTTTGAGTACTTCCAAAAGGTAATGCACGTCTCCTGCAGCACGATAAGCTGATCCAGCTCATAGTACATGTACAAAACCCGGCCATACTTTTGAGAGAGTGGATTGGAGAGCGCCCAGGAGCCTTCGCTCAGTCTTAGAAGGCCGCCGGGCGGAGTGGAATCGATGTTCAGAATGGGTTGCCCTGCAAGTCGATCGCCACTTCCAGCCTGTTGTTGTTGTTGGCATGGGCGACGCAACGCCTCCGTCGGCGTTGTTGGAGAAGGGGGGTAAATAAGGAAGGACTTGGCATAAGGCGCTTGAACTGGGGATGCGGAATGAGTTGGGGGTTGGGTCATGGATGCATTCGGCACATCCGCGCCCGGTAACGCACTGTAGATATGAAGAGGAACAGTGGCCTGAACTGGAACCCCTTCAAAGGCGGCTGGCAGGGATTTGGCGCGGGAACGCTTGGCGCGCTTAGTCAAGCGGAGGGGCGGAGGCTTCCTGGCACTGGTCGTGGCAGTCGCCACTGGCTTGACACCCTGTACTAACTGGCGGGGCGTGTTTGGAGGAGCCATCTGCTGCTCCTGCAGGCGATACTGTTCGGGCAATTTGTTGTTCCCTAGATGTTTGGGTCTCTTTAACTCAGCACCTCGTACCACCTTTGGCGTGGGCCCCTTTTTGGCGACATTAGTGTTGGTGGTGGTGGTGATGCCGCCGCTTAATCGCTTGCCGCGCCCCTGGGCCATCACATCCGAAAGGGCATAGCTCTTCAGCAGATTTACCTTGCGGTTGCGCAGCAGCTTCGAGTTGAGGTGGGTGGTGGAGCGTGTTACCAGATCCCGGATGCGCACCTGTTTGGCCGTAACAGTAGTAGCCGCCACGGTGGTGCGTCGACGTGGCGTGGCAGTTTCAGCTTTCCTTAGCTTGGGCGCCTTTGGTATTCGAGTAGGAGTAGGTGCTGGAACTGGAGGGGGAGGACTCTTCGCTGGCGTGGCCTTCACAGGACTTGCCTTAGCCGGGGTGACCATGGGAGAGGGACGCGGAACACATGTTTTGCCAGCAACATCGATTAGTTGGTCGGATAAGGACTGCTTGGGGGACTGTGTCTGCTGCTGCGCTGGTTCATTGTTGGTCGCCTTGATGATGTAGATCGAGGGCTTGGTCTCACGCGCCTGGCGCAGGCGTTGCTGCATGCTCTGCAGCAGCTTGGACTGGGCTGGAGCCGCCGCATCGTAGATTTTTGCGAATTCGGCAGCCACAGACAGCGCTCGCTTATGGCCTTCCTCCTGCTGATCTCTGACCACCTCCAGCTCCATATGCGCTTCGCTTTCCTTGGGGGATCTGTGTCGATGGGACACAAGCCCCCCCGGTGATCTCAGATTCTCCTGCTTCTTGAATGACTTACAGCGTTCCTGGACGGGCAATGGTTCCGAGTAATCTCCTTGCACGTCGTAGTAATGCCCCTTCTGGAGCTGCTCTTTCTCTGCTCTCATGGCATTCAATTCGTGATCAGCCCCTGGAACAGATCTGGCTTCCTCAGGCAGCGGGTTGTCCTCCTTGTCAGAGTGACTAGGCTCGCTGCTGCTGCTGCTGGTGGTCACTACTGGCTGCTTTTTGTCCTTGTCCTGCTGCCGCTCTCTATCCCGTCGCTTGCCGCGGACATCGCTACGCATCCTGTCCAGCTGTTGCTGGGGCCGTACGCGGAGCGAGCGCCGTGCCACTGTGCTGTTGGCCAACTCGCGCATGGCTGTGGCCACCGCATTGGCCGTGGCCAGCTCGGTGAGACCCAAATAGTTGCAGAACTCTTGCTGCTCGTAGAACATGGTGGGGCAGTTGTTGATGCAACGTGGCTCCTGATCTCCGGACATTTCCACCGAATGCTTACCCGGTGGTGCCTCCGGCAGTTCCTGGTAGCGATACATATGTTGATGTGGCTGCTTTTGCAGCTTATGATCCATAAATTGCTGCTGCATCTGCACCTGCTGCCGCATTACATCGAGTACAACGCTGGACAGTTGCCGCTCAGAGGTTGCCGGTGCAGCCGGGTCCACCAAATCAGAGCTTTTTTCAGGATCAGCAGGCGAAGCACAGGGGATCGGTTTCCCAATGCGATCCAAGGGCGGTACTGCCGTGCTGCTATCCAAGTCTGTAGTGGAGGTTTCCTTGGTTACCAGCCTTTGTTCACAGGCATCTGTAGGCAACACAACTTCCTCGCCTTCCGGCGCCTGATCGGCCTGCATCAGCTCCTCTTCGGGTATCAGAGTGGCGACGGAGGCTTTGTCCATGTCCATTACCTCGTAGCAATCGTCCTCGTCGTCGTCATCTAGAACAATGGTCTCCTCGGTGGGCATGATATGGAGTAAGCGCCGATGCACTGGACGCTCCGCTGACTGGGAGCTGGCCTGCTCTTGAGTTGACTCGTCCGAGACGTGCATAATATCTCGGCTGATCTTTTCCAGGTTCCGTATCAGCGTCTCTCGAAACTCCACAAAGCTGTGCTGCTTTAGCGGCGCAGCATTAGCTTCGTGCCTCTCAAAGTCCGCCTGAAAGCTTTCCACATCTTCGACGGCAGCACACTCGTTGCTAAACGCAGTTTCCCAACTGGACACCTTTTCGGCCGGACTCATCTGTGGCTGCGCCTGACAGATGCTTGCCAACCTCCGGTCCATAGCCTCGGCGTAGAGCGTGTTCTTCATGAGTGGGGGATACTTGCGCTTCAGCGGCGTGTGGGTCACCATTAGATCGTCCTCATAGTCGTAGTTGTAACTGGCGTTTGGCATTGAGGAGGAGCTGACGGGGAACTCTGTGGGACTGCTTTGTTCGCGGGGCAGCTTCTTGGACACCAGTTGCAGAGGAGTCTTTTCCTGCACCTGTTCTGCTTTGGCGGCCTCTTCTGGCGCAGCATGCTGCATAATGCAGGCCTCATCCTCTTCGTCGCGGTCGTGGTCTTCCAGCTCGTCATCATACACCTGACAGATATCAGGACGCTCCTCTTCCATTGGTGTATCGTCTACGAACGTGGCGTTCTCGTTCTCCTCGTCCTCGACAAGATCCTGGTGGTGCACCAGCGGCTGTTCCAGCGCTGCATCGCTTAGGTACACATTGTTGCCGGTCGAAACGCGCGCCTCGCCGTCACCCAAATCCTCCTCCACCATCTCAGCTTCAATGTAGTCGGCGCCATTAAGCTCGTCCGCATGTCTTTCCTCCGGCAAGAGGCCTAGAAGGGCCCCGGTTGAACCATTGCCGGCCATAAGGATGGCTCGGGCGAACTCCTGCTCGCTGGCCACGCCCTGTGTGGCCACGATAATCTCACAGCAATGCTCCTCCGCCAGGACAACCATATTCTCCCCATCCACGGCCTCGTAGATCATACACGAGTCAACCCCCTCTTCGGTGGGCCGCAGGCCGCCTTCATATTCATCCTCCTCCACGGTGAACTGTTCGCCGGCGTTGCCGTTGGTAAGCAAAACTCCAGAGTGCATCACAGCAATTGTTGGATCTCGAACGGATTCGGGAGAGTCTGCAAACAAATATATTAATATCAGTATATCTTTACATTGTGCTTAGAATAGGGGGGAAAAATGTATTCGATAAACAGCAAACCCACCATTGATCTCTATGACATCCTGGCTGCTGCATGGCCGCTTAGCCGGCGTGCAGCGCGCCCAGAAAGGAGCTGCTGCCGCTTCGTTTTCCGCCTCGGGTATCATGTTTCGGCGCAGTCCGTAGATGAGGGGTTCGCCATCGCAGACAAAGCTTGTGCTCGGGTGCTGCTCCTCCCAGCCCTTAAAGTCACTGGAGATGAGGCTATGAATGTCCGAATCGTCGGAGATGACGTGCAGCATGCTGTCCACAGCGGGATCAAGCTCAAAGCTTTGCTTTGGAGTCCCCTGCGATGGCGGAGCCGGCGACAAGTCCTCGGACAGCTCCTCACTTACAACCACGCCCGCACGAGCGTCCGGTCTGGCCGACGGCCCGGCCACCACCTCCATATCGCCTCCTGCGGCGAGCGGCGAGTAGCAGTCCAGCAGGTGCTCCTCGGCCGAGACGTAGGCCATCAGGCTCGCTCTTGCTCCTCGTTTAGACATCACGCGGTTTCACTCCGGCCGTTGTTGTGGTCAATAAGAGTCGAAGTCAAAGTCGCGAGCAATTGTAGGATTTTTTCCGAATTTAGCACGTGAAATTTAAACAAATATACTTGATGCTGGCTACTAAAAAATGCCCGAACTGACTGTGAATGATCATGATTACATTATCAGAGCTAGACCGATTGCCAAGCGTCTTATATTTAATATATATTGCGTGTTTTGTTGTATATTTCCAATTTAGCAGCTTATTTTTTTTATTAACTACGCAGTGTGGCCGTAGTTCAATCTTAAAAACATACAGCTGCACCGGACAAAAAATCGTCTAAAAATGGCCACGCAAAAAAGCATTTTATCGATAAATGTTAATTGTCTCATCAGCTGTTTTAAATAAATGTGATCCGTCTGCTATTCTACCGCACAATAATGGAAAACGAACTCAACGGATCCGAGCTGGGAACCAAGGAATACTGGGAATCAAGCTACACGCGGGAAATCGGCAATTACAAAAGCCACGGGGATGTTGGCGAAATATGGTTCGACGAGGACTCGCAGCAGCGTGTGATCGATTGGCTGGTGAAGCAACAGGACATCGACAAGCAGGCTGCGCGAGTTCTGGACCTGGGTTGCGGCAACGGGATGTTTCTTGTGGGCCTGGCCAATGAGGGTTACACCCAGCTGACCGGAGTGGACTACTCCCCCAAGGCCGTTGAGTTGGCCCAGAACATTGCTCGGGACAACAGCCTGGATATCAGCTATAAGGTGGCGGATCTCACCCAACCCCAGGACGCTTTAGGCGCCTTCGATGTGGTGCACGACAAGGGCACCTACGATGCGGTCAGCCTTTGTCCCGAAAATCCCAAGGAGAAGCGCGCCCTATACCTGGCGACAGTGGAAAAGTTGTTAAGGACTTCGGACAGCCTGTTTGCCATCACGTCCTGCAACTGGACTGAGGAGGAGCTGGTGCTGAGCTTCGGCGAGAAGTTCGTTAAGCATCACACGATTCCCACACCGACTTTCAAGTTTGGTGGCAAGGTTGGCAGTGTCGTTACCTCAGTTGTGTTTAAGAAACGTTGAGTAGAAATGTAAACTAAATTAAACTAAACTTTTGTACATCGCTTTAAATTATTGATTTTATTTTTGTATTTAAAAAGAATTTTTTTAAGTAATTAGAAAAATAAAATACAATTAATTTAAATTTAATTTAATTCTGCGTGAGAAACAATCGATAGCAGTACCATCGATAGCAGGCATAAAGCGCTCACGCAGCCAAAGAATCGAACTATCGATAATAAACACTAAGTGGGAGAAATGAAAAAATTACAAAAAGAAAAACAAATTCAAGCTAGTTACTCCACCCGCCTCTCACAATCCCAAACCGAATCCAACCGAAACATTTCCACGCGCCCGCGCGCTGATAAGGCAAGACTCTGAAAACTGAGTAGCTCGGGCGAATAAATATAGGGAGCGTCGCCGCAGCTCAGAACACATTACACACAGCTCTCGAACTGTGAACGTCGTCCAGTTTCCGCCTCAAAAATTAAATCAACAAAAGCAAAAACAACGTCTTTAGTTTTGCCTTCGCGTCCTATGTGCTTCGAGTGCCGGACACAGTTCTAAATTGTAATTGGAAAATTCAATAATAAGCTTGCGATGGAGGACAAGCGGGCGAATGGCGACAGCTGCGTCAGCTGCAACGGCAGCTCCAAGAAGAAGGAGATCCGCGTTTGGTGCGACGGCTGGTGAGTCACGGGGAATACTCCACCTGCTGCCGGTGGAGCTGTGTAGGGCAACCAACGGTTCCCATTGCGTCACTTTACGGGATTTCGTCGCAGGGGAGGGGGAACCGTGAGTCAAAGCAGAACAATTCCACGTAGGTTCCGTCTGCTCCACGGCGGGGCAGTGGTCGTAATCAGCCGGCGATAAATACTATTTGGGGTGTGAAATGCGAGAGTTTCAGGGTCTCTTCGCATTGATTAGCGATTGTGTGTGGAACTGTGGGATTCGTCTGTACTGCAACCCGCGCAATATTCGCTCTCTTTTTGGTCCGACCCAAGTCTATTTCAGGTTCAAGGCCTGTCTGCGCATATTAATATTTATTCTTTCCATCTGATTTGTCAAGAATTTATTTGGCTTTTGTATCTTGCATATCCGGGGGTATCATAATAATTTAAAACTTCCCATTAGAGTCAGAAGTTCTCATTAAAATCCCATTATCTAGAGTTGTTTCAAATACCTTTTGCTCAGGCAAACTGTTCATTTCAAATGGATAAATATTGAGTGCATTTCAAACTTATTTTATTTGAAAAGCCAGTTATTAGGGAAGCTGGGATAGTGACTTCTATGATGGAGATGGATAACGAACGAATAAATAACAAACTATTTAACTATTTCTTTTATATTTAGATGCTTGGTTTTCGCGATCTTTTATAATTTTGTGTTCTATTATTTCATTTTGGTGCAATGCATCATTAGTAACCGGTTTATATTTATCGGAATCAAGGCATTTAACAGTAGACAGCGATACGAATTGTAGATGGATGGCCTACCATAACAAGTTATTCTGCTTTATCAGACAAACAAAAAAGTTCCTCAATTGCGGTTTCCGCTGAAACGTTTTATATATAAATAAAACTACATACATCTATTGTTTATGTTCACCCTCTCGCTCCTCTCGCTCTCTCTCTTTGCACACTGTCCTCTCTCCTTCCCGCCGAATAAACAAAGGCACACGCCCAGAAAATAAAAATAAAATCATCGTACGATTCTCTGTATATAAACTGTGCTAGCGTTCTGTGTATCCCACTGTATCGGAGAAGCGGCGTCCGTCTTGCGCTTCCTCCCGTCCATCTCTCGTTCCTCTGAGGCGGCTGCGTTTACGTGGCCCATGTTGGCTGTGGCAGACCGCCGGTTGTCCCGAAACATCACGTGATGCGGGCCTGCGCATGCCCCGTCCCTGCCCAAACCCTCCTCATGCCGCCGCCATTGACCCACAATACTGGCACGTTTGTCGTCATCATCATCCGGCATTACTTATGTGCCTTAAATCTGAATCATGAATAGTGCATACAATTGGAGGTTTGTGGAGGGTTTTAAGACTACCCTGAAGAATGTAGGATGTTTGCTCCTCATATATAAAGCATATATACAAAAAATATCCGTCACTATATTCTTGATCGCCCTTAACAGATTAATAAATAAGCCATTTTGGCCTCGAAATTTACATAACCTTCCAGTTACAAAAATAACGCTCGGCAAATGTTAGAGTTGAAAACAAAATCAATGCATGGTGCAGGGGTCCAATAAGGACCTTTCCGACATGAGTATTTATGTACAAATACATGTAATAACTGCAGTAAAAATAAGACGATCTGTCTGAGTACTTAGTTTGTATGTTGTTTCCTTACTGCTTCTAAAATTTCTGACTAAAATCGTAACACCCTTTTTAACTCTAGATCTACTCGTTAAACGCTAAACCCAAGGATAAGGATAAATTTGTAGTTAACGCCACCAATCCCTATAATAGGATTGCACCCTTATATGATAGGAAAAATATTGAAATTGTAACCTACGCACTTAAAAATTCGAATGTCAAGTTCAAATGTATAATTTATTTCCATTTTTAATGTCACTTGTCACCTAATTCATAGTTAATAACAAACGCGAATTGATTAGAAACCGGACAAGAAAATTCCTAATGCTCGTATTTAGGCATTTCCGGGGTTACTTGGGACAATCTGTTCTCCCTTAAATCGCGTTGCCATTGCTGTCACTGGGTCACACCCAGTCAGTGTGGAAGTCCTCCAGCTGATAAGGCCGACCTAGAAAACACAACACACATACCACATCAGCTGCTATTCTGCAGAAATCAAAAAAACAAACAAACCGCAGGTTGCTTGGGTCTATTTATGTGGAATCTGCCCGTTAACCCGGCGATTGGGAGCACATGTACTGTGCCGCAGAGCCAAATATTCTAATCGGCAGATGAGATTGATCATTGACGCAAGCAAGTGCTTCTCCAGCACTCGCTGCTCCCTCCTTTCGGGCAAGTCAATGAACCTGGGGGCCCAGTGGAAAAACAAATGAATGGGGCTCTCGTAACAACACTGTAAGAGCGCACAGGGTTGGGTGGGATTCAGCCCCAGGCCCCACGGAATCCAGCCTGGGGTTCGTCGTCAGAGCACAAATTCTACGAAGAATCGCGTGATATTTTTTTAATCAGCAACGTCGTCGTCGTAGTCGTTGTTGCTGTCGCTGCCCGTTGCTCACTCAATTGATTAAGCGGCCCCTGGGTCTGTTCTACATATAGAGTACAATGCTATGCATATTTGTGCCTGCTGCCTGCTTCCCTGGCGCTCGGCACAGATTTCAGATTTCTGCTGCAAAAATCTCCGGGAGCAAAGGTTCTCCGCCTCGATTAATGAATGGCCCACGCTTTTACTAGCTGCTTTCCTGCTCCCCGCTTGGTTACTATCACTCGGAGCAACACCTGCATAATCATTCCGTATATTTTTAGGCATACATATAGTATACAATAAAAGCTCTATATTTGTTTCTCTCCATTATGTTTGGATTCCGTGACGTAGATTCTATGGTTGCTTGGCTTTTATCAAGCCATCAAAGCGGCGGGGCCAGACACTGGGACAGCTGGATTGATCACTTTAATGTATTATCGTTGTGTTTGCAAGCTATTTAATTATATAATAATCTTCCCCTTCTTTTATCGCCTTTTGCCGGCCCCCTCTCTCATTCCCACCAACGGGGGGCTATCGATATTGTTGGCTTGATAATGGTGACGTTTCTGTTTCTTATCAAGTTATGTTACCTGTAGACGTAGCCTCATTTACTAACTTATTAAAAGTGAAATTACAGTACAAATTGTGTAAATGAGAGAAGCTATATTGCAATTACCACTTTAAATATTTATAATTCCATTCATATATAGGAAAAATAATGAATAATCGGCAAATACTTTCCGATTTAGAAGAAATATTTTAAACACAAGTCGATGATGTGATGATGTATAAAAATATCTCTCTGTCGTGGCAAAAATTCCATTTCAAATAAGTACATAATTGTTGTTGAGTGCAATTTAAGCGACCCCTCACGTCTCCACAAATGTGTTATCGCTTTCCCAAAGCCAAAACAAACCTAGTTCTAGGCACGTGTGCGCCTATAAGCAAGCATACAGCCTAGAATCGATGGAATGTATAAGGTTTTATTTGCTCTGAGCTCGCACAATTGCATTTATAATTGCCAAACGTTGCCTTGGTGGCTTGCTCCATCATCATCAACATCATCAACATCTCTCAACATCGACGATTTTTAACGTGCCAACTCTGATGATCGAGTCCAAAGAGCAATCTTGACCAACGCAGTGCCAAATTGGAGCACACAAGAGCCGCGGTGTGGGTATAGCAACTCGGCTACTGGTCATTTGCGCACTCGACCACACATGGCATCGCGCTCTCTGTAAATTATGTAAATTGTGTGGTCACAAGCCCGGACAAGTTAATGGCTTAATGCCACATAAAAGCCTAGCTTTTCGCCTGAAGGCTTTTGCTGGTGAAATTAAATAGTTCTTCGATTTAAGCAGACCTGCGCTAGATCCCTTTTCTCCATTTTGAGTAGTTTTCTTTATCGTAATTGGCTCTTTGAAATGACCTTCTTTCTAAATATTCATAAAATGAACATATTCTAAAACTTTAAGCTGGTTTTAAAGTGATAACTGAGCAAAACTGGTCTGGGAATGCGTTAATTATTTGCACTGATTGTCGCACCTTCTTAGAATCTATTGCCATGAAGGTCGAAGTTGTTGAATTTGCCTGACAGACTGGCAGACATTAGACATTTCCGGTAGCAATAACCCCATGTACCTCCCATGTCGTGTGATAAGGCGACATCTTTCTCTTCCGTCGGCACACTTTCGATAACTTACTTTGTTCCGTACACCATTCATCTATTCGTGTAGCAACTCCACTAATTGAATTTTATCTTTCCTCCTAACAGCTATGACATGGTTCACTTCGGGCATGCCAATTCCCTGCGACAAGCCAAAGCTCTTGGTGACAAGGTAATTGTGGGCATTCACACCGACGAGGAGATCACCAAGCACAAGGGACCGCCCGTCTTCACAGAGGAGGAGCGCGTTAAGATGGTCAAGGGTATCAAATGGGTAGATGAGGTGGTCCTTGGAGCTCCGTATGTCACCACACTGGAGGTGCTTGATAGAAACAACTGTGATTTCTGTGTGCATGGCGGTGAGTGCATCATCAAAAAACCCTTCAAAATCATTTCTAAAGTGGATTCCATTTGCATTGCAGATGACATTACAATGACCGCGGAGGGTGTGGACACATATCATTTGGTCAAATCAGCTAATCGCTACAAGTGAGTACAACCTTTGATAAGTTTTGACTGGAGATGTATGTAAATATTAAACACAATATCGATTTATACAACAAACAAAAAACAATGTTGTATCATTAATCTATACAATGTTCAATCGATTTCTTACAGGGAAGTAAGACGTACGGCTGGCGTCTCGACCACTGACCTGGTAGGTCGAATGCTGCTGCTGACCCGCAACCATTTCCGCCAGGGATCCGCCGAATATGACATTGAGAAAGAAGGTAGCTTCCGCTTGTTTCCACTTACGCTTCTTACATGCCTTTTTATGTTTAATTTTTAATGTCCTTCATGATCACAGCGAACAATATCTTATGATTTGTGCGACATTTTCATAGAAATCTGTTTTTATAAGTTTTTATTTATTAACCATTACTAACATTTAATTTAATTTTTGGCACTTTCTTTTCTTTATCTCCTTTGGTTCTTGTTCATTTGCTCTGCATGCTGTGCATAAACACAAAACCGATCGAAATCAGTTATAAGTATGAAAGATATATACCTTTTTTGGGCCATGCACGCCTAGTTTAAGCTTTCAGTTGATTAGTTTCCCCATTCCAAGGCCTCGAATCGTTTTGAACGTTAACTAATTCCTTGATTTTATGTATGTTGCTCTCTACAACTTTACTCTTTCTCTTCTTTTTATTTCTATGTACGCACTGTTTACCACTAACAAAAAACCAAAAAATTATATATAATGTTTATGAAAAACCTATGAAATATATGCTAAAACCTCTATGAAATGAATGAAAACCGCGAAATGCAATGACCTGCCACCTGCAATATCCAAAATCCGCATCCTAAATACGAAATCAAAATCAAAATCAAAAATCCTAAACGTAAATTCCGCTCTATAATCTAAAACACACTCTGCTCATTTGTCTGCGTTGCTTAATTACACAAAACTATCAAATTGCTAAAAAAAAACAGTGAAGATTTTAAAAAGACAAATGAAATCCCATCCAGGTTCATCGAACATGGGTCAAGATTCGGCAGCCAAAAGTCCATGGACCGGTTGCAGTCAGTTCTTGCCGACCACCCAAAAGATCATACAGTTTAGCGATGGAAAGTCCCCAAATCCTGGCGATAAGATCGTAAGTCCCTTGCGAAATATCTTTCTTGAAATATATTTGCCTAAAATACAAAAATTCTTCAGGTGTATGTGGCTGGCGCCTTTGATCTCTTCCACGTGGGCCATCTGGACTTTTTAGAGAAGGCCAGCAAACTGGGCGATTACCTCATTGTCGGCCTGCACACAGATCCGGTGGTCAACTCGTACAAGGGCAGCAACTATCCGATTATGAACCTGCACGAGCGCGTACTCAGCGTGCTGGCCTGCAAGGTAAGCTAACCTAGCTAAGGATAGTGGAATGAGCTGAAAGTAAATCCATTTTCAATGATAATCCCAATCCCAATTCTTTTTTTCCAGTTCGTCAACGAGGTTGTGATTGGTGCACCCTATTGCGTCACCGAGGAGCTGCTGGAACATTTCAAAATCGATGTCGTCTGCCATGGCGGCACACCCATTGCGCTGGAAGATGGCAAAATCGATCCGTATGCCCTGCCAAAGACGAAAGCCATCTTCGAGCTAATCGACTCGGGCAATGATATGACCACCGAGCGTATTGTGGAGCGCATTATCTCGCACCGATTGGAGTACGAGCGTCGCAACCAGGCCAAAGAAAAGAAGGAAATCGAGGCTTTCGAGGCCCTGCAGCGTCAGAAGCAAACCCAGAAGGCGGGCTAGCATCTGGAGAAAGCCATTTCCAAATAGTTTTCAAACTAGACAGGCGCACGTTTTATTTTGTGTTTTTTAGTTGATCGTTTTATTTTAGTTATGTTTTGTGTTTGCGTGTCGTCTTATTTTTGTTACGATGCGTTCAAAAGGCGATGAACCGCTGCAGCCACGTTTATTTTCTAGTACAATTTTTGAATAGCTGCGGGCCGCACAGGCGCGGCTCTTGGCAAGCCTTATATGATATGAAAGTTATTTACATATATATTGGTAATAACCTTATATTAGCTTATATTTAAAGTCTAAATTGTATGTATGTGTAAGCTCAAAATTTGTAAATTCTACTCTGTATGTTCTATTTAAGTGTTGAGTGAAAAAACAAGTCAAGTTTCAATTCAGAACTTGCTAAATTGTGCGAAATATATGTAGTGTGAGGCGAAAAATAGCAAAGATAAACTGTGACATGTTATCCCAAACCTTGTATGAATTGTGTATGTACAAAGAAATGTAACGCAAGCTAAATGTCCCAGATCAGGAAGTATGTACGTTGCTGCTTTTATCAATTGTAATCTCCGATAATATTTTGTCCTTATTTATTTAATACCTATGAATGCATAAGTACAAGTTCAAGTTTTATGTTTCAATGTTTAGCTTAGAAAAATACATGGCCAAAAATATTCCACCAACTGAAGTGTTTTCTTTACTTGCGGGTATCTTGGTGACAGGGTTGGGCTCAAGGCAGAACCAACAGGATTACGACACAGGCAGTTCTTGCTGCCTACCGCATTGTTGCATCTTTCAGTGGCATTGTTTATGCTGAAAAGTAATGCAAAATGAAGCCTCAGCCGGCCCACAGCCACTTTCAGCCATAGGTGGCTAAAGAATGCCATGCTTGGGGTTCCCATTGAGCTTTTCTTGGGAGTGGGTTCTTAGCATTTCTAAATAAACAATAATCAATGCATGCAACAAAAATTCAACCACAAAAGAGAGCTCCATTCGCCACCAGTGAGGTGCCTAAAAGCATGCCGCACGATGACTGGCCGCATATACTGTTTGCCCGCATGCGTGTACCTACGATTCCCAACCGTTTCTAGAACATGTCTCATGGAGACCCTGCGACTCGCAAGGCACAGTTATCGCTTCTCGGCCTTATGGCTAAGATCAAAGTGTAGTATCTGTTCTTATCAGCTTAACATCTGATAGTTCCTCCATTGGAGGACAACAAATGTTAAACTGATTTTTGGAAACAGACGGAGTGCTAGGAGCTTGCTCCACCTCTGTCGCGGGTTGGCCCGGTATTGCAGTACCGCCGGGATTTCGGCCCAACTAAAAAATACATTTGCAAAAAGACTAAAGACTATAAGTGTCCCCTGTAGCTCTTACAGGCGGATGGTTGGGAATTATGTAGCTTCATTGTGTATTCTGTCAGTGTCGTTTCCCAGACGCCATCAAAATTATGTGTTAGGAAACTCCCTTTCCCTCCTCCCGCCCTCAAGCTCACCGCCAACCATGTCTGCGTCTGCCTCGCTGAGAGATCCGGCTTCCTCTGATGCGATGAGCCGGAACCAAAAGCGCCAGGAGAGGCGGAAGCAGCGCAGGCAGGACATACAACACCTCTTGTACACCAAGCACTTCTCCAACTGCCGTCTGCCCATTTCTGTGGCTTCGTCCTCCGAGGAGCAGCTGCTGCGATTCGGGTCTCTAACATCGCCGCCCAGCGAAAGACGCAGCAAGCTCTTTGTGATCTCGCCTAGCAAATCGCCCTGGGACCGCCTCCGCTTAGTGCCCTGCCCGATCCAAGGATGCTGCTGCTCGCTGGACCCCAGCGCCCTGTTGGGCCACTACCTGAGTGACCACCTTCCCGGGCTGGGCATCCCATTCGGCGAGCTGGTGACGGGCAAGCGCGTCTCGCTGAGCTGCCACGTGAGCAGCCTGGAGAACGACGTTCACAATTTGCTGGGAGTTTTTGGCTACCGACGCACTGGCCTGAATCCGCTCAAATGCCCACGGAACACACACCTGCCCGCCGAGTACCGGCAGTTCTCGCAGCACGGCGCCCTGCTGGTCTTCGCCTGCCGCACCCAGCACTCCATGTTGTGGCAAACCAAGGAGGGCACCAAGCACGACGTCCTAGCCATCTGGGCGAGCACTCCACTCCACGACGCGGTCATTTCGTTGCGCCTGCTTGTCCAGCCCGCCAACTCGGCTCGCTACTACACCAAGCAGGTGCGAGCTCGCCCAATCCAGTCGTGGTCGGCGAGGCAGTCATGTGGCGAGTTCATCAGGACGGATAGTAATGTGATTCTCATCAGCTTCGAGGACCTGCGGCAGTTGATGGACTTGGACGTGCCGCAGCAATTGCTAACGGTGGAGCTTAAGGTGGTCGGCGAGGCGAAGATTTAAAATTTAATATAAACCAGAAAGAAAGCTAACTTTGGCCAGCCAAAATTTGTATACCCTAGCAGGTAACAATTAAAATATATCATAACTAAGCCAAAAATGCATTAATTTCGATTCGGAAAGCAGTTTTGTGTTAGTTTTTATTAATTTAAAAAAAATGCATACCAAATTTAAAATTTTAAGATATCAAAATTTTTGGTCATTTTTGCTAATTTTAATGATGTTACCCCTTATCAAATTTCGCAAAAATGGCCAAAAAATCGATTTCTTCCGGACATGACTAGAAAGATTCGCATGTTAATGCTGATCAAGAATATATATGGTTTATGGGGTCGGAAATGATTCCTTGACTTAGAAAAATATTATTTTGTATTATAAAATCGGAATTTTTATATTAAAAAACTTCTTGATTTTTTTTAAATTAAAAATATCATAACTCGGCCAAAAGAGCATTAATTTTAAATCGGAAAACTGTTCTGTGCAAGATTTTCTACAGTTAATAAATCTGCATACTTCATATACAAATTTTGAAAATTCAATTTTTTATCAAAATCAAAAATTTTAATGATGTAACCCCTTATAAAATTTTGCAAAAATGGCCAAAAAATCAATTTCTTCCGGACATGTCTAGAAAGATTCCCCTGTTGATGCTGATCAAGAATATATATAGTTTATGGGGTCGAAAATGATTCCTTCACATATAAAAATATAAATAATGCCAATGCAATCACAAGAATAAAACGCACTGGGCATTTGTTTTTTGTTTATTTGGAATTACTTAATTCCATATCAACATAATATTTTTATTGAATTCAGTAAAATTTTTCAAACATTTCATTTTTCGTTACTCGTACACGACTTCATTTTTAGGGTTTTTCTTCAATGTGTTTATGTAGCTTTTTTTGTTGTTCTTTTTCATTTTCATTTTCTTTTAATTTTTCGTTTTTCTTCTCTTCCTTCTCTGTTAATGTTCATTTACTTTTTTTTGGTTGTAGGTTCCTTTTAATATTACAGCTTATATTTTTTAATGTTTTTTTTTTTTAATATTTATAATTTTATAGTTAAACTTAAATAATACAAAAAGCAGTGTTTGTTTTTCTTCATCTTGTTACCCACATATTTTTTTTTTAGTTTTACTGTGATTTTTATGAAGGATTTTTGTTAACCTAAATTAAAGCAATCTTGTTAGAATTTTCTTGAATTTCAAAAGTAAACAAAATGTAATTTTGTTTATTGTTTAATTTCTTCCCAGACGCAGGAATTTTTCTTGAATTAAAATATATATATATATATATATATTTCTTTTTTTTTCGGTTTTTCTTTTTAGTATTTATAATGTCTACTATTTATTATAATTTGCGGTTTTCACTAGATTTTCTTCTAAACTAAAGTTATTAAGCTTCTGCAAATTTCGCGTGTTTTGTGGGCTGTGGTTGTTGTTGTTGTTGTTGTCGTTTTTTTTACTGTTGTGTTTTCGGGTTTTGTTTTGTTAAATCAAAAGTCAATAATGTACGCATACTTAAAAGTAATTTTACATTGTTTCTTCATTTTATTTACCATTTATGTATATAACATTTGCATATATTTATAAGTATATATATGACTTTATGTTATACTTGCTTAGTTCTATATAGCTTAGGTTTAATACAGTTTCTCCTTTTATTTTTCTATTACATTTTATTTTCCTCTACTGGCGCTAATGTCTCAATATTTTCTTTTTTCGTTTATTGTGTGTAAGTATTAAAACCAATTGCAAATGAAGGTGAAACTCAACAGATTTACTCCAAACCGTTTTATATTCGATTTACTTTATTATACTTCTGGTTTTTGCTATGTACGCCGTAGTGTGACACATGTGTTTGTGGGAGATCCTCAGAACTAAAGACCCAAAAAACTAGCTACTCAAGGTGTTTCGAACGATCCTGGAAAATGGCCTTGATCAAGACAATTTCTTGACGCAGATCCTCTATATTCATACTCTTTCTGTTGCTTTGTTTGAAGAGGCTGCCGCTGATTTGGTTTTATTGTTTAAGAATGTTTAAGAATAAGCAAAGTTCTTTGAACAATTTTCAGAAAGGTATTCTCGAATATTGTGAACATTTATTGTTTGTCGCCTGGGTGCCTTGATCGCGGTTTGTTTGTCGGTTTACACACAAAAATGTCATTTTAACTGTTTTTAGTTTTTGCTTCTCATTTTATTTGTTCTTTTTACATACACATGGTGTAAAAAATGGCAGTTTATATATATGCTTGTTAAATATAATTCATTTAAATTGTGTGCTAGTAGTTGCCGCCTAACGAAGAGTGGAAATATTGCAAAGTGGTAGAGTGGCTTTGGATCAGAAACGTGGTGACGAGTGACTATCCTGCGACCGCAGACAGGCGAAAAGGATCTGAGACTGAACCGAGGGAAATTGTAATGAATTCGATTTTTAAGCTAGAGGGTCAAACATTAACTTGGCAGTTTTTTATATCTTTTTTATACGTTTTTATATATTTTTTTGTTGTTCGATTTTATTTTTTATAAGTTGTATTTTTATTACCCTAGATAACCTATTAATATTTATCGGCGGTTTTGGGAACACACTTTGCCGGGACAAACCAAAAAGAAATCGTCTTCAAGTCTAATTTTGTGCGTGAAAAACCGTTGGATAAAAACTAAGTTCAAACGCCTATAGGTGTAAGATCAACGAACAAATAATATTCAATTCAAAGTTAACAGCTGCCTGCGGTCGCCTGGACATACGTAAGGGAAAAGTATACTGTTGTAAATGATCTCCCAAGACGATTTTATTGTGTTCAGTGATAGCACTTGTTGCCGGCATTTGATTATACTACTTAACTAATTTTATCTTCCTTCCGTAATCTGTTTAGCTTAGTCGTAGGAAAACATGCACTAGCAAAAATGTTAGAAAACTTTTTGGTTTTTATTATACTTAAAACAATTTTACGTGACCTTGGATGCTGCAGAATTCGGTTGAAAAATATACCTTCAATAACTTAATGAAATTTACTTGACTTGGGACCAGAGAACGATATACGAAAGGTTTGAGAATTATGGCAATTACAATTCCAAAAGAAGGTTGACGAAATTCGGTCTTATAAACTATCTCTGGTCCAAACAGAGGCCTCGTTATCTATAAGTATGTATACTTTTTTTTTGGGTTTTTGGTTTTTCTCTTTAATTTCTTAAGCCGCATTCATTTACACTTGAAGTTCATTTCATGAAAGTTGCATTATTATTATACCATTTCATATTACATGTATTTTAATATATATATTTATGTATAACATTTTCCATTAAACTATTATTTATTGATTTACTTCTGCATTTTGTTCTTGTTGTTCTGGCAAAACTGTATAACATTTTTCGTTTTGTTTCTGTTTCTGTTTCGGTTTCTTCACCTGGATTCTCTTCTCTTCTCTTAGAAATTACACTAGTTAAAGTGGATGGAAAAGGGGGTTAGTTAATAAGCTTTCGTTATGCCGGTTAGGAGCTTTCTTACGTTTCATGTTTTCTTTTTGGTTTTTCTTGGGGAAAATAGAGATAAGTTAGTTGAGGCCTAAATATCTAATTAGCATTTCGTATTCAGAGTCGAGTGTCACTGTTCGTAAGTAATATTTCGCTGCCATGTCCTTTTCCGCAAAGGAATTGGCCAATGGCCGTGGGGTTTCGAGTTAAAGGGAGGTCCTTGGGTCCTTGGTAATCCTTGGGACTTGATCGGCTGTAAAACATATGAGATGGAAACGGATTGGTTTTTGTTTTTCAACTTAGTTAAATTAAGTTCGATTTATTGGTATTATCTGCTGGATGTTGTTGGGGTTGTATACATAATACATTTAAATTTTATATGCTCTTCATGTTTATTGTAACCAGTTACTCTGTACTTTCATTTCAGCTATTTACTCTTTTTGCCTCAATTATCCTTTTATGTTTAATATATTTTTATGAGAATTTCCCATTAATGATCTTGGATTTTGGGGGTTTTTCAATAATAAGTGAAGAATATTAATTTTAAATATGTCTGGGCTTGCTTTTTTTGTTTGCCTTCTTTTATGCATTTTTTGTTTTATATATTTGTTGTTTATTTAATATGCAGCGCCTTCTTGTTTTCTGTTTGCGGTTTTGTTTTCGCTTCTGTTTAATTTTCTCGTTATTATGTTGTATTTTAAGAATTTTTGTTTTATGTGGCCTTTGTTAATTCATTCGCTTGGGAAAATGCTGCATCCTGCTTACATTTATAACAAATTGAACTAAATTATATAAGGGGATCCTGGCAATAATTTAGTTGCGTTCCAGGAGCTCTTTTGGGTGGAGACGGGGAATGGCCTGGGGAGGAGTGGGTTTTTATTTGTATATAAACATACATATTTGTGTTTATATTTGCTCCAATTGTACAATTGATTTGTATATATTTAGTTGTTATAAATATAAATAATGGTTTTATGCATTTTGTTCAAATAATTTGTCGTTTAAGTACAGTTGATGTTTAGCTTTTTAAGGTTCTTTTTTCGCTGCGCTGTTTGTCGTTTATATGTTTCTTGTTAATCCTTTGCCAAAAATTACACCAAAAAACAAATAAGATTGGCTTAACAACAGTTTTTATTTCGTTTTTTTAAAATGATTTTTGTTTTGTTTTTGTTACTTTTATTACTGATAATATAATATTTTGCGCTAATTAAGTGGCCTGTCAAATTTATACCTTTGGTTTTTCGCCTAAATTGTTAACTAAATCGAAATTTTCCTAACAAATTAAGGTTTTTGTGTGATTCTGTGTGGGGGCGTTGTTCATTTTTTAGCGTTGGGTAGGTATTTCTTTTGTTTTGCTTGTATTTTATTTTATATGCTTTATAGCGCTAGAATTTTATTTCTTAAGTTTTCCATTTTGTTCTTGCTGTAGCTTCTCCCTCTTTCTCTTTAGTTTCGTCTTGTCTTTGGTTATTGCTGTATCTCGCATGCCCTTTGGGGGCCCTTGCTTGCTACACTTTGCTCATTTCTCGCTTGTTTTGTGTGTGGATTTGTTGCAGTTTTCTTTCTATACTTGAGTGTTGTTCAACGGTCAACCTATTGCCTCTTCCATCCTTGCCCTCCTTGCTCCAAGCTCCTGGCTCCTCGGTGGCCGCTCCGCGCACGCGGCCGATGTCCTTGGGGAGACGTTTCTCTTAGTCCACCATCAATTCAAAGTGGACGGATCCTCTCCTTTCTGAGCGATCGTGGTTGATGTTGCGGGCCCAGGCTTTGCACTCAATGTTGATCAAGACGCCGGCTAAAAAAGGGAAATAATTGGTTTAATAAATATTGAATTTACACAGTACAACTCTTAATGGCTTAAAGTAAAGTTCTTTTAGGCTTTTCTCTTACCAAAAAATATCCTTCCTCTAGATGTGCTGCCTTGGCAATTATTTCCTGAGGTAATCAGAGCCTTACAACTCTCTAATTGTAGGTTTTAATTGGCTTGCAACTTGTTTATTCGACCCAACCAGTTGCCCTATATTCAAAAGGCCCTAACAATTCATAATTAGAAAGCAGAAACTTGTCTTTCCATCCCAATTGTTCGTAACCCATTTTTCTACCCTCTCTAAATGTGGCTTAATTCCTGCGAAATTGTTGGAATGCAAAACAAAGAACAAGGGAGAATGCATATCCTGTGTCAGTTATTTTTCGAGCTTCCCTTCAACCAACCCCTTTGTAAATATTTAGTGTGCCGTTCAAATTACTTTTTGTGTTTGAAATTGTGTAAAATGTGGAACGCGGCCACAGTGAAAGCTTGGTTTAGAACTCTTTTCCGTTGAAGAAGCCTGAACTATTTAGCTACGAGCTTCTGATAGGACTTACAGTCTGCTTACTCTAGTTTACTCTTACTGAAATTGAGGTGTACTTACTTTCAACAGTAAATTGCACAGCTACGATTGGCGGAATGTACCCCTTGATGTTTTTGAAGGGGAAGTAGTAACGTGGGAAACCCATGCGTGGATAGTAATCACGAGCCTTGATGTTCTCAACATCGGCAGGATTCTCACCCTCGCACGAGACCCAGACAACGCTGGTCTAAAATGAGAGCACAAAATAGTGAAATATGGTTAAACACTATCCTTTCACCTCTCATCTGTAGATCTCACCTCGTTGGGTCGCAGGCTCTGCTTCTCCTTGATGTGCTGCTTCAACTCCTCAGGCATTTCATCGGGCAAGGTCTTTGAATCGTTGTAAATTTCCGGCACCCAATTGTAGATCTAAAAGGGTTATGGTAAAGAGATTTGTTAGCTAAGGTACGGAAAACTATCTGAGTGGAAAAGTTTGAAGCAGATAATCTTGTCCTAAATCATTGCTCATCTGCTCTTTTTGAATTTTAGGTATAGTCTCTGCCTTCGCTGGAATATATATACTTTTCAGCGTTACTCACCTTATTCAACTTTAGGAATATGCAGGGTCTGGCCACATGATAGCCAAAGTTGTTGTCCACTGTGCAGGGTGCGAAGCTGGCGGCCTCGGTGCCACAGACTTTGCCCTCAGGTGGCGGGTGCTCGAAGCTGCAGTTCACCTGGTTCTGCTTCTCAAGATCCTCGTAAGCTGGCGATTCGAAAGGATTTAGTTAGCAAGGTGAAGCGGCTTCAGGCGGGTAGGAGTTTAGCATAATGTTTAGCATTTTGGCATTTACATTTAAATAGCAAGAGATACTCATCAAAAATGCGCTTGCGTTATACACAAAATGTAAAACTTACTGTGATCTTTTCGTTTTATCGGTTATCAAAAATCAAAATATTGAAAAAAGTGTATTTTAACATAAACATAAACATATAAAATAATAAAGCCTTCGGAAATCCGAAGCCTTGTCCAAAAAAGAAATCATTCTTAACTATATTAAAGTTTTAAACTATAAAGTTTCTAGTTTTTCTTATCTGTCTACAAGTTTTGCCAATGTGTGTCTCGATTTTACTTATATAATAAAAATTTCGTTTTAATAAACAATTAATTTGTTGTCCTTTGAGGCTCTTCTGGCTTACTTACATTTCAGAAAACGGGCAGTCTCATCAACCCAGTACTTATAATTATCCTTCTTCGATGACTCGTACCAAACTAATGTGCTCTCAACATTGGCTTCTGGGGGCATTGGTCGGAAGCCAAGACCTGAAAGAGGGAAGAGCACGTGGAGGAGAAAGAGTTTTTTCAGTGAACAACACTTGAACAAGTCTAATTGATTTTATTTATGCTTCCCCCCTGCTTATATTCCACTCATCCAATTAGTTAATTAAATTGGTAGGCTTGGGCGCGGCTTAATTACCATAAAAGTTTTTGGCAATGTCCACACATGCTGATAAAATCTTATAAATACCTTAAAAACTATGTGAAATAATGTGTTCTTATAATATAATATAACTAACCTGGGTTAGCTCCAATCAATCCGTTGTCAAGCATCCATTTGGGCTTCTCATTGTCCAGCGTTTGGTAGAACACCGTAAATATTGCAGCAAAGAATCCAGTTAACGCCGCATAAAATATTATATAGAATAGTAGAATTTTCGCTGAAAAGATTTAAGCAAGAACAAATACCGCAATTAGTCAAGATCAATATTTAACTGGAGTATCAACCGAAATTAGCTAACTCTTTAAACTAAACAAAAATATGAAAAAATGCTTCATCTGATCCCATTTTGAACCTTTATTTCTTAATAACTAATTGCGAAAGGCGGCGTACAAAGAATTTGACATGATAAATGGGATTATTTATCCGGCCATTAAGTCATTCAGAATGCTAGAGATCGTGGGACGTGGGAAAAATGTTTTATTTCAAGAGTGAACATCGTGGGAAATACTTTTTCAGTAATTGGTTCCAAAGAGAGCGAAGAGGGTACTGCAAAACATTAAAAAATGCAATTATTCCTATAAAATTGAGACTAATTTTCTTAATTTTAACATTTTTAATAATTTCTTTAAACAAATATTCATGGATAGATTGACTCGTATATTTATGGTGATCATGGATATATAATTCATGGAGCTTCTGTGCCTCCATAAATAATTATACTCTGACAAACAAAGGGCATACAAATTAAAGTTTTTCTATAATATGCGGTATTTTCCTGCCCTCCTATGGAAAAATCGGGGGAAGCTTTTCCAACTTGAGAGTGCGTTTGCGCAGTGCCGCTCTCGAGGCGCTCTCAGAAGCTCTCGCTGCCATGTACTCCTCTATATATATAGCTAGGGTCCTGTGGACCAACAGTTGTGGAAGCACTGTGAGTGTTCAAGGAGAAAAACTTAAAAATCCGATTGCTACTTACTTACGTCACAAGTGGGACTGGAGGGGGGCAGGGGTGCATTGGGAGGACTCTGAGGACTTTTTGCTGCCATTTAAATTTTTGTAGGCAAGCGAAAAGTTTTCACTGCAAATCTATTTTGGGCTTAAGGGTAGCTCTGCCTCGGCTTATATACGTACATATATGTGTATGCGTTAAATATCTAGTTAGCGGCCAGCTTGGGCTATGGTTACTGCCGCCTGGCCCCTTCTAATTGGATATCCTCCGCTCCGTTCCTTACTGTCCCACAGTTTTCCCTGACACACCGTTTTTTTTTCCCCCCTTACATAATTTATGGTACTCGCTTGTCAGTTAAATAAAATGTACGTTCGCATGGCAACACACACACACAAGAACCAAACTGAAGGAGAAGAGAGGCATTCAAACTTTTCCCATTGTTGCGGCCGTGTCGGTGTGTTTCTGCACTTAACGAGCTAGTTTTTCTATTTTCTTTGAGGAATGAGATACGCGAACTACTCAGCCGGAGGGATGAGATTCGTTGCTTTATTTGCATATCAAGTTGATGGCTTTGTTGTTGGCATCAGTGGACTTAGCCTGATTGCTTAAATTGGAAATTTAAATATGAACGGGATGTTTGCTTTAAGGAGTTACACACATGTTTGTGTTTCTTGAGAGTTTTATATTATTGGAAATTATAGGTTTCTTTAAAATATATAAAAAGGATAGAAACTACGCAGGATATAAAAATCAATATAGATTAGATGTCAGGAAATATGAAACGATTTTTTTACGTTGTTTATGAATAGCCGTTTATCATATTATAATTACACGGTTGCGCTGAAATTCAATTTGTGGCCGCCCCGATGGCAATGCCCATGATGATGATGATGATGATTGTGGGTCTGGCTTGGCCATGAATATATAATATCTGCGGCAAGCGTTGCCTATCCTCTCCTTTTTGCCTCTATATTTTTGACTGTCTGTCTGTATGTATGCATAACTCCTGTTTCTTGGCGTCTTTGCGGCGACACAGCTACATATTACGTATATTACGTATACGCCCCAGTAGCGTTGCTTTTCATTTGCATTTTCGTAATGGGACTTCAGCGAGCGGATGCCTATTAAGTTACAAGGAAAACCTTTTTGCATTTGATGGATTGGTGGTCTCTCTTTATCAGCTTTCATTCACATTTGTGGACTTTTTTGGGGTCCTTGTTAGATATTTAAATACGAAAATGCGAATTTAGGTTTTAAGTCTAGTCTTCTCTTTGGTAAACTCACAAGCCTGAGCTGAATTTCGGTTATTCCCAAGGACATTTCATTGATATTTGCGGCTGGGAGCGAGTCCAATTACGCTGTCATTGGTTTGTCAGGGGGGGTTGGGTTATGGATGTTGTGGGAAATCCAATTGATTTGCGCTCATGTCACCGCGTTTGACGATTAACTGGGAAGGACTCTGCGTGTGTGCGGGTGCGTGTGCATGTGTATGTGTGTGGGTGAGCGCACCTGGGCAGTACGAGCTGAGGAAAATTATTACGTATACGCCATGCTCTCCGGCGCTCTCTTTGCTCTGCGACTCTCTGGCTGCCTCTCTCTGTGAACTTTGACATTTGCAGCGAGCTGCAGTGCACTTTATGCCTTAATATCCTAGCGGGAGAATAGCGGGCGTGTATACTCTCCTCTCGCTGTCTTCGCGTATTTTTTGATTTCAGCCACAATTTTGTTAGCATTTAAGTAAGAGCAGCAGGGCCGGTGTGTGGGAGTCGGCTCGTTTTCTGTGTTTACATTTTGACAGTTGCTGAGTAAAAAACCGAGTAAAAAAACAACGCATAGAGGCACACTGAAAGGACCCACACTTGGAAACATTAAAAGTGGCACACAGACCAACCCAAAATCACCAGCGGAAATGAGAAAATATAAAGGAAGGCACAGAAACATATTCAACTGTCAACAGCACGACTTAGCACGCCGCGGGTTGTGTAGCGCGAAAACTGGCACGAGTCTCGTCCTTTTCCATGCAAAAAATTCAAAAGCCCAACCAAATGGGAATTTTGTATAGAAAAACGTTGTAATTCTCCCACATTGATATGCAACTTGGCCAATTTAAAATTCAAGCTTTAATATTAACCGGTTTTTGTTAATTTATTCAGGACATTCATATTTATATGTCAAAATGCAGGATGCTCTGTTATTCATAAAGCGTAAAGGGGAATCAAATTGGGCGTTTAATCATAACTAAATCCAGAATATATGTATATATAAAATATAGGTAGATGGATATTACAAGTCTACAGATCAAGGCGTTCGAAGGATTTTGTCTTGATAAGTAGATTTGCCACTCACCTTGAGTAGTATAAGGGTATCGGATGTATATTATTATAAACTCTAAAGAAATATTTTTTTATATTCTGGCTTTTTAACTTTATAGCCTAGGAGATTTAGGATTGCTACATTCTTAATATCATGTACTAAATAAATATTTAAAATAACCCATAACATAATTATATTAGACACAAATGAAAAATATACCATAAATATAGATTAATAGAATAATCTATGATGCTGGTCTTAGTAGTATTGTAGAAATCGACATTATATATTACTCCTAAAGACAGACAACCATTTGAAATAAAAACCTATTGACCCTGTCACAATTTTAAATATTTAAAAATATAATTCCAGCAAAAGCAGCAAATTGATTTACGATTTGATAATGTACATATATTTGAATATTTATCGGATTATAAAATAACTGTTAAATATTGAATTAAATCAAAGAGAATTCTACTTTTAAGATTTTATACTATTTGAATATAATGTTGCAACTCTGATTGGCAGCCAATAATATTGGTGAGATCAGTGATATGTCCGAAGCAGTTTTAAGGATCTATACCTACAATACAATTTTATACAATTTTAATATTTACTTTATGCATTTAATGAAAATGTAAAAAAAGAGTAAAATGTTGCAAATATTTTGCCTTAAAAGTTACGGCAAACATTAATATTAGAAAATTTAAGTAAGAGTCCTGCGTGTTTCCATCGATTAAATTAAATTCCAGGATATTTTATATTCGTTTTCCCCTTATGAAGGAGTAAAGGAAATTAGTTAATTAGTTTTCCCTTCCATCAAGATTCTTTTCTATTTTTTTAACCCATTAGAAGTAGATTTTCGTGAAGCTTATGTATCAATTGCCGCTCAGCTGCTGCTGCTCTTGAATTGCCTACTTAACCGCAATAAATTTTAGCCCAAATAACAAAGTTTATATTGCCTAGGTTTATATAGAAAGTGGAAAATTTTACATTTCCACTAGTTTTCCTTAAACTTACGCAACAATCTTATGACTCTATTGTTAATTGCGGTGATGTGCATTTTAAGGGCAACGATTTTAGCACAGAGAAGTGATGTTGCCTCAAAACTTGTGCGATATTATTTAGCAAGCTCGGTGGTGGCTAACTTTCGTGGCTCAGTGTGAATTGATTCGTTTTCATTTTCCATTTTAATTGTTTTTGTCGCAGCCTTGTTCTGCTTGTTTCTCTTTCAGTTTGTTGTCTGGCAAATTGATGTCAATAATTGAGTGCCATATGCTTCATGAATTGGTTATATGTTAATTGCGGCAATTGGCAAATGGCCTCAGATTGCCAGAGAGTGCACAGATTTGGATGCTTGCAATCTCAAACAATTTGTTTTAATAACTTAATTTACTAAAACATAGCTTCCGCTGGGATATCGAAATTTTTGGGAATTATTAATAAGGGCATCTTTCAAGATTAATACTTTATTTTCAAGAACACTTTAAAGATTTTTGTATATAGTAAGATAGTGTATAACGCCTATGCCTTTAGTTTTTTTTTGTAAAAATAAATAAATACAAAGCAAGTCAAGCTAGAAATACTCTATAATTCAATACAGGACTGTAGCTCCCTTTGGACAAGAGCCCCATCTGCAGTCACTAAATAAGCTTACAACGCAATTTCAGAGCCGTCAAGGGAAACCTAAAAAGCAGAATAGAGGTGTCCATTCCTTTGTGCCTTTGGTGTAGGTCAGCCCAGTGACTGTGAGCTGTGTGAGCTCAGCACCCTCGCATCTTCGAGGAGATGGCAGCGGGAAGGCGGTGCCTGCCAAGTGTTTAACTGCAGAGGCAACACAACAACATTTGCACCCTAAGTGGGTTACACACAGGGACAGCCAAGCGCGAAACAACCCACCTTTGTGCACCGGGCCCGCAGCACTAAGCCGCTGCTGGCTGTGCTGGCAACGAGGCTAGAATTGATTTTTTTTGCCGGGACTGAGATCGCATGTCCACAAGTAGGTTTCCACATTTGCGTTGCCTCCATGGCAGGCGAATAAACTGGGTTATAGGCAATGTAGCCTCGACTTAACCTGCTATAGCTGCGGAGACAGACAGCAGTCAAGTGTTCTGCCGCAGAAAGGTAATAGACTCACACACACACACCAAAGATATATAATGATTGAAAAGTGCACAGCACATTGTATCAATCCGCTGTTGCTAATCACTCTTCAGAGTTAACTATTGGAACTAATTAAGTAAGAATAATTGGTTATAAAACCTTTTTATCTTGGCATTCGGCAATGACAAGTTCCATTAAAAGACATATTTTATTATATTTATAATTTCAAAGTTGAATGGAATACATATTATCGAAGAAATAGCAAAATTTCGGTCATATTTGCGAGGTGCTTATTGTTAGTTTCATAGCTTATAGAATGTAAAATCAATCAATTTTAGCAACCACAAGAACCCGGTCTATTTTTTGGTTGGATAATAAGTTTTTTAATATTTTTTCCAAGCTCAATCTGTTTTTCCCGGCAAGACTTTACTGAGGTAATTTCTTTAAAAAGCAGAATCCAGCTAAAGAAATAAAAGCAAAGCTATGAAGTCGATTGAATTCAAATATTAAATATTTCAAACATTTCAAGAAGATTCCGCCCCTTCCTAAACAAAAGCTTTTGACAGAAAGCCGTGATACCCGATTATAGCAATCAATAAGCCAACAATGTCATTATATTTCATTAAAAACGTATTCGGAAAGCAAAGAGGAATTTCTAAATATAAGCCATTGCCCTGGCACGTGCCACAGAGAGCCGATTGGGTGGCTGCTCGGATATACTGCCTTCAAGATATAGGGCCAATATCAATAAAAATACGGATGCCACGTACGAAATAAATAGGCATTATGCGTTTAACGCCAAATATTGATTACTGCTGCTTTATTTATGGGTTCTAAGGCCAACTTGGTACTTAATACTAAACACAGAAAACATAAGGGGAAGATTATCTAACAGATAAAAAGTCAACCAGTAAGCTATTATTTTAGTTGTGCCGTCATAGCTTGTCAACATTTTACTGTTTAAATATAGTTTAAGATATTACAATTATCTAATTGGTTTATCAAATGGCTTTTACGAAAAACAAAAAGACAGCAAACAATGTTATCGATTCGGTAGATATCTAGGAATCGAAGGGATGGCTCCGCAGTACAGTGTAATAAAGCGGCTTTACTACTGCTTCGCTTCCAGCTCGGAGGAGGCATTAAAAATTTATGACAATTTCCTTTTGTCACGACCCGCTTACACACGAAATCCGGCGATTAGTCATAATTCCCGCGGCCATATGTAATGAAAATAGTGATTCCTGATATGGAGAAAAGGCTGCAGCAAGGTTTTTCGCGTTATGCAATCGCCCAACTAACTGGGGAACTAAAGACTCGAAGTTGAGAACTCGAGGAAGTGACTCAACAATGCTCGCTGGCATTACGTAGTGGGAGGTCGTGCACCTCTCGTATTGACTTCCATATTTAGCCTAACTAAGTACGTGACTTTTCGGCGCCTTCGGGCGTATCTGGTAGTAACCCACAAATCGATAACCGTCGAGTTCAAAAGCAATTAGTTGGGGCCTATTGGAAAAAGTAATGATCTCGAATAAAAGGCATACAACAAAATTATCTAGAGTTAGCTTTTCGGTTTAAGAATTGTTCAGTATCAATTAGGATAGATACTTACCCCAACTGGACCCGGTGCGTCCAAGGCATTGGCTAGTTTCACTGTTCCATAGGAATTTTTTGAAACCCTCCCATTTGCCCATTTTTGGCGGCGGCGCATAATATTCACCAATTTTCTTATCGGCCATGTTAACGCTTTTGTTTTCTTGCTGCTGTTGGTTGGTTTTGCGGTTTAACTCGAATTAGTTATTCGTTTTGTCACTTGGGTTGTAGGAGGGTGTCTTGTCTATAAAGCTAGTTCTTTGTTAAACTATTCTTATTTGTTGTTCCTTGTGGCTCCTTAAAGTTGACGTTTAGATTTTGAACGCTTATCTAATACGAGTATATTATGTATCTTTAATTATTTATATATGTGTATTTATTGGTGTTGATTTTGGTTTTATTTGACTTGTTGGGTTGTTTTTTTTTTGGTTTTTGGGTGAGTTTTTCTCAATCAACTGCGTTGGTACAACATTTTTTGTTTGTTTGTTTGTTTTTTTGGAATGTTCGTAGCAGTATTTTGTTAAGATTAATGCTTAATTTGCAACGTCACTGAAAGAATATGAACGGAAATTGAAAATGAATAATATTGCATAACTGTGCGATCGAATGACACCTGTTAGGTAAGGTTAATGGTGGATTTTCGTAAAGTGCAATGACATAATGGATGGAATAGGTTATTTTCTTGGATTTTCATTGATCGTATATCGCGTTTGGTTTTGGCATTGACTTGAGTTATTGACTTATTTTAAACACTTTTTCGGGTCGCGACTATCATTGATTTTCTTTATCCTTTATGTAAGAGCGATCCGTTCCGGTGTGAGAGTTTTCCTTTACATTTTCAAACCCATTCAACGGTCTTTGCTTTCGGCTTATGTAAACTTTGCCTTTTCCCCACTTGGCATTTGCAGTATTCAGTTTTTCCCTTTGCCAAATTCTGCTTCAGCCTCAGCCGTGAGTCGGCGCAGGCACAAGGACACTTGAGGAAGCCCGTCTTAGGCGGATATAGAATGGATTTCAATCAGCTGCAGTATCTTCTGGGGGTTTTGTGCTATATTATTTGCAATTTTCTCGACTTTTGTTGCACCAAATGCCTCGAACTCGCCAACGCCAAATAAATTGTAGTCACCTCTGCCGATTTTAGTCACACACTCTGCTGCCAACTGTTATGTAATCTCGAGCGCGGAAAAAAGCCTCGAAAAGCCAAGCCAGCCCAGAGGCGAGCATGCGCACAGAGAGCGTCGGGAAGAGCGTGGAGAGAGAGAGCCAAGCTGAGCGCAGCTGGAATCGCTGCTTGGAAGCTTATTTTTTTCCGCTTTTGCCGCAGCTTTTGCAAGCATTTCAGGACGAAGGCGACGGAGGTGGGAGCTATGGGGAGGCAGGCGGGTTGCCGAGCCATGGAAGTTGACAGCTGGGCGCCAGCTTAATGAGAGTTTTGCGGGGAGGAGGAGACAGGAGGTCTCAGGAGGTCTCAGAAGGAGCGAAATCCGCTACCAGAAACCGCTTGCAGTTCTGCAGTCCTCCTGAAGAGCTGACGCCCAAAAGCAGGCAATACTAATACAGAATACCTTCATGCAATGAGGCAAGGACAATGGGAACGAAACGGGACTGCTTGCAGGGCTTATCCTTATCGCAGGAGCTGCTCTTTCCGCTCCTCTCCTGCACCTCCTGCTGTCGGCTTTAATGAAAATTCCCGACGCACAAACATTCGCCTGACTTGACTTACATTTCTGCTCTGCCGACGTCGCCGTCTTTTCGCGGCGCACATTGCGCAACGCGCCCGACTCGACTCGACTCGGCTCCTGGCTAGGCTCCTGCTTTGTGCTCCCGCTTTGTGCTCCTCGCTCCACGCTCTTCTTTAGGTTCTATTTCTGCGGCTTTGCTGCCCGCCCCCCGTGGCTGTGTGAATGTGAAAGTCCAGTAAAGGGCATGGCGCACCAAAGTAGGCAACGCTCTGGCCCCCACTCACAGGCAGGCAGGGAGATACACAAATGTAGAGGCGTTCGTTGGGTCGCCGTTTTTCTGGCGCACAGTGCAATTAGAATCCTTGAAAATCGATAAGGTTTATAAATGATTTCCCCCTCACGCACACAAGCACTGATAGGATTCGAAAACTCTCAACACTTTTTCGCACACTCGAACACACTCTCGCACACACACACACACACACACACACTTCGTTTTTTGCAAGCACTTCTTAACGGCTCCGGGCCTCCGAGTCTCCGCCTTATGGCTTCGCTTTTATTGTTGCAGGCAGCTAAGAAAAAATCGAATTCCAGTATGTATATAAGTTTTACAAGGATATCTTTGCTGCCGCTGTCACAATGTCCTCGTTGCCGACCGACGTCGCCGTCGTTGTCGCTATCGTTCTCATTCTCATTCCCATTTTCGCTGACGTCGACGTAATCAATGAAAAATTTTCTCCTTTGGCACAATTGTTTTTTCTTATTCGTGATTCTTTTAATTTGCAATTAAGACGGCGGCACAATTTGTTTTATTTCCGTCACATTTTTATATAGGGCGCACACAGGTTTTAATTTTGATGATTTGCGGATTTTTATGTAACCAGCGGCCTGGCTTGGTGGTTTTTGTGGGCGAGAGTGAAGAGTGAAGAAGGTTCTTCGGTGACATACAGAATGGGGTTTCTTTCGCCTTCGAACGCTCCCTCTCTACGCAGACTTGTACATGGTAGCTCTAGATATATAGATATATATGTAGATAGATGCCAGAACATCTATGTATGTATATCTATATGCCGATAATCCGCCAGCGAGTGCGAGTAGCAACCGTCCACAGTTAAAACGCCAATGATAGTGCCAGGCCATCGCCGCAGCTTGCAGCTGGCAATCGCTCGCCTTCGGCCATCGGCCTTCCGTTCGTTTTGCCTTCGGGAACCTTCGGTTCGCCTCGGCGCTGGTTAATGGCGACTGGCGGCGGCGGAGGCGGGAACGGGCAGGAGCTTCGTGGAAAGCGCCAGCTCTCTGCTCAAGCTTTTCGCTCAGCTGGGTGCTATACGCCAAGTTGCTGGAAGAACAGTCGGCGGTTCCGCCACCCTAGCCCCTAATTGTTGTTGGAGCAAGCTTTCAGCTACTTTTGCTGCTGTGATTTGCAGTTAGTTCCATTCAGTGGCTGCCAAACTGTGTGGGCGTAAGGCCCCGCGAGTTGCATGCCCCAATCAGTGCAGGTGAAACTGCAGGAGATGCGGTCCAAAGACCCAACGCCCTGTTCGAAAAGCAGAGTGTGTTGCTTACCCGAAGGGAGCTAACGAAGGCTAAGCCGTTTTATCACATAACCATGGATATTTTGTGAGATCATCATCAGGCTTAGAACTATAGTAAAACAAACACAGACTAGGGATAATTTAAAGTTCTTTCACCTTGCTATTAGACAACCTTATCGTCAGCGTAAACCCACCACAAAGAGTGATGAAAAGTTTCGCTTTCTTTCCCGAGATTTCACGGTGCTCTGTGTTATCATCTGAGCTCTGGAAGCTTTAACCTACCTAATCATTATTTTTGTGTTTTTTGAAATTCGCCCGATCAAGTCTCATTTGAAATGTAGATTAGCAATTAGCTTTGAAGCACAGCTGGGCCCAGTTTCAGGCCGAATTTTATACAGAACAAAGCAGTTTGAGTCTGAAAATCTGCCCTCCAGATTGCCTAAGGATATCGCTGATCCAGCGGGAAAGCCAAGCGGACAGTGGTTCTCAATCCGCAGTAATTTGCTGGCGCCTGACAGCTCGCATTACTGAGGCCTGATAAATCGCCGAGGACGAAACGCTGCTGCCCCGCCGCTATCCTGGCCACTCCTGTTTAGGCTCATGCGCTCTCTCCGCCCACCGCTCTGCTCTGCGGCTTATGTTACTAGTATTTCCCGCGGATACGGTTCAATCGGCGCAGAAGCCCATCAATCCGGCCCAGAGGCGTCCGCCGGAGCCAGAGGCGGCCGAACCAACGCACAGTTCCAGCGGCAAGTTTTCGAACGCGGCGAATCCGGCGTTGTCGTTGTCTTGCGCATTGGGGCCTGTGGACTGTGGATGGCGGAGAGTGAGAGGCTTTGGTCGGTAATATAATATTTATTGATTATTCGCTCTCCATCGTGCGGAGTTTGGGCCGGAGTACTGTCCCACACCAAAGCCGGTCATTTGGCCAAATTATATAAAAGCTAAGCAGCGGCCAAAAAATGATTTTGGCCACGAGCCGGGTGCCACCGAGAGGGAAGGTATAAGCTTAGGAGCGATGCGGAGGGGCCGGGCACACCGGGACTATGGGTTGCCAGCTATTTTATTCTCTTAGAGCATTTCCCCTGCCTTCAATTACGTCATTCCTCAGCTGATTGGGAAGTTGCGCGCAGCGAGTTATACAACAGAGTATTGGCCGTGATGAGTCGTTGGCTTTGTATACATATTGGCGCTATATTTGCCGCTTTAAGACTTGCAACTTTTGTCAGTTGACTTTGGCTGAGAATTACACAGGCAGCTATTTCGGGAAGGTTCTGCCTGCCCGAGGGTAATTTTTCTGTGTGACAGCTCCTTGATTGTTTTTGATTTCCCCTGCCAGAAATATCCGGAGGAGCGGATAATTTGTCATATCCGCATTGGCAGGCAATGGTGGCATGTCCTCCCGGAAATCAAACACTCAGAGGGTCGTAGTTTGTGGCACTCGTGGAGTATATAAGATACATACATTATAATATATTATTTTGTAGCAATTTTTAATTTCTTTAATTTCTTAACAATTTAATTACGAAAACCCCTCTCAGTTCAGTTCCACAAGCATACTTCGGGGGAGTGGCTTGGATCGGTCGTTGTCACACCCCAATCAACGTAAATCAATCAAAATTAACACCGGAGACAAGTGGAAAGTGTACACCGGACACTCAAGGGCAGCACGGTCGCAAGGATGCGGGGGAGAAGTGCGGAAGCGAAGGACAAGGAACGCACATGTTCCTTCAGCTAAATCAATTACAAAATGTTGCAGGAAGCTTGGCCCACACACGAGACTGACATTTGGAAAAAGGATTTGGCAAGGATGAAGGGCAGACAGAGACAAGAGAGCCGTCAGATTATGGCGAGTAAGGGGGAAACATGTTCAAGTTGAAACTAAAACAACGGATAAGCATATTACGTATACGCCGTGCTATTGACGCAAACAAAAACCATGTCTGGCTAATGCAGAAAGCTTGCCAAGCTGGCTAGGATTTATATACGTAAACGCATATACTCACATATTTAAGGCCTATTTCCGGCCATAAACATAATTGAAATATGGCTGGCATAACACTTAAACCTTTAAACTAAAGCCCACAAATGGTTGCCACCAAACGAAATCAAGCAGAGCCCGCCGAGAGAGGAGATCAGGTTGACCCACTTTGGTGGCCAAACTTTTCGCAGAGTCCGAGGAGCGATGGCAAAGCCAGGCGGCACTATAATTGTCCGTGGGGATTGGCCCAGTGTGGGCGGTGCTAGGGTGGGACTCAAGCTGTCTTCGGGGTGGGGTGCAAGTCGTTTGGGGGGCGCATTACGTTGTTCAGCTGCCTGCCGACTGCTTGCGAATTTTCGCACAAATGGCAAAGTTTAAGTGCTTGACAAGTAGAAGTTCAGCCTGGTTTCATAAAGGTTGGGCTATAGACGATAGCTCCGGGTCTCTTCAGACCTTATTATTAGTTTGATGGCAACAAAAAATAGTAGGAAATCATTTATCCAGGTTTTATAGGGCTATAAAGTCCAGGCTTTTTAGGAGATATACAAAATCCAATAAAATATACTCCATCACTAATGATATTTTTACGGGAATTTAATTCTTCAGAGGGATTACAGAATTCATACTGAAAATTAGGCATATTTTATGACTGCTAATAAAGCTCATAAGTAAAATATAATCCTGATAGGAGAAGTATCTCAAATTTCCAATATTGATAAGGTTAAAGGCTCAGTATTTGAGCAACTAATGGACCCAGTGCTTCATGTGAAGCGTGCCTGGGTCGTGCAATTGCCAAGTCACAAGTCAAGATATCCTCAATGTCGTTGTTGGCCAAGCGAATATCGATTGCCAGGCCAATCACAGGGCTGCCGCCACCGCGATGCCCCTCCATTCAAAATGGGCAACGTTGCTAGGGTACGATTTGTGTTTTATTAGTTAGATAGATAAGAGTTCTTATAACTATGAGCTATGCAAAACATTAAGTCTTTTCATTCCCGGGCTTGGCCCTTCTCCGCTTATCCTCGGCTTCAGTATTCGATGGTCACGCACTTGGTCTTGAGGTACTCGTTGAGCGCCTCCTGACCGAGGTCCTTGCCGTAGCCACTCTGCTTAAAGCCACCGAAGGGAGCGGCCACATCCGTTTTGTTGTAAACGTTGATGAAGACCGTTCCAGCTTCGATGCGATCCGCAAAGCTAAGCGCCTTGCTGATATCCTTGGTAAAGACGCCGCTGGCCAGGCCGAACTCGGTGCGGTTCGCCCGCTGCATTACAGAGTCCACATCGCTGCCGCTGAATTTCGAGATGATCATGATGGGGCCGAAGGACTCCTCCTGCGCAATGAACATATCGTCGGCCACGTCCGTGAACACTGTGGGCGTGAAGAAGTAACCCTTGAGCCCGGGCACTCTTCCTCCGCCGTAAACCAGCTTGGCACCCTCTGCCACGCCGCGCTGACAGAACTCCAGCAGCTTGTCGAAGTGCGCCTTGTGATTCTGCGGCCCGTGGGCTGTCGACCGGTTGAGTGGATCACCAATGGTCATGGTGCGCAGATCCTTGAGCACACGTCGCACGAACTCATCGTGAATGCGATCCTCCACAAACAGCCGGCCGGCAGCGATGCAGTTCTCGCCCTTGTTGAAGAACACCGAAGACATGCCCTGCACGAATTTAAAAATTGAATAAACCTTGTCATGTAAATCTAATTCTCCCAAATACTTACGTGCTTCACCGCCTTGTCCAGATCGCAGTCGGCGAAGATTATCAACGGACTCTTGCCGCCCAGCTCCAAGGAGCACTTCTTGAGATTGGAGTCGGCGCAGGACTTCATGATGTGCTTGCCAACAGGCGTGGAGCCGGTGAAGCCCAGCTTGCGAACCAGCTGATGATCAGCCACTGCCTGGCCCGCCTCTGATCCTTTGCCGGGCAGAACATTGATCACACCTGGAGGAAATCCGGCTAGGACGGTGAGCTCGGCAAACTTGAGCGCAGTCAGGGGACAGGTCTGGGCTGGCTTGATCAGGCAAGTGTTTCCGGCGGCAATGCATGCGGCCATCTTCCAGGAGAGCATCATCAGGGGATAGTTCCAGGGGGTGACCAGACCACAGACGCCGATGGGCTCCTTGCGGGTGAAGGTCAGCACGTTGTTGGGTCTCGCCGGGTTGACTGGAATCGTGTTGCCCTGTATCTTGTCGCACCAGCCGGCGAAGTATCGCCAAGCGTCAATGGACATGCCGATGTGGGTCTTCAGGGCCAGTGTGTAGACTGCGCCCGAGTCGACCGACTCGATGGTGGCGAGCTCCTCCTTGTGGCGCTCCATCAAGTCAGCCAGATTCAGCATCAGTTGTCCCCGCTGCCTGGCCGAGATCTGTTTCCACGATCCGTGGAAGGCGGCGTCGGCCGCCTGCACAGCCCTGTCCACATCGTTGGCTGAGGCGCAGGCCACCTGGCAGAGCACCGACTCGTCGGTGGGATTCACAATGTCCAGACTTCGCTGGCCCTCGGCGTCCACGAACTCGCCGTTGATGAAAAGCTGAGTGGGAACTCGGATCTTTCGCTTGTTGGCATTCAGAGTGAATCCCTCGTAGTCCAGCTGCTTACCGCCGGAGCCGCCGCTGCCCTGGCGCAGGATCTGCACCAGTTGACCAAAGAATTCCTCGAACACAGGCGCCATGAACACGTGCTCGTTCTCCAGCGGCACATCGAATGCCTCCTTTACCTCCTCCACCAGACGCACCACGTCCATAGATCCTGCGCCCGCCGCAAAGAAGTCCGTGGATGCCTCAATGGTGTCCTTGAGTATGGCCTGCCAGATGCCGTCCAGGAGGCCCCTCTTGGCCAGCTCGTCCTCGCTGAAGTCGGTGATGGGCTGCTGGGCCGCCTGCCGGAACCATTCGCTGGCATTGATCATCTTGGACCCGCGCTTGATGCGCCGTACGTTAACGAAGGCACCATCAGTGCCCTCAATCAAGAGGCCGGCGCTGTGGATCCAGGCCGGCTTTGCCAAGCCCTTCAGGCGCAGCGGTTGACCATTGGTCACGGGTCCTGCTGAGTACAGGTGGGCTCCGAACAGACGTATCTGCTCCTCGCTGCCATCGGCACTGACCACGGAAGCTATGGCCCCGGGAACGGAGTCCAGACCACGCACGAAGTTCCAGATGCGCTCCGCCGACTGCTGCAGGTTGATTACCTGGTTCTCGGCCTTGAACATGGCCGGATCGTAGGTGGCGCCGACCTCCGTTTGGGTGATCTTCGGTGCTGACCCACTGGCAACCAGGTCCACGGCCACACCCATCGCCTTGACGCCCTCGGGGTACAAGAAGCGCTTGTAGATGGTGTCCAGCGTGTCTGTGGGTTCCACGTTGGTCTGGCGGGTAAGCAGCAACGGTCCAGTATCCAAGCCATCGTCGGCCCAGAAGATGCTGAAACCGGCCACCTCGTCTCCCTCTATTAAAGTCCAAGAAATGGCGCTGGCACCGCGATGGCGCGGCAGGATGGACGGGTGGTAACAGATGCTGCCCAGCGGCGCCCCATCAATAACCTCCATTGGGATGAACTGCGAGCAGTAGGGCAGCACATTGAGGGTGGCGCCCACGGACTTGTACTGCTCTAGCACCTCGGGCAGCACCACGCCCTTGCGCCGCCAGCTGGCGAACTTAAACACTGGAATCTTGTGGGCCGCGGCAGTGGTGGCCAAGATGTCCTCGCGACTGCCCTTGTTGGGGATAGTGAAGACGCCCACGACCTGGATGTTTGAGCGCTCCAAGAGCAGCTCCAGAACGTCGGCAGCAAAGTTGCTCTGGCCAATAATGGCAATGCGGAGATTTTGCTGAAAATGTTTGGAAATTTATTAAATTAATTGATTGATAAACAATAATAAAATCATAATTTCCTTTCAAGAAGACCGGAAATATTAAATATTTTTAAAAGGATATTTCCCATATATTATATGAAAATTTTTGGGAAAATTAAAGTTTTAAAATATCATAACAAAGCCAAAAAAGCATCAAAATCAATTCTGTAAGCATTTCTACGTTAGTTTTTTCTAGCTTAACAAACATGCATATTAAATTTTAAATTTAAAAAAATCGAATTTTAGGTCGATTTTTGAGAATTTTAATGATGTAACCCCTTATCAATTTTTGAAAAAATGAACCAAAAATTTTTTCTTTCCGGACATGGCTAGAAAGAATCGCCTGTTGATGCTGATCAAGAATATATATGGTTTATAGGGTCGGAAATGACTGCTTCAATGCGTTACTAGCCTCTGACTGAAATTATAATACCCTGCAAGGGTATAAAAACAACATCTGATAGATAGATGAGTTGAATAGATTAAAAAGAAAATCACTATAATGTTCCAATTAAATCGGATTATTTTGCTTTATATGTAACTCCCGCACATTCAGCCCACTGAGAATTATATTAAACCGGTTTCAATTGTGAAAAAACTAAATGCAATTTTGCCTTAATTTATTTACTAACAGCCATGGTTGTTGACACTGTTTTCAGCACTTTCGAACTTCACACTTTTTTGTTGGCTTTTTTAACAAATCACTGGGAAAGCTTATTCAATTCACACCGTTTTCCCTTTATTTTTAATATTTTAATGCAATAGCCAAGCGCTTTGAGGGCCGGCAAACTATCAACTGAAATCGATTGAGCAAGCCGGTCGTATTTATACCTTGCCGGCATTGGGTGGCGATCAGTTCATTATCGTTATCAAGTGATTATAAACAAAAATACAAATAGAAAAAGCTGAAAGCAGCATAGACATGCGCCGTTGGTGGGGCACTGCCGCTGGGGCTCACTTCACACATATTTCATAATTAAATCAACGCAACGAAACGAGATTTCTTATCAATCCGTGCCAGGAATAGGAGCTGCAGAATCGTGTGCATGTCGATTTAGCATGATCAGGGAGGGCCGGACCACTTGTTTTCCTTTGATATTTGAGCCCCCAATTGCGCCAAATGTTCGAACTTGAATTCCGAATGTAAGCTGAGACACATTTGGATGAGATTGGGTGTGTGATTCACCTGAAATACTTGCTTTGTCTCAGTTGGTTTGAGTGGGGTTTTTGGTTTGAGTTTGGGTTCTCCTTACACGACACGTGTGTTTTCGTTTTCCGGCGCTCCACGAATGTAATCAGACACCCAGTTGACCCACAGACTGGTGAGAGAGGGGACTAACCGAGATAGTGTGCCCTACATATATTGTTTCACACATCTGTGAAAGGTAGAGTGCTTTAAACTAATCAGATTGACTGTGTCGAAGTCACCCTACTATTGCTTATTTAAAACTAAAATAAAATGGAAGCTTATTTCAATAACCGGTATATCCCTAGATACTTCTGCTCCATGGATTGGATTTTATCTAATCTTCTTTTCTGGTTAAAGGACTTGTACGTCCTCATACTTGAAGTTTATGCGACCGTATGGCCAACCTTAAAAGGTATCTGTTAATATGTTCTTGACCCTCTTCTGCTAATTCCACTTTAGCCAAGCTAATTTAGATACAAATTGATAAATGATCAATTAGCTAATTGTCGACTTTAATGAGCAGCTAGAAATACATAGGTAAAACTTGAGCCACGAAGTAGTTGTTTGTTGACTTCGAGGTCCTTAGCATGCTGTACTCCCTGCAGCCGTACCTCAAGTACTTTGCCCTGTTAGGCCTCGTGCCTTGGAGCGAGAAATGTGTCCGGTATCAGTTTCTGCAGAGGATTTACTCCGTTTTCCTGATACTAATCAATGTGGTCACTTTCATGGCTTCTATTGCAATGTGGTCTACGGACGAACAGTTACTCTCGCTGATGGTCAACGTGATTGTGTTTTTGGCTAAGATCGTGGCAATGACCGTTATCCTGCTGCAGATGATGGTCCAATACGACGACTATTTCCAGTTTTGCATGGAGCTCAAGTGCCTGGGCCTGCGGCTGCAGGGTGAGCTGAAGATGCAGTTGGGCGGACTTAGCGGGCAGTGCTACACAAAGATTCTGGGCCTCGGTGCAATCTGCTTGGTGGGAGTACTACCCTTGGTATATGTCTCCTTAAAAGTGGGCCTGGTGTTCTTCTGGTCCTCGCTCTTGCCCATACTAGTCATTCGGATGCAGTGTGTCCTGTTGCTGCTCTACGTGGACCTGCTGGGCCATCATGTGAAGCTTCTGGGCAAACGGCTGCAGGACGTGCTCACCTGCCACAAGATGGATGCCAACTGCGTCCTGGACGGTAACTGCAAGCAGCTCTGCTCCCTGGAGTTCCTCTTGGAGCTAAAGCAGAGCCACATGGAGCTCTACCAGCTGTTCACTCACTTCAACGGCCTCTTCGGCTGGAGCATCCTCAGCATCTACGTGGTTCTATTCCTGGACAGCACAATCAACATTTACTGGACCCAGCAAGTTCTCGCTGAGGTCTACGACTACACGTATCTATTTGCTACAATTTCGGTTTTTATTCCGACATTCGCTATTATTGTTGCCTTTTGTCGTTGCGGAGAGTTCTGCAGGATGCAGGTGAGTGAAGATACATATATTATTAATATATGTTATATATTCTTGATTCTTTGGTTTCAGAACATGCTTCTCGGTAGCTATGTCAGGGGATTGACCTGCCATCCGGCTCCCCAGAGGGAACCGGCATATAATGACCTACTAATGGAGTTTACCTTGCAAGTTGAACACAATGTTTTGGTCATCAATGCCGAAGGCTTCATGAACATTGATAACTCGCTACTAATGTCGGTGAGTAAATTTAATTATAAATTATTTCTATAATTCTTACTTTTCATATATTTTCCAGATATTGGCTGCTAAAGTAACGTATCTAATTGTGCTAATGCAGTTTAGTTCTTTGTAGATCTGTGATAAGCCCCACAGAAAAGGAAAGTTTAAAGCAACTGATACAGCTTTTATCGATTTCTGAAATCATATTTATATTTCTTAATAAGCCCTAAATGCTTAACCTTGACCAATTTCGTATTATGTTTTACCATATAAACAATTAAACCAATTGATAAGATAAACAATATTTATCACACCTCCCCAGGCGTAGAGGAGAACCAGTTTTGGTCGGTTTACCGAATTTAGCGTAGTATCTTATCGCATGAACTTGATTAGCCGAAAAAACCATTTGCTTATCGACGACATCCGCACGAGTTCAACGGTGCAGTGGAAATGTTATGGCAATAAAGAGGAAGAGAGCACCTGCCTCTAAAAATAACCCATCTGACCACCTCATACTATAGCTGTAGCTGTTGCCATCTCCTCATGGGGGGTCCACAGCAAAGTCCCTGATAATGCCTCTTATGCAATCGAGATGATCTTCATTTATTGTTTATAAAACAAATACTGAGTTTAAACAACTTCTGAGCACGCGTCCAACAGCTGCTCGGTGGTGAAATTTCGGGGCCTGTCAATAAAAAGTAAAAATATATTTTTCGCTTGGTAATACTGGAAACGGCATAGAAGCGATCAGCACAATCAGTGGTAGCCGGCTGATAACCCGGACGATTGCCCTCCGCCAAGAACGAGCGAGCAAACAACGGGGCGATCCGGCGATCTGGCGATCCGGTTTGCGTGATGCACCAGAAAGCCGCGATCCGGTTTCAAGTGGTTCGAAATGTGCCAATTTTGATAGGCGGTCGTCGGGGCAAACGGTATAACCGAAGTCCGTCTAATCGCATCTCAAGTGTTTTCTAGATTTTATTATTATTTCCTGAGATGAGAACGCTGTGCGGCCGGTTAGAACTGGATTCCAGTCTGAACTTTCTACACTCCCTTATCATTGTGGGGCGCTTAAAGCAATAAATAAATTGTGTTTTTTGGAATGCTCATCGGTTTATTTACTTACAGAAAGTGAAAAAAAACAATAGAAATTTTTAAAAGTTCCAACTATGGACAAACGCATCTCAAACATGATCCGACTCAAAGGACACCTGAGCACTAACACTGACTTCTTTGACCACCACGTCTCCGTCTTCGCTCAGGATCTCCAGGTTGCATTCGATTTGTTCGGTCTTGAGGACATCTGAGTGGATAATCGAGGCTCCAGACTCGGATTCCGTTGGCTCAGGAGCTTCAAAGTAATCAATCAAAAGGGGTTTTGTTGCTGAAGAAGTTTGCGCTGTTTGTTGATCATCACTAGGTGACTTTGCTTCTTGTCCCGGATCACATTCATTCCTTTGATCGGCTTCGTTCTCCATCTTAGGGTTGAACTGGGACGAGATTCCATCGCCAATGTTATCATCCAAGATGTGTTTGTCGGGAACAATTATATTTTCAACTATTCCAGGGTGTTGCTGAACCCGAGTTTCCTCGCTGATAACATCCAGGGGGCTTGCAAACTCCATTTCAAGATCGTCATCTTCATCATCGCTTTCACCAAACTCTTGGCTATTTAGCTTTGCAATGGTATCGGGATCGAGGAACTCGTTCAGTCTGTTGGCTATTTTTGCCCACTTGGCCTTGGCATTGACGGCCAGTTCGGATATGGCTGAATCAGTGCCGGGCTTAGTTTCCACTAAGTCAGTCTTGCTTTCCTTTAAATTGGTCATGTTATTGGTTGAGGATGAAGGGAGTTCAGTTAATTCAGCAGTTTGACTTTCCGTTGAATCTAAACTACACTTTATGTCTATATTCTTGGGCCCTTTGCCCGGTTCCTTTTTCAGAGGCAGACTGCAAAGGTTTCGACGGGTGGCTTCTTCTAGCTCGTTAGCCATTCTCAAGTCCGCCTCAAAACCTTCAGGGAAGAACGTTTTTAGCACTGACTCGGGAAGATTCGGTGGCTCCACCACAGCTACCTCTTCGCCAGATTCGTAGTCCGTGGAGGCATCTGATTGAATATCGTCGTCGATACTGCGGTTGTGTTTGACACTAGGAGGAGAGCCTGATTTCTGCTGCTTTTCTGGGTCACTTATAACTTTGTCCTGGGGAATTGTGACCGGCTCATTTGCGATAGATTCCTCTTCTTTTTTCTCCGTTTCGTCTTCCGAGTCGTCTGTTTCTGCCATGGCTATGCTGCTCTGTTGTTCAAAAAGCTTGAATCCACCAACTGAGAGCTTAATGGGACTTTGCTCTTTGGGCGCGGCTACCGGTACCGCCTGAAGCTGACGCTCCCTCTCCTCGATCTCCTTCATGCGAATCATCATTTTGTTTAGGAGCTCATCCTCCTCATTCACTTTGGGATCTTTGGGCTTCGCTTCGGCTTCCTTCTTGGTCAACATCGTCTCAAGCATCTTGGTTTCCTCACTGGTCAGCTGTAGCTGTTGCGATCCGGACTTCATACATGCCTTCAGCTCGTTGTAGCTCCGCATGCAGGCGATGGCACTTTCCGCTTCCTCGTTTGGAACACTTTGGAGGTCCAACTTCTGGAAGAACTCTGTGTCCAGGTTACCGAACGTTGTCATGGCTTCTAGCGAATAGAATTCATCTTCCACCTGTTCACCTTCTGGGCCCTCCGCTTCCATCTTATTGAGCGTCTCCAACTGGGCTCGCTGCAAGGCATCCGTCACCAGATGCTCCTCCGACTTCCTGGGCTTTGGCTTGTATGGAGTGGTCCAAGGTCGTCGCAGACCTTGCTTTCCAGGTGTATACTCTTCCTCCTCGGCCGTGTCGTAGTCTTCAGACTCAGAGTCACTAATCAGGGCTGGTGGGGGCGGAAGGTCTTCCAGCTCACCGGAATCCTTCTTGACCACCATCAGCTTGTTGTCCACCACCTCCAGTGTGTCTTCATATTTATCGCGCTGGGCGAAGCAGCGGGCAGCGGAGGCTGCCACCATTCGCTTGCGTTTCTCGGCCTCCTTGGCTATCTTGGCGTCCAGGCTCTCGGCAGTGTCCGAGTTAAACTCCGCCAAGTTCTTGGACTTTAAAAGCTCTTGAGCGGCACGAATTTTATGAGCGCACGCGCTAGGATCACGACCCAGCCTAAATGGTTCTTTCGGATTCTCAATCGAGGTAACGAAGTCCTGGAACACGTCCAGGCATTCTCGAAGGCTTTTACCGCCAGCGGGATCCTCTAGCTCGGGCGGTACCAACTTTTCTAGCTGCGGCTCCGCTGAGTAGCTGTACTCATCGTCAGACTCTATGGGCCCGAACTCAAACCTCTTTGGTTTTTTTTCCTCCAGACTCTCGTTGGATGTCAGCTCATCAATTAAGTCGTTTAGCAGCGAGGAACAGATACCCGCAACGTCAACTCTTTGTATGGTGATTTCCTCCTGTACGGTGATATGCTCCTGAATGGTTATTTCCTCTTCGTATTCAATCGTAGTATCAATGTTGTACATAGCATCAGTCTCGTCCTCCAAGTCCTGCAGCAACTTCCGAAGCTCCTTTTCTTCTGCAGCCATTTGCTTGTCCATCTGTTGGCAGATTTCCTCGGCCTGCTCGGCACTGGTCATGCTTGTTATTGGTTGTCGGAGCGCATTCACTGCTGCAGCAGATTCATCCTTCGACTCCTCCAAAGTCAACTGAAGCATGCGTTCTTCTAAGGACCAGTCCTGACTTGGGACATCGCATCCAGCACCAAACACGCGCTTGGGAACATTATCGGTAGCCTCGTCCAAAATCTTGGCCATGAATTGATCTCTACTTTCATCGTCATCAGCCTGGTTTGGTTCAGTAGTCTCCGCCTGGACTTCTCCTCTAACTTTTGCCTCTTCCCTCTCCTTTAGTTGCCTTCGCCTTTCACTAAATTGCTCCATGAGAATGGGCGACTTTGCTTCCAAGTAGGGCTTCAGGGACTCCTCGTCGGTCTCGGTGTCTGTTTGGTCACTTAGATCATTCTTTGATCCGGAAATGTTCACAGACTGCCTAAGTTCTTCCAGATCCTCATCCACGTGGCAACTTATTTCTTCCAAGTCGTGAGCACACTTTTCAGTGTTAAAGGCACTCTCTTCCTCAAACATCAATTGCTCCTTGCTCTTGAGCGGAAGGCATGGTTCACCGTCTTCCTTATAGAAGTCCCTAGGAGTCGTGCTCTCCTCACAGCAAATCCTGTCTTCTAACTGGTATTTGGTAGTGCCTTCATTGAGGAGCTGCTCCAAAGGCTCGTCACTAAGGTCGTCATCGAGGGCATCTCCGAAACTGTCATAAAGCTCACTAGCCAGCTTGTTTTTAATCTCCTGTGCCGTTGGATCCTCGCCCAGCTCATTATTATCAGCTACTATTTTGAGAGCTTTGCGCGTATGTTCAAGATCTTCGGAATCATCCAGTTCGGATCCACTGTCCAATGGGGGAACGGAGTCTTCATTGTTGTTAAAGGTCTTTTGCTGGTTAGAATCTTTACCATTAGGCTCTACGAAATCTTTAGCCAAATTGGAAGGTTCCTTTTCAGTATTTGTATCATTTACTTCGTCAAGCCTTCCCTCCTCAATCAGGATACGCTTTGCCTTGGGCTTGTCTGTCTGTTCTACGTCGTTAGGTTCCTTATCTTTAGCTTCTGCATTACACTCCTTTGCCTGCTGGACCAGCTTCTCGATGCTCTCCACGTCGCCTGACTCGGCTTCGTACAGGACTTTAGGACGACCCTCAAGAGGTGTGCTTTTGCGATTACTCAATTTCTCAGCCATTTCATCGGCCTGGGAGCCAGTGCTCTCGTTGTCCTCGGCCGAACTCGAGCTGGTGGCACTGTGCTCGGACTGCTCTGCCTGCTCACCGGAGACCTCGTCCCACAAATCATCGATATTACCGTTCTGCATTTCGGCTTTCTTGCGGCTCTTCTCAGCAGAAATGGCAGCAGCTTTTTCGTCTTCCTCAGAGTCGCTGGACCTGAGAAGTGGATCCTGCTGGTCAGGAGGACGATGCTTGTTGCGCATGCGAATGGTGCCTGCATGGAAGGGAGGTTTCAAATAACATTCTGATATGGTTATGATATATGAAGTTGACCTACAGTTTACGCTTTCACGTGTTTTGCGACGTTCAGCACGGTTCCAGCGGTTGTTCTCCTTTCGCTCGCCCTCATAGCCCTCTCGCTTCCTGGAAATGTTCATTATGTTTATGAGTATTTGGACCAGAAATCGGAAAATGTTTGAAAAATGTAGACAGATGGCTTTCAAGTATTTTAGAGCTGTCATTGTAATTCTAATGTTATTGATGTAAGGTCGAATGATATAATAGTACATTTCTAAGCTCTATAAACCTAGGCTGTCTCGATTCGTGGATTTTCATACGATTTTCATCATTAACAAATGCTTACCAGGCTTCGGCACAGGCGCGATCTCGAGGAAAAACAGGACGACTGTCCAAATAAGTAAGTTCTTTCTAAAGATATATCAAAATTATATTGGAATCTCAATAAATAACCTATGCATTAGACTTACGCAGGCCAGAATCAATGTCTTGCGATATTGTGGCAGTCGGGAGACCACCGGGTTTCCCTGCAGGACCAGAACCCTCAGATTGGGCATCTGCTCGAAAATTTTCACAATCAGAATATCGTCAATGCGATTGTTCGACAAGTCCAGCACAGATAATGTCTTGCACTGGACGAGGTCCGCCAGACTCTCACTGTCTTTCAGGTAGTTTGATGCTATGTTCAGAGTGTTTAACACTGGCAAAATGTCGCTGCCGATGTTCTGAATTTTGCGAATATGATTCGAGCTCAGATTCAAGGTGTCCAGCTCGCGGCACGAGCCCAGATTATCTATTTTCGCGATCAGATTGTTCTGGAGAAAGAGGCACTTCAGCTTGGTCAGTTGTTCCAAGCCCTGGATCTCGGAGATGGCATTACACTCTAGCCACAGGCACTTGAGCCCAGTGTACTCCTCCAGGCACTCAATACTCTGGAAGCCTGTAAAGTGTGAACTCATTAATCAAGAGCTCTTCAATTTAATTGTCGGCGGTGTTTACTCACCCTGATAGTGCAGGTAGAGTACATCGTTTAGGCGCGGAGTCTGATATAGCTTATCCTTCTTACACAGCTCCTTCAGCCCCTTTTCGGTCATGCGATTCAAGCCGGTTATTTCACGGCGAGCAGGCACAGCTGCGACGTTTTCTGACATTTTATTTAGGATTTTAAGCCCAAAAATTTGGTAAAATTATTACTTCGGCTCGAATGTGTACTTCGACTGACGCTTAGACAGAACAGCCAACTGACTTCCATTGAACAAACAAAGTGGAAAGGATCCCATTGTTGTTATTAGCAACCATTTGGGGTGGGACTTGCACTTCCGGGTGGGAAATGCAATTTTTAAGTGAAGTGAAACCAACGGAAACAATTTTAAAAACGATCAAGATGCTTAAATACCCTCTAAAATTTTGTTGTTTAAGCATGATTGTTAACAATTATATATATATATATATGATTTCAGTAATAATATTTAGTAAATAGGCTTGGGCAGAGAATCATGCTAATTGCTGCTGTATCCCGTTATGGACTGCTTATACTTTTAACAATAATTACTTGTACTCTTTGTTTCTGATTTAAAATTGTTCATTTATTTAATGGGGTTTTCAGTGCTGCACATTGTTTTTTTTTTTAACACAGATTTAAATACGAATACAAATACATATATTTTCAAATGCATACATATAATGTAGTTATCAGTAATTAGTTTTACAGTTTTAGAAAATTGTGTATATATGTTTTTATTGCTAATATGCCTCTGTGTAATAAGGTAATAATATCGATTCAATTCATTAAGTTCTGTGATCGTCCATTATTAAAGCCTCAAGATTCAGAGATGCACGAATGATCTGATGTAAGGATGGGTTATTCGATCTCAAGAGTGTAAATTCGTTCTGAAGCACTTTCCATTTCGAGAATGCTTAGTGACTTAAATCTTTGTCTGCGGTACACATACATTTCCGTAAAGTGTGTGCGGATACTACCAGCTATTTTAGCTGTAATCAATTGAAAATTTAGGTGATAATCCAATTCTTTGAAATGAGTCAACTGGTGGGTATTCTTTGGAGGGAGGAAAAGCCACACACACCCCTACATATATATTCTAAAAATGCGTTTTAAATGTTACATGTATAGTTTAAAAATCGCTACAAAAGGGCACTTTGTTAAATGTATGCAGTATATGATGAGAATATATAGGTGATATGCTTGAGAATATGTGTGTGTGGTGGCAAAATATGTTGGCATTTGTTGGGGAATGAGTAAATAATATTTTGACGTAATATTCTTATATTATAATCAAAGTTCTCGATTAGTCGGCAGATGAGTTTCGATTTTATAAACTTAAAAATTAACAGAAACCAATCAAGACATATTCATAATGGTTAACAAATAGTGGAATGAGATTATATGTTATGTGTTTTCTGGCATGCAATTCTGTCTTGCTAATATTTGTTTAATGCCAGATTCTTGTAGATAATATAGTACTAATCAGCCTTCAGTGGGCGGCGAGTGAGACACATGAGTTGGTTGTGAATCGATTTCTGCGTGGTTGAGTGCTGGTGATTGTGTGTTCGATTTTGAGACAACTACGAAACTACAAAAATTGTTTTGGTGTGTTCCCGGTGCCCGGTACCCGGTGCTCAGATGCGGCAGACGGGATCCTCGCTACGTAATCTAAACGTGGTCGTAGCTCCGGCGAAACGAACGATACAGGCAGCAGGCGAACAGTATGGTGAGCAGCTGTGGAAGAGAGTCCAAAATGAATACAAGAGCTATGCTTGAGCAGCTGATAAACTCACCTGAATACCCGCTACTGCCAGCACCACGGACGCCAAGATAAGGGTCTTCGAGTCCAATATGCCCAAAAGCTTTTGCAAGCAGCCCTGCTTGTTGGCATGTATCTCGGTGCACTCCTTCGCCACGTTCAGATTGATAACGGAGCAGCAGGACGGTGGCAGGGTCTTGTTCGGAAAGATTACCTCCCAGTCGGCGAAACCGTAGGTGCCGCAACAGTCCAGCTCGGTCTGCAGCAGGCCCCATGCATCCTGGTAGTCCTCACGCTCCTTGTAGTGCTTCATAGTCGAATTAAATTGACCCTCCATTAGTTGCTGCAGTCCCGTGTGCTTCACATAGCCGGCAACTCCCAACCCGATTTCAAACAGAAAGATGACCACAGCGAGAATTGCAAAGCTAAGGATCATGCAGCTGCTCTCCTTCAATGCGCCACAGCAACCCAAAAAGCAGATGATGGCCACGGCGGCGCCGACAATCATCAAAATAATGGGTGCGGTCCAGATGTGATCGCTAACGAAATTCGAATAGTGGGCATAGTTCAGTTGGACCATGCCACCCACCAAGAAGATGAGAAGTCCTGTAAGCTGGAAAGGGAGAAAACCATTTTTTCGATTTAAAAAATATGATTATAACAGGTTGGCTGATAAGTCCCCGGTCTGACACATAGATGACGTCGCTAGTATTGAATGCATATTATTTTTATATAGTACTAACCTTTAAATGATTCGTCTCAAAATTTGACGTCTGTCAGTCAATTAGTTTGTGAGATAGAGCGTCTTTTGTGAAGCAACTTTTGTTATTGTGAAAAAATTTGAAAAAAAGGAATGTCGTGTTTTGATAAAATACTGTTTTCTGAAGGGAAAAAATACAGTGGAAGCGAAAACTTGGCTTGATAATAAGTTTCCGGAGTCTGCCGTAGGGAAATCAACAATAATTGATTGGTATGCAAAATTCAATCGTGGTGAAATGAGCACGGAGGACGGTGAACGCAGTGGACGCCCGAAAGAGGTGGTTACCGTCGAAAACATCAAAAAAATCCACAAAATGATTTTGAATGACCGTAAAATAAAGTTGATCGAGATAGCATAGGCCTTAAAGTATCAAAGGAACGTGTTGGTCATATCATTCATCAACATTTGGATATGCGGAAGCTCTGTGCAAAATGGGTGCCGCGCGAGCTCACATTTGACCAAAAACAACCGTGCCACAAGTCATTGAGAACGATGGCAAAAATTCATGAATTGGGCTTCGAATTGCTTCCACACCCACCGTATTCTCCAGATCTGGCCCCCAGCGACTTTTTCTTTTTCTCAGACCTCAAAAGGATGCCCGCAGGGAAAAATTTGGCTGCAATGAAGAGGTGATCGCCGAAACTGAGGCCTATTTTGAGGCAAAACCGAAGGAGTACTACCAAAATGGTATCAAAAAATTGGAAGGTCTTTATAATCGTTGTATCGCTCTTGAAGGGAACTATGTTAAATAATAATAACGAATTTTGACAAAAAAATGTGTTTTTCTTTGTTAGACCGGGGACTTATCAGCCAACCTGTTAAAGCAGCGAATAATATTAACTCGCTAGCTAACCTTCTTAAACCCTAAGAGCAAAATAATTCTTCCACAAAATTTCTTCTTTTTTTTTTTTTGAGTTGTTATTACAAGTTTGTTAACAAAACTTACCGCAAACAGGAGATTGCAAAAGAATGTCAAGTATTTGACACATGCCAAGCCGCCGGATGCCATTATGCTCCAAAAATCGTTACTTTCCTTGCTGCTTGCCTTGTTTGGACTGCAAAAGAAAAAAAGGGGTGGAATCAGGAATAATAATCAATTGGCCAGGACAACGCGGCGGTCGCACATCAATCAATAAAACGGTCAACCACAGACACACACACATCCGAATAAGTACGCATTGGATTCCAAGCGAAAGCCCTGGACAGTCCGGGCCAGGCCAACCCCCAAATCAGAGCACACACTTAACCACCGGGGACACCACTGTCGCTCCGGAAAGGCACCACCCACCGTCTGCCTGGGGATTAACCCGCCCGGTCGCCCACTTCACTGGGGCCAGAGCGAAAGTTGTCAAGTGCAAATGGAAGCAACGGCAAGGCCTCATTTTCATTCGTTGCTGCATTTTGCCATTTTCATTTCGTTGCCAGCTGCATTGTATTCGTGTGGCCTAGTTTTAGGCACATTATTATTTGTTATTACATTTTATTTTGATGTGAAAAGGGGGGTGGGGGTGATGGTGGGTGCTGCTCATTCGCTGCAAGGACGACCTGCTTTGAGTGCATCGAGTGTATAGAGTGCGGGTGGGCCGACACAAATCGATATTGTGGACATGCACATGACACAAAATCGAAAACATCAAATCAGTCACCAACTTGCAACTTGTTATAAGATACCAACAAGTAAATGAATTTGTAAAGATAAGATTAAGAAATTAATCATAAAGAAGATTGCTGGCCAACTTTCTACAGCCTTGAGGAGGGAATACCTCACCGATATTGTCTATCTTTCAGACTCTGACAAAAGTTTTGAATAATTCATAAAACGGAAACTTAGTTATATTAATGTAATTTCACAATTCGAGCCTTATAACTTTGTATCATACCATTGTTCAAACTGATACACCGTCATTGTGCTGAGTAATACTTTACTTTGGAGAAATAAATTTAAGACTGTTGTTGGTTCTTAGTGCGTCTGCAATTTATAGCAAACTTCGATTGCAGTCTTATCTTATCTTGGTCGAAAGCATTATCAAGTCTATCCTAGTAAATATATAACGAAAGAAATACAAATTCGTCTGCAGAGCTTTGTCTTTGATTGAAATTGAAAGCCTTGCATTCAGTTGGCTAGAAAATCTTCCCTATGTCTTGTAAATTATGTGGCAGCCGATCAGTTTGAACTCTTCAATTAGAAGAGGTCGCTGTTCCAATTAGTGGAATGACACTAGCCCTGCCCTGCCATAGGCATAATATGCAGACCGCGGACCGAAGCATAAACCCACGACGAAATCGATCGACTTGAAATTGTGTCAGCGGTGGCAAAAAGTGGCTAATAGCCCACTGGCCAGTGGCATAGCTTGATTACACACATATAGAGCTTTACAAAAGAAGTCCAGTGAAAAATATCACCTGCGCACCTGTCGCCGGGACACGAGAGTGGAGTAATCAAATATACATTCGCCCTCACGCGTAAACAGGACGATAAAAACGCCTTGTCAATAAACCTTTGTCAAAGGTGGCGGACATGTCTATAGGAACAGTGGTCTGATGGTTTACTTCTTTAAGACTAGTAGTAATGTAAGAAAAAGGAAAAAAGCTGGGTAGCTTCTATAACAGAGGCATTAAGCTATGACTTTTTTAACATCACTAGGATAATGCAAACAAGAATTTTAAAATATCCTTAATAAAGTCTGATAAGTCTCGTTTCCTGCGTAAATACTGTTGACTACCTCTGTATATGTTTTCCCTTTCCTGGGCTTGACTTTAAACTTCGATTTTTAGATTTTCGATAACTCATTTTTTTTTTATTTGTAAAAATTACAACCTTTTCCGAGTCTCTGCGCCACTGTGCCTGCCCTTTCCTTTCCTTTCTGGCCACCACGGGGGGAGTTGCTCACGGAAGCAGACGAAGAAGGAGGCGGAGGATGGGATGGGGGTCACTGGGGCTGGGATGGGGCCTGGGCCTGGACTGGACGTCAATGCCGGCCTAGCTTGTGTGTGCGGATGCATGTGTGCATAATGATACACCTTTGCTGGTTGCGTGCCATCGGCTAATTCCGGAAACCCGTCCGTGGACACAACTTGGGAGTAGGAATGGGAACAGAGACGGGAGTGCGGAATTCCCACACACTGGGCACAGCATTTTATTGACCGTTTGTTCTATTTTCGAAGCCGAAACGCAAAAGTCGAAAGTGTTGGCCGAATCCGGGAAACGAGTGGCGCAGTAAGGGTTAACAAACTGCAGCGAACTCGAGCAACAACACTAACACCAACTTGATTTTTGGCTGCAAGTCCGCCTCACACACACACACAAGTAACTAGTTTCACATTCTAGATCTCAGGTAAACGCAGGTAAAAAACCAGAACAAAAGCAAAACAAAGACCAGCAAAGTGGAGCGGAAGCAAGGCAGTGAACCTGAAAAGAAATAACTGCACAGCCGCCAGCTCCGCCCCCCCCCCCCACCCCTTGCTCCAACCAAGCGTTCACCGTTTGTCTCTATCCCTGCAACATACTCACACTCACTTTCACAGAAGACAATTTCCCACAAACTGATTATCCTTAAACTCTGTGCGGCAAACAATATTAATTCCGTTGTGTATACCTGCTTGAACGCACGACGCCGTTATTTTTGTTTGATTTGCTAGCGCTCTTATCAGAACAACAACTATGCAGTGTTGCCAGGAGTAATTTTGGCTTTCCCCTAAAAAATCTCAAAAAAAGACAAAAAGGCGCCTTTTGTGGCTTTGGGCACACTAAAACGGGGGCTATAGAGTATTTAATCGATAATTTCAGAAGTCTGGCAACGCTTCAGTGCTGCCAGAATTTTCGTTCTCAAAGCAGTCCATTGTTGATGGACTGCTTTATCGACGTACGTTGTTACCGACATTCTATGTGCTGTGCGCATGGACTTCGTGCTGTGCGCATGGACTTATTATTCACGGCGTGGCGTGACACGAAGCCCATGCGCAAGCACGAAGCCCATGCGTCTCATGACGAGGCGCCGACGTCCCTGGCTACGGGAGAATGTAAGTATATATATTCTTGATCAGCATCAACAGCCGAGTCGATCTAGCCATGTCCGTCTGTCCGTTTCTACGCAAACTAGTCCCTCAGTTTTAAAGCTATCTGATGAAACTTTGCACATAGTCTTCTATATACTCTCACTGCTATATATGTCGGAACGGGCCGGATCGGACGACTATATCATATAGCTGCCATAGGAGCGATCGGTAGATGTAGAGAAAATGTAAAGCTAGGAATGTCAAACTGTAACTGCCTAACTGTAAACATAATAAGTATAAGTAAAGTTTTATGAAACTCTGTTTAGTGTCTGTTTTCGGCATTATAATTTATAATATAAATATGAAAACCAATCTGCGAGGTACTTACTATTGGCAAATGTAAGCCATCCACCACGAGGTAATACGGCTTCTCATAGGCCTTTTCAGTTACTGTATGCAACAGGTTGACGGAACTATTCACCCTACCGTCCCGAACCATTTGCATATAGTTTGCTACCCTCTGCCGAAAGTCAGAACGCTGATAAATGTCCATGTCTTTAACAAGGTCAAGGCACTGTTGTTCATTTATTTCAGCATTCTGCATTTCATTTTCACTTTCACTAGACATTTTGATTTGCTTGTTTTGATTTTATTTTTTTTTTAATTACTTTAAAATTGTTGGGCAACCTTGTTTTTAGCGATAGGACTATCTCTAGCTATACTTTTAATAGTATCGGTATCAGTATTTTTCAGTATTTTTAAATGAGCTTTTTAATGGCCGGCAGATCTGGCCCGACAAGTCTGTGCGTGAGGCGCGTTTGTGGCATTTTGAAGACATGTTTCACGCAAGGATTGAACTGACCAAAAATTCGGTTATCATTGAATTAGCTGCTCAGGCGGAAAATTCCGGTCCGTCTGAGCCAGAAGTCTTTATCCCCAGACTTAAACGTGATAGAAAATTTGTGGGAAATATTGGACCAGGCTATCCGGAAAAAGATTTCCAAAAAAAATGAGTTAAAAACGGCGCTCTTGGAAGAATGGGGAAAAATTCCCGTGGAAACCACCAAAAAATTGGTTTCTTCAATGAGAAACCGACTGACGGCTGTCCAGAACCAGAAGGGAGGACACACTAAATATTAAGTTATAAAATAAGAGTTTTATGTTAAGTATAATTAAGTGCACGAAATAAGCTGCGGCCTTGAAAATGCCTGTGATTTTGTTTTTGTTACGTTATTCTTTTCTTTTTTATGTTAATGAAGTTTTTTTTTAGTTATTAAATATGTTAATATCCCAAATTAAAATATTGCGTTTAAATTTTTGAAATATCCCTATTCGTTCAGCGGCAATAACGACTTAAACATTTTTTATTCCCCTGCACGAAATAAGCTGCGACCCACTGTATGTGTTCCGTGTGCTGCACACATTTTAGAACCTCCAAAAAGTTTCGGCATCACAAATGCGTGAACGTGAAGTTTAACTGCGACATTCCAGTGTAAATTTAAAAGCAATTCAATAAATTCTCACAAATATAGAATACACATTAAGCGAAAGGAACCACCGGCACAAGATGGTAAGTAAATTTTTTTTCTATTAGATGTTTTTTAGACATTTGTTTATTTTTTATAGCCCAAATTGGGCCAATACCAACGCCGAGGGTGCAGTCTGAGCCAGCGACGGAGCCAGCAGATCAAATTGGGCTAGAGCTTGATGACGAGGCGCCGACGTCCCTGGCTGCGTCTGATGACGAGGCGTCGACGTCCCAGGCTGCTCCTCATGACGAGGCGTCGACGTCCCAGGCTGCTTCTCATGACGAGGCGTCGACGTCCCAGGCTGCTTCTCATGACGAGGCGTCGACGTCCCTGGCTGCGTCTGATGACGAGGCGTCGACGTCCCAGGCTGCTCCTCATGACGAGGCGTCGACGTCCCAGGCTGCTTCTCATGACGAGGCGTCGACGTCCCAGGCTGCTTCTCATGACGAGGCGTCGACGTCCCAGGCTGCTCCTCATGACGAGGCGTCGACGTCCCAGGCTGCTTCTCATGACGAGGCGTCGACGTCCCTGGCTGCGTCTGATGACGAGGCGTCGACGTCCCTCGCTGCGCCGGAAGAATGTAAGTATATATATTCTTGATCAGCATCAACAGCTATCTGATGAAACTTTGCAAATAGTCTTCTATACACTCTCACTGCTATATATGTATGTCGGAACGGGCCGGATCGGACGACTATATCATATAGCTGCCATACAAATGTTCGATAAATTTTTAGAAAAAAATTATTAATTCGTTTTTTAACAACATATTTTCAATACAGTACAGCAGTTTCTTCCGGAAGATGTCAAGAAAAGGAAATATATTAAGTCTATTGACTCCCCTAGGAGAAATATGTGTTCCGTGTGCTGCACACATTATAGAACCTCCAAAGAGTTTCGGAATCACAAATGCGTGAACGTAAAGTTTACCTGCGACATTCCGGAGTGTAAATTTAAAAGCAATTCACTTAAGGGCATAAATTCTCACAAATATAGAATACACATTAAGCGAAAGGAACCACCGGCACAAGATGGTAAGTAAATTTTTTTTTCTATTAGATGTTTTTTAGACATTTGTTTATTTTTTATAGCCCAAATTGGGCCAATACCAACGCCGAGGGTGCAGTCTGAGCCAGCGACGGAGGCAGCAGATCAACTAGAGCTAGATGACGAGGCGTCACAGTAGAATAAATAAAAATTCCGCACTAATTAGCGTGGTTCTATTCAGAATAAGTACATATAAGAAGAAAAACCGGACCTAATGGCGGTGCTAATAAAGTCGGAGCAACCCGCCAAGCCTGTCGACCGCTGTCGAGCAACAGGCAGCGATCTACGGTCTGGCCCTCTTTATATAGGGCCTGGCAAGACTTCAGTGTGATCGCCACTTTTCTACGAGATTTTACCTGTTTGGTGTGACCATAGCAAGTGTGATCGTTGGCGGGCGCACCCAAATTATTTAAATTTTAATTTTCGTGGAAGAAAAATTTAATTTCGCGGCAGCCGACTAGGATGTTAATGTTTATATAAATTGTAAACTCCTTAGTTTATTTGAAATAATATTTACAACGGATGGCTTTTATTTTTAATGATTTTTAAATTGTTGATCCGAATCTGTGTCACAGCGTCGACCAGAGAGCTGCATTGAGTATGATCGTTCCGGATCGAGCAACAACGCTCAAGCCGATCACAACTCAACACAGCAGATCGCCACAACATGTTCGATCGATCTTCGCGAACAAAACAAACGATCTCGTTCAGTTGGCTTGATTGCTCTGCTTCCTGATTCAAACTGATTTTTTGGTACCGGTATGATGATCGGAACTGATTGTGCAGAAAAAGAACGATCAAGTCCAACGATTCAAAAGAGCTCAGGCTTCACTCATGTTGCGCATGATTTGATTGTGAATGATGCAATCAGATCGAGAATTGCCTTGCGAAATGTGTTAAATTTTTTTTTTGAACATATCTACATATGTAAACATTTAAATGTTTTAAAGGAAACAAGTTGCGTTTCAACTAACTGATACAAATAACTTGTTATTTCTTCATAATTTACTCGTATAACTAAAATTTATGTAATGCAGAAAAAACTTAATATTTAATGCTTATAATTAATAAACAAACAGTCTGCGTCCGAGATTCTGCTAAATTTCGTCAGACTGAACCGAACCACTCGGTATGAGCAAATCAAAACCGGTGTGACCGAACGGTATGATTGCGATCGGCCTGAATGGAAGCAGCAAGTCTCGATCATTCTTTGTTGCTCATACAACGCGTACGATAAAAAAAAATCATTCCGAACCAAGTCAAGGGTGATCGGAACTGAATGTTCGCTTCGATCACGCTTGCTAACGATCATTCAATTTTGTTGATGCAAAGTTTTGGCTCACAAAAAATCCGAGTCAATGATCGGGTATGATCGAAAAAATGTTGATCGTTGCAGCTCTCTGGCGTCGACTTACGACGTAAGTCTTACGTCAACGACAAAAGCAACAGCAAAGCGGAAAGCAAGAAAACGAAAAGCGGCGCAATGATCGAATATGGTGTTTTCCTACAAACGATCCATATTACACTCGACAAGGACCAAATTTTCAACTTCCGGGGCTGTAGCTGCTACCGACACCATGAAACTTCCCACCACCGTGCTTTTTCATAGGAATAACATAGGAATAAGATGCTTGGTGGGGGTTTCATGGTGCGGGGCGTAGTTAAGGGGGGTAAGGTATTTAATTTTTTTTTTCGTAAATTTTTTTTTATTTTTTATTTTAAAAGTTCAATATCTTAAGAATATTGTGTCCAAGTTTTACATCAATCATAGTAAAATTGACGAAGTTATGCGGAGCTGAACGAAGGTCGGTTGGTGTTCAATGCATGAGAATCACAAAGTTTAAAGCGCTCTCCTGAAAAATGCCATTTTGAAAATCGGTGTACACGATAACTAAAAATATACTGAACCAATCGGTTTGAAATTTGGAACATAACTTCTTTAGATAATTCTACAGGTATTCTCGTCGAGCTTTTTTTAATTTTTAATTTTCTTATATTTTTTATTTAACAAATTAACTTAATTTTTTAGTCAAAAATCGGGGTTTTGACTTCAAATTTTGATAAAAAATAGGGAAAAAAATTTTAAAAATAAAAACCCTTCGAGAATACCTCGGGACACTTATCCTTTAACGAATGAGGTATAATTTTTTTAGATCGGATGATTGTGGACAGTTAGGATGTACACCGCAAACCAACTTTTTTGGAGGCGACTCGGGAGATTCCCTATAACTCCTCTACCTCTAAATATTTTTCAATACAAAATTTATCACAAACTGTTCAAATGTTGTGTTATTATATGGTATTTAATTCGTTAAGCTAGCTTTAGCCGTTTCGCCACAACATTTTTTTTTTTTTTGAAAAGTGGGCATTTTTGCACCGAATTAACCTTACCCCCCCCTTAACGCCAACATTAACTTCTAAAGTTATAAACAAACATGAAAGAAAGCTAACTTCGGCACGCCGAAGTTTGTATACCCTTGCAGATTGGTTTTAATATTTATGTCATAAATTATAATGCCGAAAACAGACACTAAACTGAGTTACATACCATCAAAGAGTATAGAATTATATAGAGCGGACATCTCATACAAAAAAATGTGTCGTATGGCGGGTTCCAGCGGTAGAACCCGCATTTTCCCCGTGGAACCCGCAAGGCTCGATTCTACTTTGAATCTGGGCACCCCGAGGCCTGCTTGCCGGTTGGGAAACGGGGAATGATTTGCTTGTTCTATTTTTAGATTTCGTTTATTACGCACACAATGCATAAGTGTAAGTGAGTTTTGTGTGTATGTGTGCGTGAACGCGGCAACACATTTTGAGACAAAATTTCATATTTGGCTTTTCTAGGACGAGAATCAAAAGGTTTTCAAAGTCATATTGATTTTTGTGCATCACACTTTTGATCGGTCCTGTGGTCGTGGCGGTTAACGCGTTGGTCGGCAATTTAGAAGAGTGGATCAATCCCTGACAATGACGGTTTTTATAGTATCGTGTTTTTTTGTTATTAATAATTCATATTTTTTTATATTATTTTATTTATTACATTATTTAAAAAAGTTTTGAAACTAAAGAACTTGTTTTAAACAAAAATATATCTTTGCTTTGGGCTTATAAAATCAAAACATTTAAAATATATGTAATTATATTTTATTATCAGTTTATTCGACTGTTTTTAATTTAAAACATTAATCTAACACAATAATTAAAAACATAAAACGAAAACGAATTTGTTTTCAATATGTAATATTTTTAAAACACCTATAAAAACCCACGAATAGTTTTTGTTTGTCAAACATAACCTGGTAACACTAAAATGGAATACAAAAGTTTCTTCTAAAAAAAAAAAAACAAAAAAAAAAAAAAAAAAAAAAATCTTAAGAGTAACCAGGATTTGAACCCATGCACTTCAGGGTGGCAGGCGGATGCCTTAGCCACTAGACCAACCGGCAAGCAGGCCTCGGGGTGCCCAGATTCAAAGTAGAATCGAGCCTTGCGGGTTCCACGGGGAAAATGCGGGTTCTACCGCTGGAACCCGCCATACGACACATTTTTTTGTATGAGATGTCCGCTCTATATAATTCTATACTCTTTGATGGTATGTAACTCAGTTTAGTGTCTGTTTTCGGCATTATAATTTATGACATAAATATTAAAACCAATCTGCAAGGGTATACAAACTTCGGCGTGCCGAAGTTAGCTTTCTTTCATGTTTGTTTATAACTTTAGAAGTTAATGTTGGCGTTAAAGGGGGGGTAAGGTTAATTCGGTGCAAAAATGCCCACTTTTCAAAAAAATGTTGTGGCGAAACGGCTAAAGCTAGCTTAACGAATTAAATACCATATAATAACACAACATTTGAACAGTTTGTGATAAATTTTGTATTGAAAAATATTTAGAGGTAGAGGAGTTATAGGGAATCTCCCGAGTCGCCTCCAAAAAAAGTTGGTTTGCGGTGTACATCCTAACTGTCCACAATCATCCGATCTAAAAAAATTATACCTCATTCGTTAAAGGATAAGTGTCCCGAGGTATTCTCGAAGCGTTTTTATTTTTAAAATTTTTTCCCTATTTTTTATCAAAATTTGAAGTCAAAACCCCGATTTTTGACTAAAAAATTAAGTTAATTTGTTAAATAAAAAATATAAGAAAATTAAAAATTAAAAAAAGCTCGACGAGAATACCTGTAGAATTATCTAAAGAAGTTATGTTCCAAATTTCAAACCGATTGGTTCAGTATATTTTTAGTTATCGTGTACACCGATTTTCAAAATGGCATTTTTCAGGAGAGCGCTTTAAACTTTGTGATTCTCATGCATTGAACACCAACCGACCTTCGTTCAGCTCCGCATAACTTCGTCAATTTTACTATGATTGATGTAAAACTTGGACACAATATTCTTAAGATATTGAACTTTTAAAATAAAAAATAAAAAAAAATTTACGAAAAAAAAAATTAAATACCTTACCCCCCCTTAACTACGCCCCGCACCATGAAACCCCCACCAAGCATCTTATTCCTATGTTATTCCTATGAAAAAGCACGGTGGTGGGAAGTTTCATGGTGTCGGTAGCAGCTACAGCCCCGGAAGTTGAAAATTTGGTCCTTGTCGAGTGTAATATGGATCGTTTGTAGGAAAACACCATATTCGATCATTGCGCCGCTTTTCGTTTTCTTGCTTTCCGCTTTGCTGTTGCTTTTGTCGTTGACGTAAGACTTACGTCGTAAGTCGACGCCAGAGAGCTGCAACGATCAACATTTTTTCGATCATACCCGATCATTGACTCGGATTTTTTGTGAGCCAAAACTTTGCATCAACAAAATTGAATGATCGTTAGCAAGCGTGATCGAAGCGAACATTCAGTTCCGATCACCCTTGACTTGGTTCGGAATGATTTTTTTTTATCGTACGCGTTGTATGAGCAACAAAGAATGATCGAGACTTGCTGCTTCCATTCAGGCCGATCGCAATCATACCGTTCGGTCACACCGGTTTTGATTTGCTCATACCGAGTGGTTCGGTTCAGTCTGACGAAATTTAGCAGAATCTCGGACGCAGACTGTTTGTTTATTAATTATAAGCATTAAATATTAAGTTTTTTCTGCATTACATAAATTTTAGTTATACGAGTAAATTATGAAGAAATAACAAGTTATTTGTATCAGTTAGTTGAAACGCAACTTGTTTCCTTTAAAACATTTAAATGTTTACATATGTAGATATGTTCAAAAAAAAAATTTAACACATTTCGCAAGGCAATTCTCGATCTGATTGCATCATTCACAATCAAATCATGCGCAACATGAGTGAAGCCTGAGCTCTTTTGAATCGTTGGACTTGATCGTTCTTTTTCTGCACAATCAGTTCCGATCATCATACCGGTACCAAAAAATCAGTTTGAATCAGGAAGCAGAGCAATCAAGCCAACTGAACGAGATCGTTTGTTTTGTTCGCGAAGATCGATCGAACATGTTGTGGCGATCTGCTGTGTTGAGTTGTGATCGGCTTGAGCGTTGTTGCTCGATCCGGAACGATCATACTCAATGCAGCTCTCTGGTCGACGCTGTGACACAGATTCGGATCAACAATTTAAAAATCATTAAAAATAAAAGCCATCCGTTGTAAATATTATTTCAAATAAACTAAGGAGTTTACAATTTATATAAACATTAACATCCTAGTCGGCTGCCGCGAAATTAAATTTTTCTTCCACGAAAATTAAAATTTAAATAATTTGGGTGCGCCCGCCAACGATCACACTTGCTATGGTCACACCAAACAGGTAAAATCTCGTAGAAAAGTGGCGATCACACTGAAGTCTTGCCAGGCCCTATATAAAGAGGGCCAGACCGTAGATCGCTGCCTGTTGCTCGACAGCGGTCGACAGGCTTGGCGGGTTGCTCCGACTTTATTAGCACCGCCATTAGGTCCGGTTTTTCTTCTTATATGTACTTATTCTGAATAGAACCACGCTAATTAGTGCGGAATTTTTATTTATTCTACTGTGACGCCTCGTCATCTAGCTCTAGTTGATCTGCTGCCTCCGTCGCTGGCTCAGACTGCACCCTCGGCGTTGGTATTGGCCCAATTTGGGCTATAAAAAATAAACAAATGTCTAAAAAACATCTAATAGAAAAAAAAATTTACTTACCATCTTGTGCCGGTGGTTCCTTTCGCTTAATGTGTATTCTATATTTGTGAGAATTTATGCCCTTAAGTGAATTGCTTTTAAATTTACACTCCGGAATGTCGCAGGTAAACTTTACGTTCACGCATTTGTGATTCCGAAACTCTTTGGAGGTTCTATAATGTGTGCAGCACACGGAACACATATTTCTCCTAGGGGAGTCAATAGACTTAATATATTTCCTTTTCTTGACATCTTCCGGAAGAAACTGCTGTACTGTATTGAAAATATGTTGTTAAAAAACGAATTAATAATTTTTTTCTAAAAATTTATCGAACATTTGTATGGCAGCTATATGATATAGTCGTCCGATCCGGCCCGTTCCGACATACATATATAGCAGTGAGAGTGTATAGAAGACTATTTGCAAAGTTTCATCAGATAGCTGTTGATGCTGATCAAGAATATATATACTTACATTCTTCCGGCGCAGCGAGGGACGTCGACGCCTCGTCATCAGACGCAGCCAGGGACGTCGACGCCTCGTCATGAGAAGCAGCCTGGGACGTCGACGCCTCGTCATGAGGAGCAGCCTGGGACGTCGACGCCTCGTCATGAGAAGCAGCCTGGGACGTCGACGCCTCGTCATGAGAAGCAGCCTGGGACGTCGACGCCTCGTCATGAGGAGCAGCCTGGGACGTCGACGCCTCGTCATCAGACGCAGCCAGGGACGTCGACGCCTCGTCATGAGAAGCAGCCTGGGACGTCGACGCCTCGTCATGAGAAGCAGCCTGGGACGTCGACGCCTCGTCATGAGGAGCAGCCTGGGACGTCGACGCCTCGTCATCAGACGCAGCCAGGGACGTCGACGCCTCGTCATGAGAAGCAGCCTGGGACGTCGACGCCTCGTCATGAGAAGCAGCCTGGGACGTCGACGCCTCGTCATGAGGAGCAGCCTGGGACGTCGACGCCTCGTCATCAGACGCAGCCAGGGACGTCGACGCCTCGTCATGAGAAGCAGCCTGGGACGTCGACGCCTCGTCATCTAGCTCTAGCCCAATTTGATGTGCTGCCTCCGTCGCTGGCTCAGACGGTAACCACCGCAGTGGTATTGGCCCAATGTGGTCTGCTGCTGATGACGCCTCGTTTAGCCCAATTTGATCTGCTGGCTCAGACTGCACCCTCGGCAGTGGTATTATCCTACTTCGGGCTGCTGGCGTCGGTATAGGCCCACTTTGGGCTGCTGGCTCCCTCGCTGGCTCAGACCACTAACCATACAACATATAGACTGGTCATTTCATACAACGAAAATGGACACAAAAATTTCCTAACATGCGGTCCCATGTTAACTGTTTGCTGTTAGCGACAGACCGTCTGTTAGATTTTAGCTGTTAGCGTCCCGTCCCATGTTAGCTGTCAGCTGTTAGCGTCAGGCCTTTACATGTATGCGTGTTCATGCATTCACGTACACGGGTGCATGTGTGCGATCGTTTCATTTCGGGCCAGCAAGAATATTTGGTCTTTTGCTACTTTTCGCGCTAGGTACCCTAACAATATGGGCATATTCGCTATTGGGTTAATGATAAAAATAATAATGTTATATGTTATAATACATTTCTTAATGTTTCAGCATACATTTCATATTTGTTTACAATTCAAATCAGTGGCAGCAGTGAAACATATGTATTCGAATGAATAACAATCCATCTACTGAGATAGGAACAGGGCATATTGCAGTCGGTGTCACTTAAAACAGAGACGGGCACGAGATCTAACGGTTTGGGTAGCAGCTCGGCCAAAAAAAAAAAACAACAACAACAACCCCCAGCGTCTCGACGCGTTGCAGCACACAGAATGTGCAAGCGATCGCGAGCACCGACTGCAATATGCCCTGTTCCTATCTCAGTAGATGAAATTTTATTCATTCGAATATATATGTACATATGCAACACACTTCACTGCTGCCACTGATTTGAATTGTAAACAAATATGAAATGTATGCTGAAGCATTAAGAAATGTATTATAACATATAACATTCTTATTTTTATCATTAACCCAATAGCGAATATGCCCATATTGTTAGGGTACCTAGCGCGAAAAGTAGCAAAAGACCAAATATTCTTGCTGGCCCGAAATGAAACGATCGCACACATGCACCCGTGTACGTGAATGCATGAACACGCATACATGTAAAGGCCTGACGCTAACAGCTGACAGCTAACATGGGACGGGACGCTAACAGCTAAAATCTAACAGACGGTCTGTCGCTAACAGCAAACAGTTAACATGGGACCGCATGTTAGGAAATTTTTGTGTCCATTTTCATTGTATGAAATGACCAGTCTATATGTTGTATGGTTAGTGCTAAAACCCAAAAAAAGGGGTCGTACGTAGACTTTTGTCCGTCACTGTAATTCGACTTCAGTTTTTTAAACACTGCCCAGAATTTACGTTCTCAAAGCAGTCCATTGTTGTGGAACTGCTTTTTCGACGCACTTTGTTACCGACATTCTATGTGCGAAAGAGAGGGGGAGAGGGTGGCATTTGAGGCAAAACCCGCTTTTAGAACTATTCCTTTACCAAGCTGCGGTGTCGGCTTTGGTCGGCAATATTAATGAGTGGATCGATCCCTTCTAAAGAAAAAAAAAACAATCAAAAAAAAGACAAAAAATCTTATGAGTAACCAGGATTTGAACCCATACACTTCAGGGTGGCAGTCGGATGCCTTAGCCACTAGACCAACCGACAAGCAGGCCTCGGGGTGCCCAGATTCGAACTAGAATCGAGCCTTGCGGGTTCCACGGGGAAAATGCGGGTTCTACCGCTGGAACCCGCCATACGACACTTTTTTTTGTATGACGCACTTTGTTACCGACATTCTATGTGTCAAAGAGAGGGGGAGAGGGTGGCATTTGAGGCAAAACCCGCTTTTAGAACTGTTGCTCTACCAAGCTGCGGTGGCCGAGCGGTTAAGGCGATGGACTTGAAATCCATTGGGTTCTACCCGCACAGGTTCGAATCCTGTCCGCAGCGATTTTTTTTTATTTATTCTTTTTTACTTTAATTAAATTACTTTATTTAGCCGTTCTACGCAGTGATCATCTCACAATATAACAATATATAGAGCGTGGAGCATTAGTTTCTCTCTGTTTTTGATACAATACGACATTAAGCTTAGCCTAGGAATTCACAAGATCATAATTATACGAAAGGGACATTGGGGTTGCTTTTGTATTCGTTTTCTTCATTTAAATTTTAGGTCTTAGCAGCTAGGATAAAATCATAATCGCGTTGATTCTTGAATAAATGTATATCACCGAATTCGTGAGCGTGCCTCCGCTTACAATTTGGCGCGCTTGGGCACGCCGATGGCCTCCAGGACGCCGCAGACGTCCAGATGATGGAACAAGGTCTCCAGATACTCATCCCGATGCTTCATGTAGTGAGCGGCATGCTGCGATCGCTCCCAGCGCTTGAACGTGCACTTAATGTCCGCCCGCTCCCAATTGTCGCGCACCGCCTGGTTGGAGGACGGCGGTCCGATGGGATCGTTGTCGGACACAAAGAACAGCGCCGGGGCCTTGAGCAGGGTGGAGTGGAACATCTGGCTGGAGCGCATATAGTGGATGGTGGCCTGGTTGTGGAATGTCTTCATGTGGTACAGCGTGTAGTTGCGCAGGGCGCTCTGCATGCGTTCGTTCTTGGGGAAAATCGATTTAGGCACGCCCACGGGAATCTCGGTGATGTCGGCGGCACTGTCCCACACCTGACAGACGAAACGGTCCAGGATGCTGCCGTAGCGATCCATATCGCGCGACATCTGCAGCATTATCTCGCCCAACTGGTAGGCGCCCACAGAGAAGCCATGCATTACGATCGGCTCATACGACTTGTTGTTCTCCAGAAAACGCAGCGTCTCGGCGGCCACCACCTGGTCGGGGGATTGGGATTAATTCGCCTTTGAGCTGGGACAGAAACTGTAAAAACAACTTACCTGGGTTCCCTTGACCGGCCAGAGGAGCTGCCAAGGCGTAATGTGAACCACCATGACATCGAAACCCATTTCCGTGTAGATCTGGGCATACTTCTTCAGATGCTTCTGCTTGGCCATTAGCCAGGCCATCATCAGGACCAAGGGATTGCCAGTGGGCTTCTTAAAGGCCAGCGTCTTGGGGTCAACCTCGACATGCGTCTTACTGTTGGTGTACAGGGTCATGTTCTTGGTGATATCCTGCGAGGATATATACCGGCGATTCTTCAACGGGGCCATGGCGCTCTGCGTTTTGAGGGGAAAACCATTATTATCGTCATTTTATCGAACAGGTGAGATATGAGATATGATTAGTGGGGTTAGGGGAAATGAAACTTAAATAAACACAGCTGCAATTTACATACATACATTTCGATTTTCTACAAGTACAAGTGTTTAATTAGATATATATATATATATGATTAACCGTCTGGAGTAGAGTAATCTTTTTGTAGCAAGGCAAAGTTTGGATAGGTCGAGTAACTAACTACTGAGTGAGTAACTAATCGCAACCGATTAGATAGGAAGGTTTAGAGTGGCTAAAATAATGGCCTGATCGGGCGATTCCAACGAAATCCATGCAAATTACGAGGCAGATTTGATAAGGCTCTGATTTATCCACGGCAACAGCTGCTGGTGACCTTGAGAAAGCCACCGTACACGTGATGATAATCGCCCCAGTTCCCGATAAGGCTAATGCAGGTGTGCATGCGTTTGGACTTTTTATGGGAATTGCAAGATATCGAATTGCAATGATCACTTTGCGTCTATATTGAGCGAAAAATAACTATGTGGGCAGCTTATTTAATGCAACCGTACATTGTATACCGTTTTGCTTCCGTATAATTGTTTTAGGATTTCAATTATCAAGAGTCTCTTTGAGCAGGCGGCAAATTGGCACGAAGGCGAAGCAGCGACTGAATGTGCAAAGGTTTTGGGTTCTTTTTTTCCTACATTATAGCAAGGCTAAACTGATAGCCAGACATGGATTCAAAGATAGGCACGCCAAGTCCAACGATAAGAAGTTGCAATTTAGATTAGTGGAATCGTTCCCGCATAAATTTGTTACGGAAAAAGAGCAAAATCGCAATAATTGAAGCACCAAATGATGACACAATATGAGCGACAGAGAGGCTGGCTGGCTGGATGGGACTTTCACTTTAGTTTGACACTTTTGCACTTGAACCTCCGGCGAGAGTTCACGGCTACTCACACGCTTCGCCCGATGATAGATTTTCAGCAGTATAACCGCCAATATCACCAGCAGCGTTATCTCAATCAGGAAGTCCATATTAAAAGATAAAACTAAGCAGGTGCATCGACATTGACTAACTGACTGATCCACAAAGTAGCCTATATCCAGCGATCCAGTGGAACGATCGTGGATAGTTGAGCGGAATTGAGGCGAGCTTACATTCCCCATAGAAAATAGTTATTTCAGTTGAGGTGTGTGTGCATATACATATGGGAAGAATATTTCTTTTTCACTTTTTGCGGCATTGGTTTAAATTACATACAATGCGAGACTGGAAGCCCGAGTCCCCTGTGGGAGAAATAACTAAAGTGTCTCGACGAGAGGATACTATTTAATTATAAACAAGAAGCTCTAAAGTACGGTTATTGGTGTAATAGATCCTGAGATATAAGCTATTAAATACAGTAACTGATTTTGTGATTCGACTATGCCCTTAAAGGGCAAATATATCATGAAATGATTCGTATAACCTTTAAAATTTACCCAATATACCCTGCATTCAACAAATTTCAGGTATAATCAGCTCAAAAGTCTGGAAATAGAGAGAAACCCGAACGAACGCTTTGGGGGCTCGGGCAAAAGCTTGGCATTGGGCGCCATTATAATTTGAATCATCACGAAAAAGCTGTGCCACATTGCTCAATTGAGCTTGCTTCAAGCGAGGGTGGTTCCATAAATCCGGCCAAGGATATATCGACCGCAGGTCCATAACAAACGGTATCAGTGATATCAGTGACTTAAATGTACTATACCATTTACTGGTTGGTTCAAGCGGTTAATGAGCCCCTACTAATTGCAGGCATTGAACAACAATCATTAAAAAATGGATGTGTGTCTAAAAATATATGTATATAAGCGTAGGCAGAGATAATCTTAACAAGTGATTGGTGGAAAAGCGGGAGAGGTAGGGAGAGATAGAGCTCCGAAATCATTTGCCGGGTTCAAAGTACATGAAATACAATTATTCAAGCATGCAAATTTTAAAAGTCACACACTACATATTGCACAAAATGAAGAAGCGGAAATAAAAAGCAAATTAGCAAATGTTCAAGTACAGATCAATAGATATGCAAAAAGGCCTGGGAATGCTCTTTTGGGTTAGACGCAATCTTAGGTTAAATACGATGAATAAACCGGACCTGAGACACTAACTGGGCCAGTAAAAAACTTTACAAAGTTTATACTTTACGACCTTTTAAACGAGGAACAATAATATGTAAGCACACTAGAAGAAAATGTTGAATTGTTTAAAGGTGTTGTCTACTGTAGACTGGCAGTATTTTGGCGATTTTGAGTCTTTAAAAGCCAAACAGGTGTTCTTATTATATCTGATCACGTCATAAAGGTTTTTTTATAATCTTAAGTTCATCTTGGTAATTCAGGGTTATCTTATCGTATATAAAAGTAGGTTTGTTGAGATAATATATTAGAATTCTGCCCTTCTAAGGGTAGTTAAAAACGTACGTGCTTTAAAATATATTATAAACAATGAACTCTGCCTTTGTGAGTAGGAAAAAACTTCTAAACCGGACGGAGGTGAGGGTAAGGTTTAATTAAATATAATATAAAAAATTTATGCAAATTGTTAGACTAAGAAATATCTTGTATTACAATTTATTATAGTTTTAAGTAAAATATGAAAAGATAATAACAAGTTTTAGTTAGAAAAACATTAACCAATAAATCTAAATGTTAATCAGAGAGTTTGTGAACTTTGCTCGGACATACATATGTCTCTTTAATAAAGAGATAATTAAAATTATGATAAGCAACTCTTAAGGAATATAAAATGTGGATTTATAAACCAGACTACTCATAAATAGAAAATTGCTAATGAAAAGTGAAATTTATTAATTAAGCCCACAGTGTTTGACTGCGTTATTAAGTTGTGAATTTGGAAAACGTGTTTAGGCTTGAAGGGATGCACTCTACAGTTTATATAAGGGGATTATCCCAGAGTTTTCTGATACTTCTCCGCCAAGTCTTTCAAAAACAGAATATGCTTACATTTAGAACCGGCTGCTGCAACTGCTGGTTGCTCAGGCTCGAGAAGTTCCGGATGAGCGGGGCCTGGGCCTGGATCTTGCGAATCTCGCCCATCGGACGCTGCAGCAATCCCGGCGACTGGTAGCCACCGAAGAAGCTATCCGCGTAGACATTCTCGTACGGCACAGTGCTGCGGCTATTTTGCGCTGTTTTGGGGACCGGGTAGTGGGGTTGGGCAGGTGATGTATGGATGTGGTGTGGTGATGTAAAGGGGAGAATGAAAGCAGATCGGATCGAAAACAATTATAAATAAACGTAAGCTAGGAGCGGAGGAATGAGGCAACAATTACCACCAAAGGAAAGGCCCACGGCTAAGGTGGCGGCTGTCCGGCCGGCGGCGAAGGGCAGGCTCATCGATTTTCTCGCCGCCGTTGCGTAAAATGCAGTGCGAAAGAAGTGCGCAGCCATCGTGATGCGAATTTGCCGGGGGAAACAGAAATACTTTCACAAAAAGCGCTTTGGACACAGACTGTAAGAATTGGTTTTCATATATTGCACACTCCCTCTCCCTCGCACTTGCACGCACAAGCCCACACACACACACTATGGCGCAGGCCGAATGCACACGGATCGAACTTTGTACCCGCTGCAGACGAGTCTCAATTTTTATTAAATTGATAAATTCGTACCGAGATTCGTGTCTCTGTCTTGGGCTTGTGCGTGCATGGGCGACTGGGCAGGGGTGTGTGTGGGTGTGTATGGCGTGTGTGTGGGTATTGATGATAGTTTAATTGGTACCCGAATTGGATCGATCGCGGTGGGGACCACTTACGCTAACGTCGTGCTCCAGTGTTTGATTTTTTTGAAAATAAATGGGATTCCTCCCCCTACTTTGTTTGCGGTTGAAACAGTGTGACCAAGCGGTAGGTACCAAAAAATACTAATACGTGAGTTAATCAAATCGTAATAATTCAACGTAAAAAAGACCGTAGCATATAGTATTAAGGAAAATACCACCTAGGGTTTGGTATATTTTGTCAGCTGTTTTGTAAATTTTTACATTGTTTTGGTTCTTGTTTTTTTCGCGAGTTAAAAAAAAGGACTATTTAACTGTAAATAATGTAAGTAATTCTTCAAAATACATCATCTTTTTTAATTCTTAAATAATGCTGAATATATGTATGAAAAAAACTCTTTTTTTATTAACAAATAACTTCATTTGTGCACCTACAGCAAAATGGACCACGCGGTGGCTGTTTCTGGTGAGGATTCGGCCCCGGAGCAGGCCAAGTCTAGTGCTCCATTGAAACCCTCTGCCAATACGGCCATTAAGTGCCTCAAGTGCGACAAGGTGTACATATTTCCCGCCGACAAAGATGACTGCCTGGCACACTTCTATCTGGAGCACCGTCTGGTCATAGCCGATGTGGAGGAAATAGCGTTGCTGGAGGACTATTTGCAGTACTGGGAGAAGGAGTTTCAGGGTACGTATATGCTAATCCTAGAAAGTAATCATTTCATTAACTTTCCTTGCGTTTAGCCCACGAATTCGAGCAGTACTGCACCACAATGTTTCTGGACCAGCTGCCCGATGGAAAATACTCGAAAAACGAAAAGTACTATCTGCTGTGTGATATCCTGCCCCAGGACTACGAGCTGCGCCGAAGACTGAAGGAGCAGCGCCTGAGCAAAGCCCTGGAAAGGCACCAGTTCGAGCTCACCGACCGGAACTTCTCGAAGGAGTGCCTCTTCTGCAGAACCGTGATCAAGGGACTGAGAGCGGATTACTTGGACCACCTGTTCGATAAGCACTTCCTGCTGGTGGGCAAGCCGGAGAAGCTAGTGTATGTGGACGAGCTACTGGATCACCTGGAGGAGAACTTGAATCAGCTGGTGTGCCTGTACTGCGAGAAGATCTTCAAGGATCGACCGACGCTCAAGGAGCACATGCGTAAGAAGGGACACAAGCGAATAAATCCAAATCGCAGGGAGTACGATAAATACTTCCTTATCAACTACAATCGCGGACCGGCGGCACCAACTCCACGAAAACAGCACCATCAAAAGCGAAGACAGGCCTCTGCATCCACATCCGTCGATCTGGAAACAGGCAGCGTAGACTTCGACAAGCACTTAGCCCGCCCCGATTCAGATGGTGAGCACGACTCGGACTGGTCTGATTGGGCTGGGGATGGCGAGCCGAGTGCCATTAAGTGCCTCTTCTGCTCTCATCTGGGTGAGAGCTTTGTCGACCTAAAGAAGCACATGACCGAGACCCACAACTTGGATTTTGATCGCGCCACCAGCTCTCTGAACTTCTATCAGAGGGTAAAGGTTGTGAATTACCTTCGACGGCAAATCTGCATGCTGCGCTGCGTCACCTGCGACCTCCACTTCGATGAGCCGGAGCTGCTGGCGGAGCACATGGCCCAGGAGTTGCACTGTGGCATTGGTAGCAAGGCTAGCTGGGACAAGCCGGAGTTCTTCTTTCCCTACATGGAAAACGATGGCCTGTTATGTGTGCTCGACGATTCCGCCGGCGATGAACCGGACGCTGATGTGGTGCGCATTATATCCGAGGACAGTCTGGCGCAGATCAACAAGGATGCGGAGTCCCTATCTCTTGAGAATTTTAAGCTGTAATGTGCTAAATCGTTTTAAGTAAAAAGATAGAAATTCATAAATGCTGGAAATTTTTCTACCTCCGGGGGTTTTTTCGGAAATATATTTTTACAAATAAAATTATCCAGGATGAGCTGGCGTATGTTGTGGGCATCATCCTGCTTGGGCACCTTCTTCAGCTTTTTCAGCATTAAAATATTTATCCATAATTTTTTATGATAATTTTTGCAAAAATTCAAAACTTTAAAAATCTATAACTAAGCCAAAAATTAATTTAATTTAATTTGGAAAGCATTTTTGTGTTAGTTTTTAAATGGTTAATAAATCTGCTTTCCGAATTCAAAATTTTTTTAAATTCAAAATTTTTTCAATTTTTGAAAATTTTAATGATGTAACCCCTTATCAAATTTTGAAAACATTAAAAAAAAATTTTTTCTCTTGGATATGGCTAGATCGACTTGGCTTGTGATGCTGCCTTCTGTCTGATAAGCTCTAAAAAGTTTTTAAAAGTTTTTATTTTATTAAAATGTAATAATTTAAATTTTAACCCCAGTGAGTCAGTTAAGGGTTAATGCTCCACTTCAACAAGTGTGTACACACTGTTTGGTATATTTTAGCACTCGAGCTGCGGTCACATTACACCTGACATCATTCCGAACGAAAAAAATAAAACAAAACAAAGAGAAATCCTGCTATAATGGAAGCCCTAGACATCCTGGAGAAGCGAATTGATGCCCTGACACGAGTCCTGGGTCCCCTGCCCGATGCACCAGAGGCTGGCGAAGGCGTGGTGGACGCCCTGTGCTCGGCCCACGCACTTCTGGGCGAAGCCACTACGGGAAGTGTTCCCCTGCAGCAGTGCGTAAAGCGAGCACCCGAACTGGAGAAATACCTGGATCCCAACTTCCTCGAGGAGCATCAGCAGGTGCGCTCCAAGGAAGTCTACCTGCACGCCGTGGCCCCCGAGCTGAGCACTCAGGCCGAGCAGCTGGAGAGGATCAAGCAGTTGGAACCAGCGCTGGGGGCAGAGTACTTCCGCAGCATTCCTAGCGAGTGCCTGGACCAGTTGAAGCAGATCACGCAGAACAACGGCGAGTACGCACAGCAGAGCGAGCTCATCGAGGAGAGCCTTGTCCTTGCTATGAAGCGGTACGGCGAGATTCAGGCGGGATTGCTTAGTTCCCTGGACGCGATGAGTGAGCGATTGGACCAGGTGGAGCAGCGTATGGAGGAAAAGAAGCGGTCAGAGCTAAACAAGAATGTGCCGCCCAAGGATTGAGTGCGTTCGCCCAGAGACTGCTGAAAGTATTTTATACGCTCATTTTTTCGAGACGTTTCCAGTCGTATTTGGGCTTAGTTTTCCATAAATTAAAATTAGTTTTAAGTTTAATGGAAAGCTGAGATTTCAGTAATGCTAAACCCTATACGATTGGAAACGACAGTGAATATGGGAATATTAGAAATCTTAACCACTTTTTGTTAGAACGAATAGTGGCTTCTGATGCTATTTCATTTGTAAGTTTCCTTTTTAAACATTATTTAATGCTAGCACAATAAAAGACTATAAAATTGTAACTAGCTTGAATTTATATTACATTTTGTAATCATTCCTAATTGAGATTGCTTGTTTTTAAAAGAATATAAAACCTTCATAAAAATATAATGCAGACAAAGCTAGAATCCTTGTCAGTCTTTCCCCCAGGAAAACTCTTCGTCCAGGATAACTTTCCTTGTTTTACATAACTTTAATGCTAGCGAAATAATCAACTTTACCAAATTAGAACTAACAGAAATTCGGATTGGAAGCAACCAGAATCCATTCTACTAATATACATATGTATATATGGGGCACAGTCTTGACTTCTCCTCATCTAAAGGGAAGTCTGGAGGAGGGCTTCTAGAAGCGCAGTTCGTTCCTCTGGATCCTCTCGTAAATGGATGAGGTGAGTGGAGCATACACGCCATTCGGCTGGGCATAGTACAGTTCGTCCTCGACAATGTCCGGATTGAAGCCCTGCTGCTGGAGCTCAACTTTGCGCAGCTTGAAGGTGCCCGTGAGGTCAATCTTTCGTAGGAACCTCAGGAACAGCGGTCTCGCATAGCCGGGCAGTGCCTTTGCCAGTTCCACGCCTAACTGACCGACCTCAACCTCGCGACTGGGATCGTAGATGGCCGCCATTCCAGCTCTGCCTTCGGTGTGGGGTATGCTGACGCCGTAGACAATGACATCCTTGTACCCAGCCAGATTACTCAGCTGCGCCTCTACTTCACTGGTGGACACATTCTCGCCCTTCCAGCGGAAGGTGTCGCCTGTGCGATCCCTGAAGTAGAGATAGCCACGCTCATCGGCCACCAGAAGATCGCCGGAGATGAATGCCATGTCGCCCTTGGAGAAGACATCGTGCACTACTTTCTTGGAAGAGGCCTTCTGGTCCACGTAGCCCAGAAACTCCCGGCAGGGATTGCCCCTCACAATCTTTCCGATGAACACGCCAGGCTCATCGGGCTGACACCGCTCGCAGAGGCCTTTGCTATTCCTCAAAGGCTCACCGGTGTGTGGATCTGCTTTTATAATCGAAATGGGATAGATTTGTGGCATGATACGGGACACAAAGCCAATGGCTCCGACGGTGCTGTCGTTGTTCATGATGTTGGCATTGCCCTCGGTGGCGCCGTAGAACTCACCCACCTTTCCGATTCCAAAACGCTCAACGAATTGTGGCCAAATCTGTGGACGCAATCCATTTCCAAACACCATGCGCACTTGGTGCTTGCGGTCATGTGAAGCCGATGGTGTGGCCAGGATATAGCGAGCCATCTCACCAATGTACTGACCAACCTGGAGGGGATTTAAGAAAGGGAAGGATACATTACGCCTTGGATTTAAATGACAAAAACTGATCTTACCGTGCACTGAAACCTTGAGCAGTCGGCAAAGTATCCCGAGGCACTGAACTTTTTCCTTATGACCACCGTGGAGCCGAAAAGGAGAGCCTGGCCCATGCTCATCACTCCGCCAGCAGTGTGATACAGGGGTAAGGGCGTGTAGAACACATCCTGATCCTTAAAACCAAGTGTAAAGTGAATGCCAGCGGAAATGAAGAAATATCTGAAAGAAATGGGATTTATTGAGATGAGAAAATGCTAAATCATCGGGAACCTAGGTTGACTGTATGATCAGCCCTTCTCTATAAGAACCCATAATTTAAAATAAAACCCATTACTCACCGTGAATGTGTGATGACAGCTGCCTTTGGCAAACCCGTCGTTCCCGAGGTGTAGATATACACCAACTTATCATGATGATCCGGTCGGGAAGCTCCAGCGGCCACCTTATCCTTGGCAGCCGTTTCCAGGAGCCCATTTAACTGCTGGGCCAATCCCTGGCTGAGTCCCTCTGAAGCCACTATTTCCTGGTTGGCCTCATCGTTAAACTGATACAGGCCGACGTGGGCGGGCAGATCCTTGGCTATGTCCATCACAGCCGATCTGAAGCTGGCCCCGTAAATGAGAGCCGTGCACTGACCCACCGTGATGCTATGCTGGAGCGATGCTCCCCGGAGGTTCGTATTTATCAGCGGTGTAATTACTCCGATCTTGGAGAGACCTAGCCAGGTGGCCACGAATTCGGCTCGGTTCTCCAACAGCAGGCCCACCACATCGCCCTTCTTGTAGCCATGACTGTGGAATACATTGGCCACCCGGTTGGAGTGCTCGTTCAGCTGCCGGAAGGTCCACTGCTGGGACTCGCTGACAATGGCCAATTTGTCGGGATGGCGGGCCACATTCGCCTCGAAGATGTCACCGATGTTCACATTCTTCCGCTCCTGCCGTTTGATGAACAGCAGAACACGGATGTAGGCAAAGAGAGCTCTGGAGAAGGGAAGTTTATGAAAATACAAGTCAAAGAAGTCTATTAAGCGGTGAGTTCTGTCTTTAAATTCTAGTTTTGATTAATTTTATTTAAATCAAACCAAAATAAGGTATTTTAAACGAATTTAAAGTTATTAATCAATAATTGTTAGAGCAAATTTATTTTCTACTTGTCAAAATATCATATTTCTATAAGAAAGATTGATTTTATATTAGAACTGATCAAATCAGGGGATATATTTTTAAATCTCAGATATTTTATGCAATGAAATCTGAATACATTTAAGATTATCTTTTGACTCTTTCCAACAAAATCTTTAAAGCTTTGCCTATAACTTACTTGGTATCTCGGGGAGTGGTCACCATTGCTATATAAAACCATCGCCATCCAGGACGAACCAGTAGAGCGGCTATCAAGCTCACATAGAAGGTGGCCAATCCATACCAGGGTCCTTGGTAATAAAGGATAAAGCCAGTGGCTGCGCTTAGGATAGGTGCCAAAATCCACTGAAGATAGCTCCTCCAACTGGTTTTTTCGGGTTTAAGAACCTCCGGCGAGTTTAATTCAATTGTTACCTTAAAAAGTAAAGGATATTTAATGCACAAGACTATTACAAATCATAAAATTTTATTTAAAAAATCATCAAAAATATTTAAAAGCATAGCTATTTGTAAGAAAGAAAAAGATACGCCGCCCGCATCACTCATACGACGCGTAAGCCCATCCGATACGGGTGTTTAATAATCAATGAAATAACCCTCCGTCAGTGACGTTGATTTGAAACTTTTCCTGATCTTTGGCTAATTGCTTGTTGTTTAATTTGCACTCCCGCCAGAGGAGCTGGCATAACTTATTCCGCATTTCAATCATTTAGCACTTTATTTAAACAATTTGCAAGCAAACAAACCAAAAGATAAAAAAAAAGCGAAAGACAAACATTAAAAAATATAGAGTGGATAAACAGAAGCTTAGTGGCCAAATAGGTGGCCACTGCGGCCAGAGTAGATCTCGCGGAAGTGGTTCAGTGCCTTTAGTTCGGCATCGGCGGCCAATCGATTGGACAGTCGGATTAGGACGCAGATGGTCAGAGCCACTATCAGTCCCAGCATAAAGAACACAATCTAGTAACGAATACACCGATAGATATGTATATATATAGGATAGGATAGGATATAGGATGTGGCCTCCCGATTACCTTCTGCCAAATCCTCAGCCGGTGCTGCCCATCGCCCTGGCTTCCGTCCTCCAGCAGTGATTCGTTGTCGGTGCCTGTCATCATGCTCTGGGCAAATCTTTGCTCAACTCTTTTGAACCTTGACGCTTGGTTGAAAACTCAATCGTATTTCAGTTTGTTTTGATTTTTTCGTATTTAACTGACAGTTGGTTCCGGGGAAGTGTTGTAACTTTCAATTTAACTTAGGTGTGGCGTTTACAATTTTAATTAAAATCAAAAATACGAAGCTTCTTCATAATGCTCATAGTTTAGTTCTTCAATTAATATTTTAACAAATAGTATTAGAAACATTATTAATATCTGTTAATGCAACCAAACTTGTTTTGTTGAAGTATTACCTGCCTCTCTAGGATTTAAAGAAACCATTAACCATTTTCAGCTAAATTAAGTAAATAAAGACTTGGCTTTTAAGTACTGTTCTCTAAAGTCTTAGCCAAACAATCAAGTGCATATAAACTGGTTCTCATAACCATAATAAAAGCTCGCTTAATTACCATTTAGCAGTTGCCATGATCTTGACTTTCAAACTATTTCATATCAACCCAATAAAAAGCCATCGTTTGGGTTGCATTAATCTTTTATTTTAAACCTGATCATAAGCTCCATACGAATTGATTGACCGACCGATCGCATAATACTCAAGACCCAAACCTAGTCCCGGTTAAAATCAGCGAGCCAAAAAGTAAACTGGTTTTGCTCGATTTTTCTGCGGCTTCGTTTTTATTTGTTGTCAGATAAGGTTTTTTAATGGGGTGGAGGGGGAAGAGCTTCAGGGGGGGAGTCACCAGCAAAAAAGCAACAAAAGCGAATCAAGCGCGAACCAAAAATATGTATGTTGGCCACCGCATATTCGTGCGAGTCATCTGTATGTGGTATTTACCTGAGTGGCGCTGGGGTTCAAGGCCGTCGAACTTGGGGCACTCGTATGGGTATCCGATGTTTCGGCGGCAGCAGCTCCACCTGTAGTGGCTTCACCATCATCTGCAGTAGCAGTTGCAGCAGCAGCGCCAGCGGTGCACATTTTTTTTTTGTATTTTCTGGCTTAACACCGCATCTACAGGGGCTGATCGAAAAGTGTCTGATTATCAGCTTGGTTCAGTTTTGGTCTTCAATTAACGTTTGGTCAGCTTGGGCGGCTTTTCGTGGTTTCTTGATGGCTACACAGAGAAAAATTGCAATATAAATGTTAATTAATTAGTTTGTTTACTTTTTCAATTGCTTATTTTATTTACTAAACCCTAGTATAAAATCATAGGAATGACTTAAACATTTTTTAAGCATCAAATCTTTAGCTTTCTATTAGGTATTTCTTCCTGGTAATTTTACATTACTTAGAAAGTTGTTAAAAAAGTATTTCCTATATTAAAAATACCCAGAAACGACATTTTTATCGTTGGATAAATTTATATAAAATATATTTCAATTTTTTTAGCCAGAGATTTTTACACAAAGTTGAGAGCACATCTC